ATTATATGAAATGTTAAAAAGACTTATTTAAGAAAAAGAAGATCGAAACTATGAGCAATAAAATGGCCAAAACCACATATCTATCAACAATTGAATTTTAAAAACAAGCTAAGCAAACAAGAACAGAGACAGAATCATGGATACGGAGAGCATTTTGATGGTTGCCAAGTAGGATGAGGGTGTGGGGGGGACGGGTGAAGAGGTGAGGGGATTAAGAAGTACAAATAGGTAGTTAAAGAACAGCCACAGGGATGTAAAGTACAGCATGGGAAATGGAGTAGCCAAAGAACCCTAAGCGTGGCCCATGGACTTGAACTATGGGGGGGGAGGGGCGGCCTGAGGGAGTAGGAGGTGCTGAGTGGAGGGGGGCAAAGGGGGAAAATCAGGACAATTGTAATAGCATAATCAATAAAATATTAAAAGAAAAAAAATGATTCCCTTTTTTCCTTATGTTATAGTTTTGGAGAATTCTTCTATTAGTAGTAAAGGTGGTCCCCTGCTGGACAGTGACAGAGGGTGATAAGAAACCCGCCGCAGTGGGGGCTTCGGGAAGAGCACAGTCAGGGGGTTGGAACTGCTCAACCACGTGTCTGCTCAGCTAAAGACACTGTTAAGAGAATGAAAAGCCAGGCTTAGACCAGGAGGAAAGATTCACCAATCCCAAGTCTAATGAAGGACTGGTGAGCAGAATATATAAAGAGGTCACAAAACTCAATTTTAGGGGTCGGCAATGGTTTCTTAAAAATGACACTAAAGACACAGGCTACCCGAGAAAAAAAGAGGAAATTACACTTCATCAAAATTACAAACTTTCATTTGTCTAAAGACACTGTCAAAAAAGTGAAAGAAGGCAACCCACAGCATGGGAGAAAATATTCGCAAATCACATATAATACAAGGGGCTAGTATCCAGGATATATTTTTAAGAAAAAATTTTAAAGATTTTATTTATTTATCCTTAGGGGGGAAGGGAAAGAGAGAGGGAGAGAAATATCAATGTGTGGTTGCCTCTCGTGCGTCCCCTGCTGGGAACTGGCTTGCAACCCAGGCATGTGCCCTGGCTGGGAGTAGAACCACGGTTGTTTGATTCTCAGGCCTGCGCTCAATCCACTAAACTACACCAGCCAGGGCCCAGAATATATTTTAAAAACTCCTACAACCCAAAGAAAATTAACCCAGTGGGAAAATAACCAAAAGATTTGAATAGACATTTCTCCAAAGAAGATCGACAAAGGGCCAACAAGCCCATGAAAAGATGCTCAACATCATTAGTCAGGAATTAGGGAAATGCAAATAAAACCATAAGGAGTTACCACTTACCACTTCACTCCTACTGAAATGGGTGTCATTTTTTAAAATTTAAAGGTAAAATAATAGAAGTTAGTGAGTATATGAAAAAGTTGGACCCCCCCCCCATATGGCCGATGAGGCTGTAAAAGGCGCATCCTCTGTGTGAAACAGACTGGCAGTTCCCAAAACGTTAAGCGCAGAGTCACCCCATCACTCATTCACTGCATTCGGAGAGAAACTCATTCCGAGAGAAATGGAGACCTATGTTCACACGAACACCTGAGCACAAATGTTCATAGCAGCATTATTCATCGGAGCTGGAGAGGGAAGACAGCCCAACTCTCTATCAACTGATGAATGAAGGAGCAAGATGTGTTTTGTGTGTACAATGGACTACCCTTCCTCCTGAAAAAGGAATGAAGTGCTGACCCTCGGAAACCAGATACAACAGGACGAATATCGTGTGATTCCACTGATGTGAAGTATTCAGAAGAAGCAGGTCCATAGGGACAGAAAGCACCTGAGTGGTTGCCAGGGGCTGGGTAGATGGGGGGAGGGAGACTGATTGATGAAAATCAGATTAGAGCTAGAGGTGCGCTCGCAATCTAGTTGCCCTTTGAACATCCTGAAACTCACAGCACTGCGTACTTGAAACCCACACACTTTAGGGCAGGCAAATGATATCTCAGTGCTGATGTTGCATTTTTCTAAATTATAGGATCCAGAATCATCCTACCCCACTGATTTCACAAACCAGTGCCCAGGAGCCCCTACTGTGTGGGGGGCCACGGGCTAGGTGCTCTGAGGAAGGAGCGGTGAGACTGGATCATCTGAAATGGGGCCTCGGTGCTGAGCCGGTGGGTCAGAGAGATCCACCTTGGAATCCACCAATTAGAATCTTGAAATTGCCCTTGGGCTCCTTTCTCCTTTCCCAAAATGGGGGATCGTGCTTAGCTCTTCTCTTGGGGGGAGAAACCGGCCCGCGTGCGGGAAGCGCTGGGCACTCGCGGGGAGCCGCAGCCGTTACACCCCAGCCGCGGTGGCCCCTGGACTCTCATCCGGTTTTCCAGCTGCGGGCACAAACGAGGCCAGAAGGGAAAACCTAGCCCTCCTGGGGCTGAGTCGGGGTCCCGGTTTCCGGTGGGAAGAGTTGGCTCCACCCGGAAGTCGTGGATTCCCCGGGAGCTCCGCAGCCTAGAGCGGGCGCGCGTCCCGGCGGTTGCCTAGCAACGTCCAGCCGCGACCCCGGGGGGCCATGGAGGTGCCTAGCGGGACCAAGGAGGCGCCGAGCGGGTCCTCGGCGACGCCCGTCCGGACCACGGAGGCTCCCGTCGGGACTGTGAGCGCCGCGGTCCAGGAGCACCTGCGGCAGTTGTGTCTGCACGAGTTTCCGTGTGGCGCGGGCAGCTGGGTGCGGGCGACGGCGGGAGGGACCTGGGGGTCGCTGTGGGCGGGCCGGCCAGGGCTTAGGGACTGAGAGCCGGGCCAGGCAGGGCAGAGGGGGTGGGTCTGGGGACGCCGGTGACGGGACTCCTGCCCAGTCCTATAGTAATGACTCTTCCTACAGATAGCAGGTTTAGGGAGCAACCTGCCTGGGGGTGGGCGCGGGGTCGTAGCTGTGGCCCCCCTGGGCCTGGGGGAGTTGAACACATCCGCCCCGCTGGGGAGGGCCTCTCGCTTCCCTAGAGACAGCAGGAGAGCGAAGCCAGCAGTTGGGACCCCGCTGCCATGTGGCCAGAAGGGCCGTCACCAGCTAAGTGCCCCTGGCGGCGGGGGGGGGGGGGGGAACAGGGCCGCGAGATGGGGTCCCGAAGTGTGCAGGAACGTCCTGAGGCTGGAAGGGCGGCGGTGGGAAGCCGGGCCCCACACACTCCTTGGCGCTCAGGGCCTCCCTCAGCAGGAGTTCAGTGCAGGCAGTGACTGATCCCGTGCCTGGGATGACGCTGGGCTTCAGGGTTTGGAGACGACGTTCCTGGAGGAAGGAGAGGGAGACAGTAAACTCTGGGACAAGTTCGTCTGCCTTCCACTCACTGGCGTGGAAAGGCTCTGAATTCACCTTTCAGCCTTGCCTTCTCTCCACTAATGACGTCCCACAAGCCCCCTTTTGCACTTTCTTGCTTCTAGGACAGAAATCTTCCCTTAAATGTAGAATCATCCACTGGCATCTTTCAGGGTCCCAGCTCAAAAGCAAACTTCTGAAGGCAGGAATAGTTCTTTTCATTATTTTTTAAGTTTCTCTTGTCTGTCGTGACATCCACAGCTGGTTATCAGCCTAAAGCACCAATTACTTGTCTAAACGTCTGAACTCTTCGTCCCTGGTTGTCCTATTTTACAAGCTGTTCAGTCCTGAGACTTTCGGCTCCTAGAAATTCTGCACCTCCACCTCTGCAGAACAAGTCTCGATTTCTTCCTCGAACGCCGCGCACGTGGAGGGAGCTGACCCCCAGAGAGGAGGAGGCCGCGAGCTCCGGGGAGGAGACGGTGCAGGACCTGCTGGGCCTGGTCTGCAGTCCGCAGTCGCCCTGGGCCCTGCCGGAAGACTCCAGCGCGGAGGACCGGTTCCTGAGACAGCTGGCCGTCCAGAATCCCCTGATGCTCAAAGACACCTTCCTGTACTCCTATTTCAGGTCCCTCCGGGTGGTGGACAAGCAGGTGAGTGTGGGGGCACCTGGAGGCGATGGACAGCGTTAGGGAAGACCTGGGCGCCAAGTGGGAGAGGCCGGGTTAGCTCCATTCTGTTTCTGGTTCTTCGCCCCACCGGGCTGCCAGGCAGAGCGAGCCGCTCACCGGCTCTTTGTCACCTGGCTTCTCCCTGCACCCTGGGTGGAAGTCCACAGCGTATCTTAGAGAGCTGGTTTTGGGGCACCCTGCCTGGGTCCAGGTAGGGACCTCGCAGGTGTTCATGCTGGTTTTACTTCTTTTCGGCTGTGGGGCCGGCTCCGGGGGGACGAGACACAGTACTATAGTAATTGCTGTTTCTAAAAAGCCTTCTTTGCTTATATCGATAACGGAGCCCAAAGCTTGCATGGGAACTCGGCCTCTGACTTCCCGAGCTTGCGCCCCCTTTCCCAGAGAAACTGGGTGACACGGTGCTTGGGGGATGGGAAGGGGGAGCAACCAGTTTGCCTGGGACTTGCCCGGTGTTAACACCGAACTTCCATGTGCCTGGGACCCCTGAGTCCCAGGCAGGCTGGCATGGTTGCCGCCCTAGAGAAGAGAGGCCCTCGGGGAGGGTCCCAATGTCTCTGACACAGGGGGAGCTGAGGACTCACGGACAGGCTCTGGTCTGGCCCTGCTGTTTGTGACCCACGGTGATGCCTTAAGACCCCCTGGTTCACTGCGGCTTGGGGGAGGGGGGACAGCCACGGAGAATGGGGCTCCTGCCCTCTGGGGCTCCCAGCCCAACAAGGGCCACAGGTCACTGAGCTGGAAATGGTCTGACACCCCCAGTCGGGAGGGGTGAGGGCTGGAGAGGTGAGAGGTCGGAGCCACACCTGAGACGTGCGGGTCCTGGCAGCAGGAAGCAGGAGAGGCTCACAGGGAGGATGGGGGTCAGGGTGCAGGGAACGGCGGAAGGACAAGCTGTTGCCATCCTCACGGCGGCTGGGGGGCTGCTCCACGCTGCCTCCCTGCCTCCCTCCACCAGCTCTTCGCGCCCCCTCCTCGATTTCCAGGTGAGCCTGGTGGACAAGGACCTGCTGAAGTTCCCGAGGCTGGAGGAGTTGGTGCTGAGCGCCAATCAGATCAGGGAGGTCACTGCCGCCAATCTGCCCCCGACTCTCAAGGTAAAGGAGGTCAGACCAAGCTCACGTCTGGGAGGGCACGCTGCCAGGGGACCTCCACCGCCACCTGACATGCCTTGCCGCGGGCAAGGCCCAGCTCCAGGCCCTTCAGGGGGGTGTCAGGGCTTGCAGAAGTAGAATTTCCGCAGACTCAGCGCTTCCCTTCCCAGGGAGACAGAGCCCAAAAGGCAGGCAGGGACTCCGACTCATGTGCACCAGGGTTCGTGGCAGCATCATTCATGATTGCCAAAAGGTGGGGACAACCCCAGTGTCTACCCACAGATGGTGGAAAAACACAGTGGGGCCTGTCCCTGCAGGGGACTGTGATTCAGCCATAAAAAGGAGTGACCCAGGCTACACCGCCCATGAACCTGAAAACGTGATGCTGAATGATGAAGGCCAGACATGGAAGGCTACGTGTCGGATGGTGCCAGCTCCATGAACTGTGCAGAAGGGACAGATCCAGGGGCAGACACTCGGGGGGAGGTTACCAGTGGCCGTGCGGGTGGGGGCGGGGCCGTGGGGAACTGTGGCTTTTGTGGAGCAGAGTGTCTGGGGCGGTGAGAAAATTCCGACATAGATCGTGATGACGGTGGTCTGACAATGGGAATGAACTTAACGCCACTGAGTCTGGTACTTAAAGTGTTTCAAGTGGCAGATGACGAGAGATACATTTCACCGCAATAAAAAGGTGTTTAAATATAAAGGCAGGCCAGGTTTTCTCATTAAGTCTTAGGCTCAGCATATCAAAATGGTCTCAATTTTATCTTGTTTTAATTTAAATTTTATCTCTGAATTCTAACTTAACATGGACGTTGATTTGTACTGGTGTCAGGTGCACAGCGCGCTGCCTAGACAATCGTGTGCTCTCCCAGGTGACCCCCCGACACTTCCAGGATGCCCCTGGCCCCGTACAGAGTTGCTATCACATCACCGACTGTGTTTCCTCTGTGTGCTGTACATCCCCTTGACTATTTTGTAACCACCAATCCGTACTTTTTTTTTATTTCGTAGAGACTTTATTTATTTATTTTTAGAAAGAGGGGAAGGGAGGGAGAAAGAGGTAGAGAAACATCAATGTGTGGTTGCCTCTCGTGCGCCCCCTACTGGGGAACCTGGCTCATAACCCAGGCGTGTGCCCTGACTGGGAATCAAACCAGCAACCCTTTGGTTCACAGGCCCTCGATTAATCCACTGAGCTGCACCAGCCAGGTGTGGCTTCTTAATTCCTTAAAAAATGGTCTCACTTTTACACCGAGTGCTGGGATTAGTAGATTTCCTGGCAGAGGGGCTGAGAACTAGAGCTCAGGGCCACGGTCAAGAAAACTCCAAGCAAGGCCTTGGAGGCGGGAACCAGAACCACTGCTGTTTTCTGTCCAGGTTCCTCTGGCTTTTCCAGATGATACCGAGCCCAGGTCCAGCTGCCTGCCCTGTGAAAGCCAATGATCAAGAGACGGGGGGCTCTGGCCAGGTAGCTCCATTGGTTAGAGCGTTGTCCTGATACACCGTGGTTGCAGGTTCAATCCCTGGTCAGAGCACACAGAAAAGCAACCAGTGAGTCCTGACCAGTGTTGCTTGGTCAGTTGGGCGTCATCCCACAAGGTGAAAGGTCACCGGTCCGATTCCTTGTCTGGACACAAGCCTGGGTCGTGGGTTTGGTCCCCACTCGGCACATACGGGAGGCAACCGATCAATGTTTCTCTCTTACATTGATGTTTCTCTCTCTCTCTTTCTCCTTTACTCTCTCTCTAAAAATAAATAAAATCTTTAACAAAAAAATAAAATAAGTCAGCAAGCAAGCAACCAATGAATGCATAAATAGATAGAACAGCAAAAAATGATGTCTCTCTTCCTTCCTCTCTTTCTCTAAAATCGATACATTAAAAAAGAGAGAGAGAGACGGGTTGGCGGAAGGAAAGTAAGTTTATTCGAGAGCCGGCAACCTGAGAAAGTCGGACATGCTGGCCACCGAGACCATCTTTAGGTCTCAGGCGGAGGGAGGGGAACAGACACGTGGATCCCGGGGAGGGGTCGGAAAGCCTCCTGGGTGCGGACACGCCCCGTCCATTCCGATAAGGATCTCCAGCCTCCTGACTTCACGTCATTCTGGTTGTACGTCGTTCTGGTTTTATGTCATCCTGGTTTGACGGTTGGAGGTCACCAAATCTCCCAGAGCTGGGAGGCCTGACGGTCAGAGTCTGCCTCTTTTGAAGTTAGTTCCTAGAATTCTTATATAAGCGCACTGTTTATCTGTAAGCTACATATTAGTCAGACTCAGCCCTTACAGAGACAGTGTGGAAAGGAGGGTGGGTGGGTCGCACAGAGACCTGGCTGCAGGTCTCGGAGTTGCCAGTGTCATGCATGTCCCCTCCCCTGTGCCCCAGCGTCACCTCCCGTCCCCAATTTTGAAGTTTCCCTCCCAGAAGAAAACGAAACTTTCCAACGCCCGCAGCAGGGACACGTAGGTCCCGGACTTTCACGAGGGAGTCCAGGCGGGGCGGGCGGGCCCGACGCCTCGGACGGGCACCTCCTCTGCCGCGTTCCCCCCGCAGAGGGGGGCTCACGGGCGCCCTCCCCACCCCCAGGTGCTGGAGCTCTACGACAACGCCATCACCAGCTTGGAGTGCCTGTGTGCGCACCCGCCGCCCGGCCTCCAGCACCTGGGGCTGGGCCACAACAAGCTCCTGGGCCCCCAGCAGAGTCTGTACCTCACCGCCGAGCACTGGTAACACGGGACCCCAAGGAGGCAAGGGGAAGGGGCTTGGGCGTGCGACCCTGGGGGGCCTGGAGGGCCCCGCTCCGCTCTCTGCTGTAATAACTCGTGCTCGGCTGCTGAGTCCGGACCGGAGGCTCATGTCTCCGACCCAATAAAAGCGGCCCCACAGGAGGCTGAGAAAGCCAGAGCTTCGCCGGGCGCAGAGCAGGCCCCAGACCCAGGCCCCGCCGTCACGTACACTGCAGACGGGGCAGTTCCCCGAGGGGGGCTGCCTTGTGCCGCAGGAAGGCCACCGGCATCCCCGGCCTCTCCCCACTGGGAGCTGGCAGCACCCACCCCGCACCAGTGGTGACAACTGACGTGTCTCCCGTGGCTGCCGAGGCGGGCAAGGCTGCCCTGAGCGGGGCACCACTGCCCCCTGGACAGCCCTCGGTGGGCAAAACGTGGGCAACAGACAACCCCAACCTGAGGGAGAGGAGGCCAGGGGCTGCCCGGGAAAGGCTGTGGGAGGCAGCCGGCCCAGAGGCTGGTCGGAGCGGGCTGTGCGGTGCCCCCCCCTTGGCCGAGGTCCACGTGGTTCCCTCCCCCACGGCCCAGGAGGGGCAGAGGGCATTGGTCAGCGTCGCTGCCCCGCTTTCCCACGTAATGGGGGGGGGATGCGCTCTCACCTCTGTGTGTCCTGCCCACGCCCCCTCGCCGCACTGGGCCGTGCCCAGGTGATTCTCCCACAGACCCTGGCTGTCGGGTTGTAGCTCAGGTGCACTTGGCCTGCAGCCAGGACCATAGACAGTACCAAGTGCTCCGGCGTTTTCTTGGGAAAATAATACCATAACCTAGGTAACCTTTGTATGCTGAGTGTGGATTTCATAAAATCATGTAAAACCTCCATCTTTCAATGCTTTGAAGTTAAAAGGAAGGTGGACATCTTATTACCCGACTTCGTGGATACTTCCCCTGTTCTGTGGACGGGCTGATTGTGGGTCAAGACCATGTATTCCCCACCAGTGGGCTGGCCCAGCAGGACCCGAGGGGACGTGCTCCGAGCTGGTGTGCAGGAGGGTCATGGGTTGGGGGGGCCCCAGAGATGTGCTAAGGAAGAGTCTCCCCGTCCCTCTCACCTCCCTTCTCAGTGCCGAGTTCAGTTTGCTTTCCAGTCCACTTGGCCCTGGGGGACTGCCTGCCCCCACTGGCCCTCCGCCCCTCCTCCATCCTGTGGCCCCAGAGCTGGACCAAATAGCTTCCAGTGGTCAGTTGCCAGCCAGCTTTGGAAAGTGTCCTCCAGCTTCCAGACCCATCACGGCTCCTGCATCTCCTCCCCTGTCCCCAGATCACCTGACACTATGTCCCCACCCAGTGCCCCTCCCCAAAGGGGCTCTGCTCTGCTGGCCTTGTCAGTCAGCCTCTGTCCGGAACCTTCCAGACACACCACACCGAGCCAGGCTCCCCGGGAGCTGCCGAGCGTTTAACCTGCAAGAGGAGATGTGTGTCTGTGGGAGTCAGGCAGAGGCAGGATGTGACCGGGCCGCCTCTGACGTGGGGGCCGGCAGTGCCACCGAGCGTGGGCAGGAGAGCCAGAAGGGCCCTCGCTGTGTTGGGGGGCTAACACGGCCAAGGGCCACCCAAGGCGGGCCAGTCCCCCTCCTACCCTCAGCACCCGCCTCCTGTCTGCCCTGGGCCTGGAGTGCGGGGCAGGGGGAGGCCGGGCGGGCAGGTGGGTCAGACCGCTCTGCTCCCCTTCCAGGCCCAACCTCGTGTCCCTGGACCTGAGCTTCAACGACCTGGTAGACCTGCAAGGCATGGTCGCCAGCCTCAGCACCCTGCCCTGCCTGCGGCTCCTGGTGCTTCAGGGGAACCCGCTGGCCCTGGTCCCCTACTACCGGGGCTTCACCATCGACAGCCTGGCCCGGCTCTGCGTGCTGGACGACGTCACCGTGTCTCCCACCGAGAAGTACCAGTTCCGGGGCCTCCGCAACAGGGGAGGTGAGGCAGCTGACATGCCGGCTCCAGGGCCCCCCCGCTGCCCACCTGCCATGTTCCCTGGGTGGGCTGTCCCCACGGCTCCCTGGTGGGCCCAGAGCCTGGTCGGGTGGGGCTCACCTTCTTTCTCAGTCCCTCCCAGAATTGATTCCTACGATCAGGGTCTGGGGACAGAAGGGCTAGGGAGGCTGGGACCTGCTCTGTCCCCTCCCTTCCCAGGCACAATGGGAAGCATTCTCAAGGCAGCTTCTTCATGTCCATGGTGGCTTGAGATCACCCCCTTCTGGCTGCGAGCGGCACCGGCGCCTTCTCGAGCCCGCGCTCTGGCTCTGCAACCGCCCTGCGGGGCAGCGGCTATCATTCCCATCATGCAGATGGGGACACAAGGCAACGAGGGGTGGCCACTGGTCACTGCAACTGAGCCGAGTCTGCGAACTGCGGGGCTCCGCCCACCCCGCGGCCCGCGGTTCCCGCCTCCCGCCCCGCGGCGCCCCTCACTCCTGCCCGTCCCCCCGCAGACCTCTTGGCACCTGAGGCACAGCTCGTGGTGACCATCGGAAACCTCGGAGGGGTCCCGGACACCTCGGTCTTGGACCCGGAGCCGGGCCCGCAAGGCCCCATCATCTCGTACAGCTACTACGTGACCTACGACTTCGTGGAGGACGAAGAGAGCGACAGGGACGAGTACCTGGAGGAGCTGGCCGAGGTGCGCGCCCGGGCCGCCCCGGACCCGGGCTCCGAGCCGGGTTGCCTTTCTCGTAACTGAAACGACTCCCAGCCACTCACCCTCCTGTCCCCCGAAAATAAGAGCAAAAGGCCTAACAAGGGAGCAAGCAGCCCAGAGTGTCGCCCCCAGACTGAGGGCTCCCCGCGCCCCTGCCACCCCCGCCCGGCTGGTGCTGCTCTGCCCCCTCGCGGAGGAAACCGGGCCGGTCCACGCGCCCCCTGAGTTCCCGCGCGCGCCCCACCCGAGACCCGCCCAGACGCTGCGTCCGCCCCTGCGCACCCGCCCCCGCCGGCGCCGGGCCCACCGCCCCGGGGGGCTCTCCACTCCGCGCGTCTGCCCCGGCAGGTCTTCAAGCGCTCGCCCAGCCAGGAGCAGCCGGGCCAGGAGGCCACCGAGCAGGCTGCGGGCTCCGCCGAGTCCGCGCCCCCGTCCGCGTCCCCGTCGGCCGAGCTGGAGGGGTCCCTGGGCTCCGCCGCGTTTTCGTCCCCGGCCGGGTCGGCGGACTCCGCACAGGAGCTGGCCAAGCTGCGGCCGAGGGTCGACCCCCGGCTCTTCCCGTCCCCGGGGTAAGGACGGGGCCCGGGTCGCCACGGTCCCAGCCCGGCCGGACCCCACCGCCCCTCCGGGTCTGGTCCGGTCCGCTGAGCGCCCCCTGGAGCCTGGGCGCGGGCCGCGGGGACCCCTCGGGGCGGTGCGGGTTCGGGACTCGGCTCTCTCCTCGAGAGCCCGCACCTCCCAGCCCGAGTGCGGCTGAGTCTCCCTCCCCGGGGGCCGGGGGGGGGGGGCTGGCTTCGCCGCCCGCCCCGGGAGAAGGGGGAGAAGGAGGGCGCAGCGCCTTTTTTCGGCCTCGGGGGTGGAAACCGTTTCCGTCTACCGTTCGTGGGCCCCCGCCTCACCGCGGTTCGCGTCCCCCGGTTATCGTCCCCCCAGCCGAGCGGCAGGCGCTCCCCGCCTTCCCGAGGGGTCCCGCGGGCTCCTGACAATAGAGTCAGGTCTCATTCAGGAACTATTTTGTTTTTTGTTTGTTCGTTTTTTTTTTAAATTTAATTTATTTATCTTTAGAAAGGAAAGGAGAGAAACATCAATGTGAGAAACATCAATGTGTGGTTGCTTCTCCTGTGTCCCCTGCTGGGAACTGGCCTGCAACCCACGCATGTGCCCTGACTGGGAATCGAACCAGGATCTGTTGGTTCACAGGCCTGTGCTCAATCCACTGAGCCACACCAGCCAGGGCTATTTTGTTCTCATTTTAAAACACGGAGCTTTGTTTGTTTTTTTGGTTTTGTGGGAGTTTTTTTTTGTTTTTTTTACAAACGCCCTGACATCGTGTGTGGCTGTGCTTCCCCACCACAGTGCAGGGACTGACCCCGTCACCGGGCCCAGCTGGTGGCCTCCCGCAGACCCTGCCACCAGGGCCTTCCAGGAGCTGCAGAAACTAGCTTCTCTCGGAGTGTGCGAAAATTTTATTTTTAAAAAATTATTTAAAACCTCATTTCCAAGGAAATGACACGGGTTCCTTGAAAATGTGGGGGAGCTCAAGCCGCCCCCCCCCATGCTGGTGTCCCCTGTGGGGACAGAGAAAAGACAGTGGACGGGCCAGCCGGGCACTGCCGCGGGCTGACAGGGTGGTGGTTGTAACTTTTGGAAAAGGTGAACAAAAAAAATAATAAGAGCCACAAATAATTCCACCACTTCAAACATTACGTAAATTAGAAAATGTCACTCTGCCCTTAATGGGCACGATTCTGGGTCTCTGGGCTGCAGATGGCAAGTAAGACAGCCCTTGGCCTGCGGGCCCTCACCCACCGCGGGAGGGCAGTGACCCAGCAGGAGTCACGGGGGCACCTCACCCTGCACAGCAACTGCCGCCCCGGGGAAGTCCGGGCAGGTGTGTGGGCCCCGAGACGGCAGGAGGGGGAGACAGGTGGCAGAAGCTTGGGGTGGGGGTGGAAAGGTCAACGGGGGGAAGCATGTTCTCAGGAGGGGCACCCACGTCGGATTTGTGCCTTGGTTGGGGCTGCGGCGGCGAAGGCCATCTGAAAGAGATTGAGCAACCGTTAATTACCCCAGATGCATTTGTAAACGGTATTTTACCACTTGGGAACAACTCAGGGAATTCGGAACACTTCTGCTTCTCCTTTGCTGAGGTTCTTAAACACTTCTGATTAGTTTCCACCCCTGTCCTCTGTCCCGTCACCCCTCACCCCCACTGAAGGGAGTCCCCACTCAGCATTCACCGGCCCACTTTCTTCATGACCTCTGTGCCCCCTTCCTGGCCTCCTGGTCCCGGCCCCACTTGGCAGCGGTCAGCTCCAGGCCCATGTCATCCCACAGTGCCCCACGGCCTGTTGCTGGCCTGGGCGATGACGCCCTGGGTTCCTGCCCCCACCCCCCAGAACGGTCCTCTTCAGCACCTCCCGCAAGCCCTGGGCAGACGTCATCTCCTGCAACTATGAGATGCAGCACACGCTCAGGGGCCTGGTGCCACTCAAGGCCTTCCTGCTGGCGGGGACCACGGTGACCATCGTGGAGGAGAAGGTGGGCTCTGGGGTCCCCGGACACGGACGCAGACACATTGCCCCTTCCCACTTCCGGGTTCCTATTTCGGCACCTGTGGCCCTGCCTGCTCCCGGGTTGCACCTTTCCAGAAAGCCCCCCGCCAGCCCCAGCTTGGCCGGGCTCACGCAAGGCCGCCTTGCTGCGTCCCCTAGATCCTGTCGTGGCCTGAGGTGCCACCTCCCGTGGACAGTCCCTTGCCTGCCAAGAAGGAAAAAGGGGAGAACAAGAAAGAGAAAGAGGAGACAGGCCAGAAGGGGCAAGACGGGAAGGACAAGGCCTCCACAGGGAAGAAGGAGACGACAAAGGTACCACCGGCCTGGGCAGTGGCTCTGGGTGCGTCCCTGGGGCCCCTGTCACCCTCCCGGCCTCTCCTCACAGGAACAGAAGGGGTCCAAGAAGAAGAGAGACCTTCCCAAGGACCTCCACCAGGACCCACCCATCCTGAGGGTGCTGGGCAGCAGCTCGGTGGTCCTGGAGCCGCTGCTGGTGGGCGAGTCCCTCGTGTCCACCCTCTGCAACTTCGGGGTGACCCGCACCTTGGAGTCCGACAGGCTGACATTCCTCAGGGTACCCTGGGGCCAGGCCGTGGGTGGGCCCGCTCCCCCCAGGAGACGCCGCGCTGCCTCTGCATCCACCCCTTCCCCCACACCCCCACCCTGTGAGCATCTTCTTTGGTGGTTCTCTCTCTCAGGACTCCAGGAATAAGAAAGCCAAAAAACGTAAGGGTGACGACGGGGACTGGTGGCCGGGGTGTTGTCTGAGGACCCGGGTCCGCCCACGGGAGCAGCACAGACCAGGCCGCTCGGGAACAACAGGCACTTCTTTCCCGCAGCTCTGGAGCCGGGGAGGCCCAAGAACAAGGCGCAGGCGGCAGGTGAGGGCCCCCTTCCTGGTTCACAGCTTCTCACGGGGTCGTGGCCTCTGAAGGCAGGGGCCGGAGGGGCTCTCCGGGGTTCCTTTTCTGAGGATGCTAGTCCCATCGTGATGACTCCGCCCTTGCACCCTAGTCACCTCCCGAAGGCTCCACCTACGAACACCATCACCTGGGGGGGCAGGACTGCACATACGAATGTGGGGGGCACCCACATTCTGGTCATAGCAGGACCTGCAGAGGAGGGAGCCTGTGTGGGACCATAGGGATGGAAGGATGGAGAACCTATCTTCCAGCAGTGCGTGGGCCACCCCACCCAAGGGCCAAGTCATCTTTTCTGTGGTCCGAGACCAGAGCCGCCTGCTGTGGGTCTCCCATGGCCGGGAAAGCATTCGGGGCTAGGAACCAGGACAAGGTGAAGGACTCGGGGATCCTGACCCATGGTCCCCTGGCTCAGCCGTCATCTGACTCCTGCTTCGGTTCATTAGACCCTAACTGCCCTAAGAGGAGTCTGGACTTGTTCTGTGGGTGGTGGGCAAGCCGCCCAAGTGTCTGAAAGAGCTAAGTTTCAGAGTTGAGTGTTGGAACGGCCTGGCTGGGAGGGGGAGGGGGAGGTGGCGGAGAGGGAGGTCAGCTGGCAGGCCGCCGCAAAGTGTGAGGCCAGGCCACAGCAGGCGGCGTCGCAGCAGGCAGAGAGTGGAAGCAGCCCGCGCGGGTCGATGGACGATGGGCAAAGTGCGGCACGGTCCCGCCCCTGTGCGCGGTGACTCAGCCATGGGAAGGGATGAAGCGCTAACCCCGCTACCGCAGCGCAGATGAGCCTTGAGAACAGAAGCCGAGTGAGAGAGGCCGGACACCAAAGGCCGTGCACGATCACATTTATATGAAATGTTCCGAATAGGCAAAGCCGTAGAAACAGGAAGTAGATTAGTTAGTGGTTGCTGGGCTCTGGGAGAGGCTGCCGCCCGTGGGCGCGGGGTTTCCATCTGGAGTGATGAAAGCGTTCTGGAATGGGGTGGCATTACATTGCGAATATGCTTTAAAAATGGTTAAAATGTTGAGTTTTATGAGAATTTTCTCAGTGAAAAAATTCATTGAGAACAGAAGTAGAAGGTCGGTATACTATGTAGATGAACAAGGAGGTTGAATACTGTTAAGGTGTCAGTTTCTCTCAAATTGATCTATAGATTTGATGCCATTTCAGTCTCAATCCTAGAGGGATTGTTTAAAAACAGAAATCGGCAATCTGATTTTAAAATGCATGTGGAACTGCGAAGGAGCTAGGATAGGCAAAATGACTTTGAAAAAGCACAATGGATTTATTTACACTGCTTGGATCCTAAGACCTTTACAAACATTGACACGTGAGTTGGGGCACAGCTATGGGGTTAAGATGGCCTCAGGGTTATTTTTGTTTACATTTTGTTTACATTGATATAAACCTTTCAAATGTCTGGCTTAATTGAGGATAGCTGCAATCGCCCAAGTCACTCTGGGGCCACTCCCTTGCGCTGAGTTGAAGTGTATGAAGGAAATCTGGGCCCCAGTTTTTTTAAAGATTATTATGACGTGAAAGCTGCATCTATAGGAATGGACGCTTTCATGATCAGCCACGTTAAAGGCCCCTGGGCTACTCTGCATTTTGAGCGGCTGACTTTTCCATGCACAGTTCGCAGCACCAGACCTTGGTCCTATGTAAAACGCTGAGTCACGCAGGTGTAGACTCAGGTCATCATACGCTACCCAAAACCCACACTTTTCAGTATCACCACCCATATGTATCATGAGAAGGGCCTCGGAGTGTGCGGGCAAACTAAGCTCGCGGTGGCAGATAGAATGTTGCAAAATTCGGATTTCTGTTCGAGTGTCAGGAATTTGTCGAAGTGCTTTCGGTTGCTTTCCCTGAAGTGCCAGGCTTACTTCATTTTTTTTTTTTTATAAAGAAACTATCTGCCAAATATTCACGTCTGAATAACCACAGTCTATCAGTGTCTTTTCAAGTGCAGCGGTGGTGCCTGGATCAAATGTGATTTCGCTTTATTCGATATTACGGAGTCTGAGCCGGGTCGGGCCGCGTCCGGACGCACGGAGGCCGGGCTGGCGTTTGGGGCCGGGCAGTGAGCCGGCTCCCGACTCCCGTACTCGTCCCCCGCTCAGTGTTCGTCGAGGGCGACTACCAGCCGGAGCCGCTGACGGTGGAGGTGCAGGTCCAGCTGACGCAGTGCCGCTCGGCCGAGGAGGCGCTGCGGGCCCTTGCTCTGTGGCCGAATTAAAGGCTGTTGTGAACACCGCAGCTCCGCGTCTGTCTGGCAGCCGCGCGTCCGGGAGCCGGGCGCTGCGGGAGCTGGGCGGGCCCAGCCACTCTGCGCCGTAGGGCCGCGGCGGGGAGCAGTAGAGACCCCCGGGTGGGAGGGGCTCGTGCCCGCAAAGCCCCGCCCACACGTAGGCGTGACCGCCGCTCAGGGCCCGCCCACCGCCCTGGTTGCGCGAGGTGCGTGCGGTCCGAGCTCCGGGTAGGAAGGAGCTCCGGGTCCGAGCTCCGCTGCCGGCGCTGCTTGTCGAACCCCTCGCCTGTGCCCGACCGGCGGCAAGGCTCAGGTAGGTCCACGAGGCGCGGGGCGTGCCCGGCCGCCACGCCCGGAGCCCCGCTACGAGACGTGCACAGAGGGGCGCCCCAGCTGTCCCGGGGACGCCCGAACCCTCCCAGGCGGCGCAGGGTCTGGCCGCGGCGGGCTCGTCGTCTCCTTCCTTCCCCGCTGTGACCGCGAGCCGGGCGTCGGGGACGGGTCCAGCCTGGGTCGGTAGCCTGGGCCGCTTGCCCTGGACGCCTCGACGCGCGGCGCCAGCGGCTCGTGGGCTCAGGCCCGGAGGGGTGCTCTCCGCGGGGCCCCTGGTTGGTGCTTCGCGACCCCGCGGCCCCGCAGAGACGCGTGGAAGGGACGACGAGCCCGCCCTGGGCTCTGCCGCGTCGTGACGGGTCGGGTCGCCGAGCCCTGTGAGGACCCGAGGGGTCCTCCAGAAACGACTGCAGACCCTTGGGACTCCGCACCCCACTTAGGGCGGGGTCGTGAGCTCGTCTCCGGAGGGAAGGGGAAGCGGGTGTGGAACTACAGGAGGCGCGGGGGCTGTGGGTCACGGCGTGCGGGCAGTGCGGGCCGCCGCGAGGTGGGGGCGCGGTGGGCAGAGCACTCAGGCCGCTAGACGCACAACACCCCGCCGCCCGCCCGGGGCGCCGGCCCTGGGCCCGCGTGCCGTCCACACCTGAAACTCATTTCTCACGCCTGAAACTCATTTCTCACGCCTGAAACTCATTTCCCAGGTCCGCAACCCACTGGGCCCCGCCGCCCGGGGCGCCGTCCCTGGGCCCGCGTGCCGTCCACACCTGAAACTCATTTCTCACGCCTGAAACCCACTGGGCTCGGCCGCCCGGGCCGCACCTGCGTTCTGACTAAGGCTGGTTCTCACCTGGGCTCCTGCTGCCATTCCCACTCCTCCGCAGCCCGTTATCTACTGGGGCAGCAGCGACGTGGCTTTCTGAACAGCCTGGCTCCTGCCGGCCTCTGCCCCTCCCTCCTGGGGCCCCGGGTCTGCCATTGCCCGGGCACTTCCCCAGCCCCTCACCGCGGCCTGCGCGCCCTGTGCGCCCTGCGGCTGTGTCCCCAGCCTCCCGCACCGCGAGCTCCGCGCCTGGCTGCGCACCCTGGCTGGCACGGTCCCCCAGATGGTTACAGGGATCGTTACTGCATTCCGTTCTTGCTCAGACGTCCTTTATCAGGGTGGGCGCTCTAAACCACTGTGGGTCAGACAACATACCGTCCCTGGATTCTGTGACACTGCTGGAATGTCCTCAGCACTATCTGACATTCGTGCCGGTTTTTAGGGTCTGTCCCTCCTTTCGAGGGCTGTGACCCTGGCACCAACACCCCAAGCAGCTACAGAAGATCTGTGTGGGGCAGCAGGGACAACAGGCCGAGGCCAGTGCTGGTAGACTGGACAGACGTGATGTCCTGTCAGACCAGGACAGTGTGGCCAGAGGGGTGGAGAGGGGGGCATTAGAGCCGGACTTTGCTGCCCTGGACTTGGGGCAGGCGCCTCTGCGGGCAGGTCTCCTTGCTTCCTCCCTGGGGCGTCTCCAGCCCTCCCACTACCCGACTGCTCCCCCTGTGCCTGTGGCTGCTCACTGACCCCCAGGTTGGCTCCCAGGAAGCCCAGGCCCCTTCAGCGGGCGTGCCCTGTGGTGGCCGCCCCCCCCCCCCCCCATCTCCTGCTCTGTTAGGGCTGTCACCCAATGCGGGGCCTGCCGCCAGCAGACCAGACTTTTTGGGAATCATGACTTTAGACAGGGGAACCCAGGATGTCATGTTTGATAGTTAGAATGAATTTTACCAGAAGCTAAACTAGCTTTGTGCCATTTCCACTAAAGCATGTAAGGGACTGGTTTCATTGGGAAAATGCTGAAAATGCTCATGGCCCCTCAGTTTTAAAGTGGCTGACCTAAGAGCCCCCCGATGGACGACAGACCAGGTATGCTCACTCTGTCCTCAGGGAGGACTCTGGAAAGAGGAGGACCTGCTGAAATGAATAATTAAGGCTCCAAGGCCAGCCAGGACTTAGACTAGACTCCGAGTTGTGGGTAGTGGGGACTCTCGGGACCCGGGGATCAGGGATGGCACAACCCACTGACACGCTCTTCCCTCGCAGGCCCCGCCATGTTCCACAGGCTGGGCTGGCTGGTCCTGTACAGCCTGGCCGTGCTGCTGCTCAGCTGCCTGCTCCTCCTGAAGAAGGAGGCCGAGCCTGCGGGAGCCCGCCAGCCCTTCTGGGCTCCCCCGGGGCCCCGCCACAGCCCGTGTCCACCCAACCACACAGTGGCCAATGCCTCCCTATCCCTGCCCAGCCGTCACCGCCTCTTCTTGACCTATCGCCACTGCCGCAACTTCTCCATCTTGTTGGAGCCTTCAGGCTGTGCCAAGGATGTCTTTCTGCTCCTGGCCATCAAGTCACAGCCTGGCCACGTGGAGCAGCGTGCAGCCATCCGAGGCACATGGGGACGGGCAGGGGACTGGGCTAGGGGCCGGCAGCTGAGACTGGTGTTCCTTCTCGGGGTGGGGGGACCTGCACCCCCAACCCAGCTGCTGGCCTACGAGAGTCGGGAGTTTGGTGACATCCTGCAGTGGGACTTTGCTGAGGACTTCTTCAACCTGACCCTCAAGGAGCTGCACCTGCAGCGCTGGGTGGCAGCTGCCTGTCCCCAGGCACACTTTGTGCTAAAGGGAGATGACGATGTTTTTGTCCATGTCCCCAATGTCTTGGAGTTCCTGGATGGCTGGGATCCAGCCCAGGACCTCCTGGTGGGAGATGTCATCCGCCAGGCTCTACCTAACAGGAACACCAAGGTCAAATACTTCATCCCACCCTCCATGTACAGAGCCCGCCACTACCCGCCCTACGCTGGGGGTGGGGGGTATGTCATGTCCAGAGCCACTGTGCAGCACCTCCAGGCAGCCGTGGAAGAGGCCGAACTCTTCCCCATTGACGACGTCTTCGTGGGCATGTGCCTGAGGAAGCTGGGGGTGAGCCCCGTGCACCACGCCGGCTTCAAGACGTTCGGCATACGGCGGCCCCTGGACCCCCTGGACCCCTGCCTGTACAGAGGGCTGCTCCTGGTGCACCGCCTCAGCCCCCTGGAGATGTGGACCATGTGGGCACTGGTGACAGATGAGGGGCTCAAGTGCACAGCTGCTCCCTTGTCCCGGCTCTGAGGGATGGGCTGAGTTTCCTCTCATGAGAAATCAACGAACTTGAAACTTGACCTGTGACCATCTATAGGAAATGCTTAGTTTTGGTAAGCTGCTCTCAACTTTTCCAACTTTGATTAAAAACACTGCAACCTGGCTTACTTCTATGGGATGTGTTGAATGGGAGCTAGGACTCCAAGGGCTGGGGGGCTGCTGGAGACCCATGGGGCTAGACCTGTCTCGGGGCAGGGGCCAAAGTAGGGGGCTGCTGAGGACCCCAGAACACATACACATTTTTTTTAAATGCAAAAAAACATTCTCCTTCATACACAGTAGAGAAATTGGGGGGGGGGGGGGGGAGAAGCGTGTGTTGGAGCAGTCCTGCTGAGTCCCAGGTAAACTTCTGCATGGCCTCCTAAGAAGGGACGTTTGGCTCCCTGGCCTGAGCTGGCCGCACGGAGCAGAGGGGCCGGGCCAGAAAACGCTCACAAAGAAACAGAAAAGCAGGACAGGCCCCCTCTCTCCCCAAAACTCACATGTCTATGGGGGGAGCAAATACTATTTGAAAATTGAATACTATTGGAAACAGGTTAAAAGAACTACAAAACTTCTGCCTATGACAAAAAAGAACCCCTTTCTCCGGCCAGGTTGGTGAGATGCTCTGGGTGGGAGGACAGCTGTGTTGAGTGGGGTGCAATGGTAAATGGGGTGCTGTGCCCCGGGCTAGGAACCAGGTCCAGTACGAGCCTGAGATCAGGAGGAGGGGTTGGGCACTCGCAGCCCACACAGGCCTCAGGCCCGATGGGCCAGGGCAGGACCTGCCGCCGCCTCGTGGTGCAGAGAAAGCTGTGCCGAGCCCAGGTGGAGTGGGCAGACATGCGCAGCGGCTCAGGCCCTCAATCCTCACGCAGGTAGGCCTCCTGCTCCGCCTCAGCCCTGTCGTCGCCCTCCTGTGTTTTCTGACGGAGCTCTTCCGTCTGTGCTTCTGCCAACTTGGTTTCTGCTTTCTGGGAGAGCTGGCGCACCTCCTGCACCTGTGACTTCACCAGCTGAACATGATTCCTGGCAGTTATGGAGGCCTGGTCTGCTCCTGCCAAGAGACGGGACAATACGCTGAGCTTACAAAGCAGGTGGGAGTGGACACAAGGAACAGCCGCCGGTGGGCTCCGCGGCGGTCATCTGCACCCCCGAGAGCCCCACTCCCTGCAGAGCAGACAACTCTGATTCCACATGCAGGTCTGCATTTTACTCCTGTCAAAATCCTAGCATTTATCTCCCGTTACGAGAAACTATCATTATAGTTATTAAATGCAATTCCCACAAGTTTTATAGCTACATAGCTCCTAATATAGATCTTATGAATTTGTTTTTTATGCATTTAAGTTTTTAACTCCACAAATAGTACATTTTTGTGACAAATTAAGACATCAATAATAAAATTGTCAAAATTCTTTTCTCACCTGAACCAGTCTTCAGATATAACTTCTGCTGGAAGTGTAAAAGGCATGTTATCTTTTAAAATGTGCTCCTATACATACAGAATGCTTAGAAAAAGTTACTATAAATATATACAACAGTACAAATGGTGTTTGTTGATTGTATTTTGCAATTTTGTTTAAAAATGTTTTTAAGCTCTATCATTTAAAAAAAAAAAGATTTTAGAGAGGGAGGGGGAGAGACATTGACGTGTGGTTGCCTCTCATGTACCACCCCCCTCAGGGACCTGGCCTGCAACCCAGGCATGTGCCCTGACTGGGAATTGAACCAGCGGCCATCAGGTTCACAGGCTGGTGCCCGGTCCACTGAGCCACACCAGCCAGGGCACGCTCAAAACTTTTGTGAGCCCTTTTGGGCAGTTCCGGGAAGTGTGTTTTCCAGGCAGCGCTCGCTCGCACTCTGTTCCTCCCTCCCAGCTCTGAGCCTGCCCCGAGAGTGGTGGTGGTGGCGTGGTGAGTCCCATGGAGGCACCTCAGTCCCTGACCCACGCACTGCACCTGGGCCCGCTCCCACCCCCAGGGTCACCACCATCACGCTACTCTCATCACTTCTGTTTCGCTCGTCACTCCTGTCCTGTTGTCGCAATCTCTGATTCCTTGAAATTTTTTTTTACTTAAGAAATCTTCTGTGTCCTTTTTAAGATTTGGTGTTTTAACATACCAGTTTCTTACTAAGAGCTGCTACTGGGCTATAATCTCCGTGAGCCAGCTTTGTGGGACTGGTCAGGTAAGTGGGGTTTCCCTCAAAGTACATTTAATTAAAAAAAAACTCTTCTGCTTAAGCCCAGTGGATGGACAGTGACGTTCAAAAAACAGCCTGATGAACAAGTAACTGCATTTTCTGTACCGAGGCACCGAGGTGCGCGGCATGAGGCCCAGCCGACCGGGAGCAAAGGCTCCGGAACCTGAGCTGCCTGCCCGCTGCTCGCTCCCTGCCCCACAGCACCCTGGGGGTTACTTGGCCCCTCTGTCCCTCAGTTTCTTCACCTGTCAAGTGGGAATAATAACAATAACAATAGGTCCTCCTTTAAGGGACCTTTAAGAGTTCAATTAAAAGTGCCTATAAAAGGTTGCCCACAAAGCCTGTACAGACAAATGTTAGTCATTCATAAATTGGGCTTTAAAAAAGAAAATGCTTAAAAACTATTTGAAGACAAATTTTCCAATTGACGGCAGTTTTATCATTTACTGTTTTTCCTTTTCTAGATGGTGACAATCTCACTTCTGCTGGGCTGGTCTGCAGGGCACTAACCTTCCCACTGCACAAGTAGAAGGTTGTTGGCTGTACTGGGAACAAGGACTGTTTCTCACCAAGTTAGAGCCACGGGGGGCAGGGGGGGGGATTAGTCCATCTGACCCAAACCCCTCAGTTTTACAGCTGAAAGCACAACGGCGCCTCCACAGTGAAGACTAACCTACCGGTGTGGTACGCGGCTTCTGCTGCCATCTCGGAAAGACTAACCGCGGTCATCCAAGTGGTCTCCAGCCTCAAGTACTCTTGCTGTTTTGAAGTCATCTGTAAGTTAAACAACGCGCGCCAGAAAACGGAGAGGGTGAGCACGAGTACACAGACTTGAACGTGGAAGACCTGGAGAACGGTCACTGGCCAGACCCTCAACCCAGACGTTGGGACGCACAGTGAGGCTCACCTCGACCCTGGCTCCGATGATCACCTGCCACACCTCATCCTCCTCCTGGGAGTTCATCTTCCCGAGTAAGCTTGTGTACTGTCGGTACAGAGAGACCAATGTGTAAACGGCCTACAAACAGAGAAGAAGTCTATGTGAGACAAGCGAGGCGTACCAGGTGGGGGCAGTAAGACGGACACCTCCGCAGATGAAGCCCCGCAACAGCGGACTGCCCTCGGTCCTGCAGCCTCGCGGTCCGTACAGTCCATATAGCCCTGCTGTATGAGGTCGAGCATTAGCCCAGGATCGCAGCTCTACTTGTCAATTTTTGTGATTTTAAAAGCTTGTTAGTAACTCAGAGAAAAAACACAATGCAGAGGGGAACCCAGAAAGCTGAGAAAAAAGCTGCTGGAAAATACATGTAAAATAAAGATTTTTAAACAGCTTTGTCACCCACGTACTCTCTATGAGCTCAGGCCCGTGGTTTTCAAGCCGCCCTCACAGAGCAGCCCCCGGCACTGCTGCTGGTGGTAGACTTTGGGCCGTTTTACCCCCAGCTGAACCAGATCAGCCAGCGTGCTTCCCGCCTTACAAACTGGGCTACTACAGTTACAGATTTTTCTTTTAAAAACCAGAGATTTAGATCAGGGTGAGAGTGGGAATTTTAGGCTTTGTGGCCCTATAGTTTGTTGCAACTATTAACTCACAAAAGCAGGCATTGGACCGGACAGGGCTGTGAGCTGGTTCGCTCACTGCCGGTGTAGACCGGGACTGGACAGGACACTCACCTTAGTGTACTCAGTGATGGCTTCGATCAGCGCGTAGGTGGTCTGCGAGAGGAAGGTGGAGGTGCTGTCTGTCACCAGAGACACCGCTCTCCTCATCAGTGCCTCGTTACTGAGGGAATGGGGTTCCGCTTTCTGAAAAAGACACACACACATTTTCACTGAGCTCCCAAAGCTGGAGTGGAGGAGGGCGTCATGGCCGCCAGTGAAAACGTAACTCACACACTGCACTGCACTTCTTTGTATCAGCTGTTGCTTGTAAAGCTTCAGTTTGGCTGCTTAAGACAATTAATAGAAATAATTCCAGAGTATGCTTTCAACCTGCCTTTATTCTTTAGTCTCTACTCCAAAAAGCAAACTATTTTTTTATATCGAAGGCTAGTAATTATGCACAACAAATTTCATGAAGTTACGATTCATTCATTACCACAGGGCTAGAGGCTTGGGATATAAAGACAGAAAACTATACTCTCGCCCTCGAAGATTTCAGACAGGCTGGAACTCACAGACAACGTGAAGGTTAATAATGCACTTAAACACCACGGGAGCCACGGCAGCAGTCTGCACGGGCAGCAGTCGGGCCGCACAGGCAAGTGATCGCTCCTGTACTGAATGAGAACAGCTGAGAAGAGGCTTCAGCGTGGAGAATTAAACTGAGCAGAAGTAAATGGGAGGGTGGGGGAGGGCAACTCTGCATAGAATGAACAGCACAGTCTCAGTGGGAAGCTCTGCACTCTGACCTCAGCTATTGTGTTTAAAGAAAGTCATTGTAACTAACTGACTCTGCCTTCACTTCCTCAGCAGAGCATTCATTGTACTAGAACTAACAAAGAAACCAGTCCCTCTATCATCTATTGTCTTGTTCTTGCTGCAGTAGTCAAGAAATATCTTTAATACATGAACAAATCAAGAATTTACCGTATTTCTATTTCGTTCAATCCGATAATGAAGTACTCTTTTTCTGCACTGTGCAGAGGGGCTACACAGGGAGGAATGACATTCTCTGTGCTTCCGAGAAGCTGACTTTGACATTCTGATAAGTGAGGTCTTCACAGTGCCCTGCATCTCACGAGCATTTTCACCTGTTCCTCACAACAGCCCAGGGGCCATCACTTCTTTTAACAGGTGAGGAAAGGAAGCGCAGAGCAGCTGTGTGGCTTCCCCGAAAAGCCTGCCGTCTACACCTCTCGCTCCGAGGCTTCCGTCCTGCTCTGCAGACTCCCTCAGAGAGTGCCACATGCACTGTCGTCACACACCAGAACATGCAACACAGAGTAGGGAGACAGTCCGACAGGCCGGGGACCAGGCAAGGAGTTGGGCCTGAGGAAAGACAGCCTAGATGAGAAGGGCAGGCCTCTGGGCTGGCAGGCCCGACGATGAGCGAGTACCTGCATTCAGGGCGTGTTTGGGAGCCGCGCGTGCTGAGACTGGTGGCATAAGGAGGTGAGGGTGGAGTGCAGGGACAGTGACATGCACTTGAGTTCTGCATGCAGTGGTGACCACTGCGGTTCTGAGGAACAGAACTGTCTACAGGAGCACAGGCTCTTGTCACGTGGCCCGGAAATGGGGCTTACTAACAGTACTCGAACTGAGAGAGGACAACCCCAAGAAGTCCTAGTTGGGGCTCAAAATGGCCTGCTGTTCAAGCAAGGCTTTAGGGTTAAAAGACTCATCGGTGTGCAGCAGTGAGGGTTGAAGGGACGCACAGACAGGTGAGGGCTTGCTCAGAAGACACCGAAAATACTCGCAATAAATGCAATTAACCTTGTGATACACATACAAGGGGGACCCACCCCCCAAAGCTGGAACTTATGAACAATTGTGTATTTTAACATGTTTAAACTTCAGTTGCCTTCAAAGTACTCTCCATTTTATGCAATACTCCTGTTGAGACCATTTTTTCCATTGCTTCTGCCTTTTTTGTTTCACCTCTTCCAAACCATTTACCTCTGAGGACTTTTTTCATCTGGCGTAAGTCACTGGGAACAAGATAGGGTGAGTACAGAGGGCAGGGCATGGGGGTCATAATGTTTTTGGTTAAAAACTGCCGAACACTCAACACGGTGTGGGTGGGTGTGCTCACAATCACCCGTCATGAAACAGGCAGATGTGCTGAAGGAGAGTCTTCAAAAAAACAAAAAGCCAAACAACAAACACCTCACTGAGGCCAAAAGCAGCCTCTCACAACACCACCATCTGGTGCGCTGATGCAGATGGGTCCCTAGGACACTCACCCAGCGCGGGAAGCCTGCGCTGCAAGGGACCCGCCCTCTGGAGCATTCCAGGGCCTTTGCGGGGGGGCCCCTTCCGTAAGTATCAGGAATGTTTTGCTGAAATGGGTTTGCTGATTTCCTGTTTGGTTCTCCCTTCCAAATAAAGCAGGCACCACTCTCACACCAGCTGTCCACGCGACAATCCCACTCACATGTCTACTAGAGACCTTGGACCATCATTTCCAAAACTGAACTCCTGACTCTTCCTCCCCAAGCCTATTCCTTTCTATCCCAATAAATGTCAGCTCCATTTTTTGCTTAGGCCTTTTAAAATCAATGGAATTGACTTCCACCAAGATGAAGGCATAGGTGGATATGCCATGCCTTCTCACACAACCAAGTTTAGAGACAACTAAATATTAGCAACAGAAAACAGAGCCAGAGCACAGAAAATTGAACTTTTCGGAAGTCTGTTAACAACAAATTCTTCAGCCTGACCGGTAAGGGGCGAAACCAGCAGCTGCTGGAGCGGGGTTGCACAGGAAAACTCGGTCAGACGGACACAGGCGCACGGAATCCAGGCACAGGGTTGGACCTAGTGAGAGACCGACCAAACGACCTCGGGGAAACAGCGAGGGAGCAGGGCTGCGGGTTGACTGTGGCTGCGCATTTGTGCACGGATAGACAAGCCAGGGAGTGGGTGATTGGACTGGGACCCAGTGGGTCCCCGCAGCAAGTAGCAGGGAGGGCGCCGCCATTTCCCTGCTCTGACCCCACCTCCACATACAGCGTCATAACCCAGCTACTCTGAGTGGCGTGGCCTTGGTGAACCACCTAAGGCGCTGCTCCTCACCCAGCCTCGAGAAACTGCAGAGGGGGCCGCCATTTCCCCGCTCTGACCACGCCCCCACATACCGCCTCACAACCCAGTCACCCGGCAGTCCAAGGCTCTGCTACTCACACTTAAAGGGCCAGAACAGACCAAAAATGGCTCAAGAAGATCTCAAAGCCCCAGAGCCTATAAATCTAAGCGATGAAGAAATAGCAAAACTCTCAGACGCACAGTTTAAAACACTGGTGTGATCAGGATCCTCACAGAACTGGTTGATTATACCCACAAATTAGACAAACATATGAAGGCAAAACTAATTGAAATGAATGCAATTGCACAGGAAACCAATAGCGATGTAAAGGAAACTGGGACTCAAATCAATGGAGTGGACCAGAAGAAAGCAAATAATGGCCAAACAGAAAAGAGTGAAGCAAGAATTCAAAAAAATGAGGAGAGTCTTAGGAACCTCCAGGACATCTTTAAACGCTCCAACATCCAAATTTTAGGGGTACCAGAAGGGGGAAAGGCACAGCCACCAGTGGAAAACTTATTTGAACAAATAATAAAGGAGAATTTCCCCAATCTGGCAAAGGAAATAGACTTCCAGGAAATCCAGGAAGCTCAGAGAATCCCAAAGAAGATGGACCCAAGAAGGAACACACCAAGGCACATCATCATTACATTAGCCAAGATTAAAATGAAGGAGAGAATCCTAGAAGCAGCAAGAGCTAAGGGGACAGTCACCTACAAAGGCGTTCCCATCAGACTGTCAGCAGATTTCTCAAAAGAGACCTTACAGGCAAGAAGGGGCTGGAAAGAGGTATTCCAAGTCATGAAATCCAAAGACCTACAACCAAGAGTGCTCTATCCAGCAAAACTTTCATTTAGAATGGAAGGACAGATAAAGTGCTTCTCAGATAAGATCAAATTCAAGGAGTTCATCATCACCAAGCCCTTATTATATGAAATGTTAAAGGGACTTATCTAAGAAAAAGAAGTTAAAGAAACATGAACAGTGAAAGGACAACAAACTCACAGTTATTAACAACCACACCTAAAACAAAAGCAAACTAAAAGGACAGCTAGATCAGGAGTGGAAACACAGAAATGAAGATCTCAAGGAGGGTTAGCAACAGGGGAGTGGGAGGAGGAGAAGGGGGGAGAAGGTACAGAAAATAAGTAGCATAGACAGTAGATAGAAAATAGATGGGGGGCCAAGAATAGTATGGGAAATATAGAATCTAAAGAACTTGAAACACATGGTCATAAACTAAAGGGGGGGAATGGTGGGGATGGGGGTAGGGTGGAGGGGAATGAAGGGGGGGAACAGAACAACTGTAACAGCATAATCAATAAAAAAAATTAAAAAAAAATAAATTCCAGGTAAAAAAAAAATAAGTGTCACTTAAGAAAATAAAATAAAAATAGTGGAGTTCCAGTCATGATAAAGTAAAAATAATAAAATAAAAAATAAAAATAAAATCAATGGAATCTAGGTTCTACACTAACTCATCAGCAGTCCCAGCTGACCACAGGTGGCCCGCTTCTCCCCACCTCCACTGCTGCCCACCCAGACCTAGAGCACTATCATCTCATGCCTGGACTCCGCTTGGTCTTCCCAGCTCCACACACACCTTCAAAAAGCTGAATCAGTAAATGACTTGGTACTATATACGGCAAACCCTACAGCCTCCACCAAAAAACTATTAGAACTAATAAATGAATCTAGTCTAGTTGCAGAATACAGAACCAACATACAGAAATTGGTGCATTTCTATACACCAATAATAAATGATCAGAAGGAGAAATTAAGAAAAAATCCATTTACAATTGCATAAGAAGTAGAAGATACCTAGGAATAAATTTAACAAAGAAATGAAAGATCTGTACTCTGAAAACTGTGTGACACTGAAGAAAGAAACTGAACAAAACACTGTTAAGTACAAGGATGTATCCTGCTCATGGACTAGAAGGATTAACATTGTTAAATGTCCTTACTACTTAGGGTGATACACAGATTCGATGAAGCACCTCCTAAAATATCAATGGTGTTCCTCTCAGAATTAAAACTAGTCCTTAAATTTATATGGAACCATGAAAGTCCCCCAAACCACATAAATCCTGAGAAAGAACAAAGTAGGAGGTACCATTCTTTCTGATACCAAACTACACTACAAACTGACAATAATCACACAGTACAGTACTGGCAAAAAATAAATAAAAAATCAAAACAGTGGACTAGAAAACAGAGACCAGAAATAAATCCTCACTTATATGGCCAATTAATCTACAAAAAAGGTGGCAAGCATATAAATGTAGTAAAGACAATCTCCTCAGTTAAGTAGTGTTGGCAAAACTGGGCAGATACATGCAAAAAAATGAAAATGGACCACTGTCTTATACAATATACAAAAAGAAGTACATTTATTATAGAAGGTTCTACACATTTACCGTATTTAAACTCAAAATGGATTAAAGACTTAAATGTCAGGCCTGAAACCATTAAACTCTTACAAGAAAACACTGGCAGTAAACTCCGACATCACCCTTAGCAATCTTTTCAGATACATTGCCTTGAGCAAAGGAAATAGAAGAAAAAAAATAAACAAATGGGACTATATCAAACTGTAAAGTTTTTGCACAGCAAAGGAAGCCATCGACAAAATGAACAATCTACTGAATGGGAGGAGATATCTGCAAATGATACATCCAGTAAGGGATTAATGTCCAAAACATATAAGAAATTCATACAATTTAACCCCCCCAAATTTTCCAACTTAAAAGTATCAGGGCCCCCCCCCCGTGGGCAGCCCAGTCGGTTGGAGCATCTTCCCCACTCATGGAGGTTGTCTGTTTGACCCCGTCAGAGCGCCTGCAAGAATCACCCAAAGAACGCACCGGGAACAACATTCGATGTTTCCCTTTCTCAAGTCAATAAAGTAAAAAGTTAAAAACAAATTAATAACAATTGAAAGGTAGAAATGTCAGAGGACCTGAACATCTTCCCCACACACAGGTGGCAGCACAGAGTGAAGGTGCTCAGCACCGCTATAGCCACAGGTGCACACCGACACCGCAGGGGTGGGCGCCTCAACCTGTGGTGCCCAGGAAGGAGAGGGAAGGGAACCTCTGAGCTCTGCTGGTGGGACTGTAAATTAGTGGAGCCACAATGGAAAACAGTAGGGAGGTTCCTCAAAAAATTAAAAATAGAGCTGCTAAATACGTAGAGCCCTGTAGAGCCCTCTATAATACACGAGCTTCTTCCAACCGTACACAACAGTCTCAGACACAGTCGACGAATACACAGACTGCTGTCCTATGAAAATATATACCTTTTACTTTGAAATAAATAAAAAATACAAAGTTACATCAGCGCATAATAATCTCGTATCAAAATTCTCTGCGGCCTCCTTTTCAGAAATCTAACACTTTACAGTGTTAGATTTACACTTTACGCTGCAATCTGCTGCCTGTCCCCAGGGGTGCGCCTTCTTGGGGACACTGACACCACGGAGGCGCCCTCTCAGGTCCTTCTTATCCCTCTCTGCCCAACCCACGCTGGGTCCTGGCGCCCCCGGCGGGTGTCAAACAGAACAGCTCCTCCCAGGACTTCAGGGTCAGCAGTGTTTGCCCCGCAGCACCTCTCACCTGGCCTCTCTTACGCCTCTCACCTGGCCTCTCTTACCTGCCGACTCTCCCCTCCTTCTCTCCGGGGTGTCAGCTCTACGACAGCAAGGGCTGTGTTTTGCTCAGTGGACGGTACACAAAAAATGCTCAGTGAATTTTGTTAAATGAAAGACTACTCTGCTGATAGACTCTAGTACACTCTTCTTATTTCTCTCATCCCTCGTTACACAATTTGACATGCTGTTCCTACCCAAAGAGGCCATGAAATGGGCACATTAGTACTCATTTAGCTCTTAGAAGGTGCAGGTGTGGCGGAAGGTATGCCGTGGGGGGGCGGGGGAGGCATTGGGTGAAATCAGGAGCGCTTCCCGATGCTTCGCGCTTTCCAGGTGAGAGCGCTTTCCAGGTGAAACTCGAGGAGGACGCACAGCAGCACTGAGGGAGCAGCGCCGACCGCCGCCATAGCACTCACCTGGGCGATAGGGACTGCACACAGGGCCACCCCAAATCCAACGGCCACGGTTTTGTGCCATGGTCTCACGGAGGCCGAGAAACAGCGCTTCAAGTTAGCCGCGACAGGAACACACCGCCTGTACCTGGACGCAGAAGTAGAATTTAACAAGGCACAACCACCAGTTTGTAAAAGTCCCTTCGACTTAGCCACGGGAGGTCGAAACTCAACGTGGGGCCACGGGGGCGCCTGCAGGGAGGCGCAGGGCCGGCCTCCCAGAGGGCGGGGCTCGGAGGGGAGCGTGGCGCGCTGCAAAGCCCGGGCCTCGTCGCAGGGACACCGCCCCCTAGCTCCAGGGCAGCACCGCTGTCCGGCAAAGCGGGCCCGTAAACTTCTGGAGTTCACTGGGTGCCAGAAGTTTACGAGGTGCACCCCAAGGTTTTTAAACGCCGCAAGCCCAAACAGACCGCAAACGCGGTTTACCTCTGGACCTCTGGCAAGGTGTCTGAGAGTCCCCACTAGGCGCCCGGAGCCCGCAGGTGCCGCTAAGTTCCCGGGCCCTTCTGCCCTCGGGGCGGACTTCATCAACCCGCCGCCTGTCCAGCCTTCGAAGGGCAGCGGGAACTCGCGGGCAGGCCGAGCAGCCCCAGGAAGACACCCGGAGGTCGGAGGGACTGGCTCTCAGCAGGTGGAATAACGGAAGAGCCGTTGGTGAGGAACGGCCCGGGCTCCGGCGAAGGGCGTGGGAGGCCTCCAGGGCCCGGGCCCAGGAGGGGCACACCCTCAGACCGCTGAGAGGGGCGGGGCACCGCGGCCCGCTCGGCGGAAGAAAGAAGCGCGCACCAGCAAGGCCCGCGCCACGACCCCGGCCAGGAGCTTTCTTCGTTGCCTCCCCACTCCCCTCCAGCTCTCCAACACAAGCGCAGCGGTACCTTAAGAAGGACGACACGCTTCGGGACAGCCAACTCCTCAGAGCAGCCATCCCGCGACGCACGGACGCCAGGCGCACACGCCGGAAGTGACGTTTCCTCGTGAGCGGTGGGCGGGGCTTGGCCTCCCCTCCGGAAGGCCGGGCCCCAAGACCACGCCTCTTGCTGAGGAAGCAGGCGGTATTGGACCGGCGGGGAAGGTGGGCGGAGCTGAGGGAAACGGCAGTAACGGCCGCGTTGGGTACCCAACCGCTGGAGCTTTCGCGTGGGGAGGGGCCTGCGGCGTGAAGTGGGCGGAGCCAATAGGCCGGCTTGAGGCCGTTTGGACTCGGCACGCCCCGAGAGACCATCCGGACCTGGGGGCGAGGAGGACTGGGGGCGGGGCGCGGGGAGCTGGAGCTGGAGCAGAGGCGCTGTCACTTCAGCACCAGGAAGTAGGTGGTCCAGCCTGCCAGTAACAGTGCCCCGATGAGCACCGTGTAGCTGAGGAGCACGAAGGCCAGCAGCTCCCGCAGCAGCTGCAGCACGTGGATGGTGGACGAGGATGGCATCGCCCTGCGCCGGAGGCCCGAGGACCTGCGAAGCAGAGGACCGTTCCCTCGTACGTCCCGCCTCCAGCGCACACAGCAGGGCTGCTGAGCCATCCCTGCTCTCGGCACTGTGGAAGCAGGTCCCAGTCTAACCCTAAGCTGGGTTAGGTCCCAGCCCTCTAAAAAGTAACTTTCCTAAGGCTAAGGAAGCCCAAAGTGCTGATTTTTTTCATAACAGCCATCTGGACGCTGTTTGCTTTTTCACTATAGAATTCTTTTAAAGCAGAAATTCCCTTCGTTCTTGGGCTGTGATCTGGATCTGGGCTCAGAGGACACTGCCGGCTGCTGCATTAGTCTTCATCCCCAGCCCTCTCCTCCCCTCCACCTCCTGCATTTTTAATGCTATGAGTGCTGCTAATGGGTAAGTGGAGTCAAGCTTTCTTTTCCCCAGCCCCAGCTGTCTGTGCTTGGGAGGGAAATAGAGATCCACTCGGGGAGGGGGAAGGCAGCAAGCCCTCAGTGCAATTCCCCTGGCCCCAAGGCCTGTCAATAGCAGAGCTTGAGGATCTTTGCTTTGTGGTCCAGCATGCCAACCCTTCTGCCCCGCCGGGATTGCCGGAGTGCCAAGAGGTGGGTCTCTATTTGATCCTGGGCTTATCTCCTTCCCCAATCGTGCTCTTGTTCATCTGCTCCAACCCTGCTGCTCTTCCATAGACGGTAACCATCACAAACCAGCTCTTTACCTTAATAGCTGCCCTGCCCAGGAAATCCCCACAGTGCCAGCCACTAGCTTCCCTCTTCCCCATTTCACTCACTCGGCCAAGTTTCCAAGACTCCTGCTCCACGCAGCTCGGGGCTTCTTCCTGATCCGGCGTCCGAAGGTGGCTCGTGTGCACTCCAGCGATCTGGGCAGAGCTGAGGGATTCTCAGGCAGCAGCTGCACTCATCAACTAGGTGTGGTCTAGAGACCAATCACAATCTCCACGTGGTCCCTGAGCTACCAGGGAGCTGCGCACAGGCGGTCCCAGGGCAGGCGGGGCATTGGCAGCTCTGCCTGCCCTCTCTGCCTGGGTCACCACCCCTGCCCCTGCAGGTTGCCTGCAAAGCTCCTGAGGTAGATGGGCTGAGCAGGTGGTACCCTAGGGGGTATTTCATGCCCCTTCTTGTCTGCCTTCCTACCCACTGTGGATGGGATTCAGTCCAAATCCTTTTCTAACACGTTCAGAGCAACCCCATCCTACTCTCAGACTAGAACCATTATACAAACGGTGTTCACCACGACCGCCCTACTAAGCAAAAGCTGTTGTCTTAAAAAAAAAGACACGAAAACGCGAGGGTGCATGTGTGTAAGGACCAGGAGGGGAGGCCCAAGCGCTCCCCAGCGGCTCCAGTTCACGGACTGAGCAGTTTAGAGACTCGTCACACCACCACCTTCCCAATGTGCCTGCTTCCACTTTCAAGTCCTCCCCAGAAAGAGACAAAAAGAACCAGCCCGGACTACAGCAAATACAGAACAGACCCTTTCCCGGATGCGCTAGTGAAAGAAAACACGAACTATGCCACTGCTTCTTTTGCTTTTGTACTAGTTTGTAGTCAGAGTGTTTTTTTTTCTTGTTTTGTTTTTTGACGTTAAAAAAGTAGCAGGCAGTGTGCACGCCAACCCTTTTATCAACATCATCATCCAGAAGCAAATGGCCCTTTAATTCGATCAGCATCTCTCATTATCAAATCATTGCCTGGCCGCGGCTCGGCCGAAAACCAGAGCAGACCATTACCGAGCTGCTCAGGAAGTCAGTAATTGCTCCCCGAGAGAACTGGTCAACTTAAGGGCTTCTGTGTCCTGCATAGTCACAGGGAAGAAAGTGTAGCTAAGATCATACCCTCATCCCACACCAAAGCAACAGATGAAAAGAGAGGCTTTTAAAACAGGCAGATTCTGCCCTGACTGGTGGTGTTCAGTTGGATGGGAGCTGTCCCACAAAGTCACTGGTTGCATTCCCAGTCAGGGTACACGCCTGGGGCTGCAGGTTCAGGCCCGAGTCAGGGTGCATACAAGAGGCAACTGATCAGTGTTTCTCAACATCGATGTTTCTCTCCCTCTCTTCCCCTCTAAAAAATAAATAAAAGTTAAAAAAAAATAATAAGCCCATGCTCTTCCCCCTCACCTCTCACACCCTTCAAATGGATGTCTCCGGGCAGTTAGGCATTCGAGCCTTTGTGGCCTCTAGTCACCACCCGATTTTGGATATTTCATGGCAGTGGAGGAACAAACTGAGAAACATTATGTGGCTTGGAGTTTGTATGCATTGATTTAGAAATAAGAGGATCTGAGAAATGTTACATTGCCACCCTTTTCTCCGACTTACGACAAAAAGGTGCCCCGCCCCCATTTCCTATAGCTCGTCATCGTGCTGAACCACACAAGTTAATGCATCAGGCTCAAGAGTGTCACTCATGGACTATGTGACATCTGCCTCTCTATCCCTTGGCACCTCTGTCACGGCCCCTGTCCCTGTCTGCGCTCAGCTCACTTTGCTATTTTGAAGTATTTCCTTTTGCACTCAACTCTGCTGAATACAAACACTCCCAGCTCACGACAGGGAGTCTTTCACATACAAGGGAGAACAAGAGACAAATCAGCACCGGTTTCCCCTGAGGGCAGTGCTGGAGCGGACTGGGACTCTCGAAGGGTCTTCCCTTTCCACTTCTCTCCAGAACTCGGTGTGCTGCTTCTAACCGGCCTCCTTTTAACCGTTCCTTACGCTCTGGTCCTCAGTGTAACTCCAGTTCAAATTCCTTTTTCTTTGTTGGCTGAAATTCAAGTCTATAGTAAGACACAGAACAGTGCCTATGTAGACTTCTTTATCTATGCAGACTCCTTTTTTAGGGGACTGCGGGTATAGCAGAACTGTCTACTCAGCAGACAAAAGTCCAGACGTGATGTAAACCATCCACCCTGCCCAGGAGTAAGTGTGCCCATTCACGTAGCCTTTCTCGGTAAGGCCACACTCCCGTGAGACAAAGACGGCTTCAAGTATTGAGTGAGCTGACACAAAGGCGTATAATATACAACTATCCAGCACTTTCTGTTTGCATACAAATGAAGCAATTGATGTTTCTGAGTCTTCGGAGGAATGCATTTTCAGGTGCTGACCTAACTATGCTCCGAGCAGGCGGGTGGAGGGCCACGAGCGAATGCAGTTACATGAGACACAGCCGAGCGTCTGTTCACCTGTTCACGGGCGAGAAACCCCAGCCAAGGAGACCTGACTGGACTTGAATTGAATCCCCTGAGCCAAAAGCACCGCGGGACAATGTGCATTTCACTCTGCCAGGCCGCAGACGCTGACAGCTAGCTGCTGGGGCCGGGAGGTATAAACTAATCTCCCTGGGACAGTGAGGGTCTGAGAACGGAGCCTCTAAGACAGGAGTCATTCTCACTGAGACCATTTCCGAACACTGAAAGCTGAGGCCAATTAAGGACAAACAAATCTTTTAAATATTACCTCTTCTACACCCCCATTCTTATATTAAACAGATTTAAAAAATATATATATAGAAATTTGCTCTGTGTGGCTCAGTTGGTTCTGAGCCCTCCCACTAAGTGAAGGGTCGATCAGGGCACAGGCCTGGGTTGCGGGTTTGGTTCCCAGTTGGGATGTGTTCAAGAGGCAGCTGATTCGTGTTTCTCACCCTCCCTTTCCCCCTCTCTAAATATAAATAAAATCTTTAAAAATATATACAGCATTTCTCTTCCACTTCATAACATGCAATGTGCCTAACACAATTCTACCAATGAAAAAAAGTGAGAAAAAACATGTACGGTTCCTAATTAACCGTGGAAGCCTGGGGAGGATTAACCATGGGAGGGCACTGACTTTGGTCCCCCAGCAGAGGGGGGGACCAGCTAATTTTGCTGGCGACTTGGGCTGTGAAAACGTCAATTTGGCGTTAACTCCTCCAGATGCTGGGCTGACACACCCACAGCGCACCCGTCTCCCCCAAGGCCCAGCAGTCCCTGCGGAAAGAGCGGCCTCCGTGGATGCAGGAACTCCAAATTCATCCACTAGCTGTGTCTGAGGCGGCCAAGGTCACCGGACAAGAAACTGAAACGGAATTGGGTGTTTTCAACTAAAGCAAACACCAGGGGCTGAGTGTGAGCGACCAAGGACAGCGGACAGATTTGGAAGTGATGGAAGTCCCTGTGGTGGTTACTAGGGAGACAGAGCTGCCAGACACTTAAGAAGTAAGGGTGCTGTCACTCACGGCCGTGGGGCGGGTGGTGGTGGGCAGCTGGATGTTGGGCCCATGATGGGCAGGGAAGGGAACGCGAGCTTGGCCGAGGCACCCACCACCACAGTGTCTTGCAGTCAACAGCATGTGCACTAAGCACGTGTCCTTGGATGGTTCCATCCTCAGGAAGCTGCTCCCAAGTATCACCTTCCTCCAAGTAAAAAGCCCCGGGTAAGTGCCACAGACGTAGCCGATCAGACAGATTATAAACCTGGTTTTGGGGAAAGAAGCTCCCCCAAATCTCTCACTTCATAGAATCCAACGAATCAAAAGCCCAAGGAATCAAAACTTGCCTCAATGATTAGGGGAGGCGGAGAGCTGGCGACACTGGCTGAACGTAATGTGCCACGCTAAACAGGAAAAAGAAGTCTCACCTCGGTGGCCAAACTGTCTCCAGCTCCCAACGCCTAACCATTGGCCTAGGCCTGTGACTTCAAGAAATTTGCCTCTACTTGTCAGGGGTTGGACTTTCCACTTTTATTTTTGTTTTTAACCTGCCCGGACCCTGCTTTATTTGATGAACAGGCCCCATTTGCGGGCTGCACAGATTATCCCTCCCCGCGGTCCTTAACATATTTCCAGAGGTCTCTAATGAAGATCCTGAGCTTAAGGACATATAAACCTGGTATTTCTTTACCCAGGTTGTTCTCTCCTGTTCTTTCTTCAAGCAGTTAGGAACCAAAACAGAAGGAGAAAGGAGAGACCAGCATAATTTAAGAGGCTGCCACCCACGTACACTGTGTACTGCAATGTTATTCCTCCGCGGGGCCGCACTCCCTCCAGCAACTTCTTCAACCGGGCGGTGCGCGCCGCAGTTCGCGCTCAGTCCGCCCGGAGCGCCCTACACAGGCCTCTCCATCAGGGACTCTATCCAGGTGGCCCCGTTCATCAGTTTGGTGGTGGCGATGACGTACTCCGTGCCTCCGTCTTCCAACTGGGACAGAAAGCGCAGGGCAGCGATTTCGGCGAAGGTCACGCCCCCGAGGAAGAAGACCAAGGTGACTCGGTTTTCTCCCGGCTGACCTAAAATTGAAACGTTTCAGAATTAAAAGTATTCATTAGCTTATCTTCCGGTTTTCTTAAGAAACTGCGTCGTTCGTAAGAGGAAAAAAAGTCCAGCGTGTCTTGCTCGGACAGTTCACGTGAAACTCAGGCACGTGATTTTGTTCTCAAGAGTTTTTCCTAACTACTGAGATCTCTGCTCCAAATCTGAAAACCGCTACCCCTGAGGGAACAGTGGGCTCCCGGGCTGACAATATACATGAGCAACTAACAGAAGGGCTAGATTGGACTCTGACTCCCCGGGACAAAGGACGCACTAACAGTGCACGGTGATCGGCAGGGCCCGGCCGCTGACTCACGTTTCTTCTGCAGTCCCGTGGGCAAGGGCTGCCGCTCCTCGAAGTGGGGCCCCGGGAGGATGCGGAGGACCTCCTCGATGCTGCGCCAGCCGGGCCGGGAGAGCAGCTGGGCCAGCCGCACGCTGAGAGGGGCGTAGCCGCTGTACACGTAGGAGATGTCCGTGGGGTTCTGCTCGGAGGGGAAAACGCCTGTAGGTGCAGAGCCTCAGAGCCACCTAACGGTGGCCTTTCAGTGACCCCAAATTATCTGTTTGAGACCAAACCACAAGCAACCCTCTGTACCTCAGCAGCCTCCGAAAGGCCACTCAAAGCATCTCTAGGTGAAGATGGAAATGTGTTAGTTTGGCAAGAAACTTCTTGGAGGGTAACTTGGCAATTCTACCTGTCCGCACTTACGGAGGGGCTGGCACCCCGGGGAGACCGGCCCAAGGCCCTGACAGCACTGCCACGTCCGAACCCGTGCAAGGCCGCTCCATAGCTGTTATAAAGAACTTTGAAACATGAAGTCAGTCGCAGGAGGGTCTGCAGGCTACAGAGTCCATGGTGGGGGGGGGGGCGGCGGGCCAGGTCAGGGAAGAGAGCCAGACAGACAGTGTACACCGTGTGACCTAGAAATTAAAGTCTCTATGGTTCAGGTGAGAAAAAAACAATCAACTTGGTTCCTGAGAGAGGAGACAGTTCAACTATTAGCCTTCACCCCATGAGGCAGCCTAATAAAACCAAGGGGACAGACGCCTCTTGTCCCTGTGTCCTCCCTGTCACTCAGCTGAAGGCTGGCTGTCCCTCTCCTTGCCCTCAGGCCTCCGCCGATTGCCCCCCCCATCTTTATGAAACTCTCCTCAAACTGCCCATTGTGAGAGCGCCTTACGTTTCCTGCCGGGATTCTGCCAGACAGAACACACAAACGCATTGCTTTTTCACAAACATCGGAAAATTGCTTTTAGAAAGCGAGTGGCTGTGCGGACCGGGCAGCGTGCGTTGTCACCATAGACGGTTCACCGGCAACGAGCCGGGCTGGCGTGGGGACGGTGCCTCACCTGCTCGTTGACGTCGTCCATCCAGAGGCGCAAGGTCTTCCGGAGGGTGGGGTAGCTGTTCCTGCCGCCCACCTGCGGCTTCAGCAGGCCGGCCTTCTCCAGGCTGTGCAAGGTCAGGATGTGCTCGTAGCCGTATGTCTGCAAGAGGGGTCGTCGGCCTGGACGTCAGACCAGGAGAAGGGCTTCTGCGACTTCCAAAACGGAGCACTTCCCATAAGGCCATCTGGTGCGCACTCCGGACATATCATTGTGGTCTGGGTAATCCCCACCCTGGGCACAGGGGACCCTCCTGTTCCTCACAACCAGACCAGCTCATTACTTCAGAGAGGGGCTTAAAATGCTTGGAGGCCACATTCGTGGGCCCCGCCTAAGGGAGCACCGAATCGGTTACAGTCGGCCCTCGGACCACACAGCTTTGCACTTCACGGGCCCGCTTCCGCAAGCCCCGTTTTCCGCACACACGCACAGCACTGTAGGGCGCTTTCTCCTCCTACTGGTTTCAACAACACTGTCTCTTCTCTAGTTTAGTTTACTGTGAGAACACAGTAGGCGGTACACAGAGCACACAGAACCTGTTAACTGACCACCATGGCATCGCTAAGGCGTCCAGTCTACAGTGGGCTGTTAGTGGTCAGGCTTCTGTGTGTGGGGGGGTGTCCAAAGTTACACGTGAAATTTCAACACCTGCGCTGCTCGAGGGCCGGCTGCACAGTATGTGTGTATGGGACACAGTCAGCCATAAAAACGGATGAGGCAGGTCCACACATCCTGATAAGAGCGGTGGTGAAGGGGGGGAGGGGCGGTAGGAGAGGGGGGAGGGGAGGTAAACAGAGACAGAAGGAGACTTGACTTGGGCCGGGGAACACGCAGTGCAGTACACGGACCACGTGTTACAGATCTGTACCCCCAAAACCTACACAACTGTGTTAACCAATGTCATCCCAATAAATTCAATTAAAAAGGATCTTGGATATATTCTTCAGGGCAAAAAAATATAATACCAAACTATTACGTAGACAGTTGATTTTATTTCTGTTAATAGTCGTTAGTAAATCACAGCCAGCCCTTCCACAATGTCTCCTCTGTGGGGCGCGTTCCTCTGTTCTGAGCACTTCACACGCACTGACTCGGTCTCCTTGGCACGGCCCCGCCACGTGGCACGATTACCTCTCTATCTCACAGAGAAGCGTGCACAAGCTGCCCAAGGTCACACAGTAACAACACAGCGGGGACTCGGGCCCAGCCGGTCTCGCCCCCAGACCATGCACGTAAATGTTCTTTTACGTAAGGACAGAAGGCGATGGGGAGCAGACAAAGCCAGTGCTGACCTTGGTCCTATCTGGGCAGGGAGCCGGGGAGGGGGTGGGGTGCAGGGAGGGGCACATTTTGCTCCATGTACTTCTGCCTTACGTGACGAGGATGTGTGTGGTGTTTGTGGAATTTTTAAAGGAACAAACCCCCCCAAATTGAGCAAACATTTAGTTTTAACAATAACGTATTTAACTGTGACTGGTAATAGCAAATAAACACTGCCTGAGACATTTGCAAACAGAGGGGGTAATTTTAAAAGTAAACACTGCTGGGCTTTCCCTTGCTATAAGGTAACGCAGGCTTGATGTACGTCAGTCTGCCGAGGAATCACGAGAACGTCACAGAGCCCCCTTCCTCCTTGGAATGCTGTCCGGTTCCGCGCGTGGGCACTAGACCCCGGTGCCTGACTGACCAGCTGAGTGACCACGGGGGAGACACGCAACCACTCTGTGCCTCAGCTTTACCACCCATAAAGCGGGGAGACTCAGGGGCTGTTGTGGGCGTCAAACGCACCCACGCCAACAGAGCTCTTCCCTGGGGACTGGCAGCCGGCAAATGCTCCACAGACTTGATGATGATAATGACGACGATGGTGATGACGCGAACACAGCACACAGTGACTGACACCACGGACAAGCCCTCCGGGTGTTAAAAAGTGTAAAGGACGGCGGAAACAGTGCACCAAAAAAGGCAGATTTGGGAAGTGTTTAAAAACAACAACAAAACTCTCCTCCCTTGGCGGGTCAGTCCTCCCCCACCACACTGACCTGGAGAACTTCCCGTCTGTAGTGATCCAGAACCTTCTGCTTGAGCCCGCTGTTGCACACAGACTGCAGGCAGATCAGGCGCAGCACCTTGACCAGAGGGTGCTTCTGGGCGATGCAGTCCTCGATGTAGCCGTTGACCTGCAGGCGGAGCACGGACAGACAGGTGTACGCCAGCCCGGGTCTGGGGACCGCCCAGATTTGGCACGCACGACGCTGCTTCGAGATCGGACACAGGAGCTCTGCGGGAGGGTGGCCCCTTCCCCACGTTCCCGAAGCCCCCCAGCCCCCGCCGCCCACCCAGTCACCAGGAGCACCAGGCCCTGAGGCCACGCGTCTGGACTCCCCTTCCCCTGGGCACCGTCTCCCGAGAGGCGTGCGTGGCCCAGTCCAGCCCCGCACAGCAGCAATTTACCAGTAACGGGACTGTTTCTAGACGGCGGACATTTTCAAAGGTTTAATAACGTTAAGTTTATTAACAGAGGTGAATGTGTGAAGAAATTCTTAGGCCACATCTCTCCGCATGCAAACGCCCTTGGCCGTCTACCATGGCGCTCACAGCTCCTCGACTTCAGGGGCTGGGCAGGCCTCGCTGCGTTGCAGAGAGGGCCCTCCACAGCGTGAGGGTGACTGTCTGCCACTCAATAAAACGTGCACTGTCACACTCTGCATTTGCTCTTAAAAAAAGCAAGACGCCGGAGCCAAAACCACCGCTTTTCTCCCTACAGCCTCGTGTCTCTAAGCAGCCACGACTCCTGTGACAGCGTCACCCTTCAGGTACCTTGTCAGTGTCTATCCCAGACATGAACTCCTGCTCCACCGTCAGCTTATCGAAGAAGTCTTCAGAGGCTGAAATGTGATTAGGAAATCTGCAACTCAGAAATTCAATAAACGTCCGTTTATTTGAGCAGATGCTTTTACAAACAGAGCGCAGTGAAAGGGGTGAGACATGCCGAAAAGCAAGACGCGAAAGGCAGAAACAGCCCCCACCTCCACTCACGTCCTGGAAAAGCACGGCCAGCCCGCAGCCCTGTGCTCCCGCCACACGGAGATGCGGCCGGCCCCGTCCCCACCCCCGGGGCCATCCTCACGGCTCAAAGACAGATCCCCAAAACTTTGCCTCCGTGTCACAGAAAAAAGCTCTTTTCCCCAGAGTATTTCATCATCAGATTCAACCCAGTTTCAACTGATTTCTGTTAACAGGGGAAGGACCCGACTTGCCGGCACTGCCCTGTATGGAAGATTCGGAGTGTACTCCATAATCCAGGGCCCCGAATGAACTGCTATGCAGCTTTTAGGGCCTGCGTTTTAATGAATAAACTTGCCTCCGGCTTCCTATACTCCATCCTATACACGCTCACCACATGCCAGCTACCGATTCTGCAGAAAGGTCAAGTGAAAAGCAGAAATGGAAACAAGCGTCACGCTGCTCTAATTACATAACCCTGAACAACAGGAAAAAATACTAGACTGAAAAATTCACCGCCGCCTGTTCCAGTGGCAAGTCTACGGAAGAACTGTTTCTCTTACTGATGTTTCAAAGATTCTATCCTATGATTACATCATTGTAACAACGAAAAGAAATGTGTTAACCGCAGATGGCACATGTTTAACTGTGAACCTCTGTGCACTGAACTAACAGGGAGGAATCAGAGCGCTACTGACGACCAGACCGACCTCACGACCCCGAGGAGACCCCGCGGACACTCACTCGTGACGTCTTTGATTAACTCTGCGATGGAGGTGTGGTTCGCCAGCGAGCCCCGCGCCGCCTGCATGTGGGGCAGCTGGGACACGAACTGCTTGATCTCCCCCACTGTCTTGGCGTTGTGACGTTCCTGAAGCGAGCAGAAGCGTCGAGAAGGGGAGACACTTTAGGGGCTCTGTTCTCCGCGTATCTCAGGGGCGTTTAGTTTGTTTTAATGTGACCGGAAGCATGAAGACAAGTAAGTCAGGCCTCATCCAGATCCAATATCACAAGGAAAAACAGAGAAGGTACGTTCGCCACGCCTGTTCGTGGCATTAGGACGTCCGCGGTTTTCTCTCCCGAGGCCCCGGCTCATGCTGTGAACAGTATTTTGTGGGCATCTGGGTGTTTGTGGGGGCGGTACTGGGTAAGCCGCAAACATTTCGGAGGAAAACGCTAAACTGAAAATGTATGTTAAGAGGGGAACATAAACATCAGAAAGTTCCCTCTATAAGAAGAAAAAATCCGTTCTTCCTACTGAACCTCAAACTCGAATTGTCCATGAACAAAGTGAACTTCGCTTAGCGGTGAGAAAATGTTTTTTTTCCCCACAAAACTGAGTTGTTTAGACCAAATAATTTCAGAAATGTGAAAATCAATGAATGAATATAATTTCTAAGAAAAAAAGAAATCTGGAAATATAGACTCAGTGGAAAACTAGTTTTCAAAAATTTTCCAAGTTTCTGTTTGTGAAGTCCAACTACTCAGCTCATCACCTCGCTGATTTCCAACGTGTCCAAAACCAGCTTAACCGAGAACCGAACAGGGACAGGGCGGGAGGCAGCACGGGGGTGATAACGAAGGCTGGGGCTCTGGGGACCTCGCTGTCATTATCGCCCAGCATGTCTGCAGGGGTCCCCTTCAAGGATGTGTTGGCCAAACTTGGCTTTCTCACCCCAAACTGCAAGTTCTATCACAGAGGATTTTTTATTTACAGTACAGCTGGCTCCCTCTTAGGGAAAGTAGGAAATAAGGAAAAAGAAGGGAAAACAAATGTTTCTGACAAAAGGGGGTCAAGCGCAAACACCGTCCCGAGCCCCCATAAAAGGCCTTTTCTCACGGGCCTGGGAGACAGCTAAAAGGAGACCCGGTGGCCCAGTAGGGGAGCGGGCGGTGCCCAATGACGCAAAGACACCACCGGGCTGAGGCTCGGCCCGGGGCCGGACCTGTGGGCGGCCCCCCTCCCCGGTGGCGGGCAGTCCAGCCTGGGGCAGGCGCAGCAGGAGGACGGCGGAGCCGGCTCACCTCGAAGGCCGCCGAGATCACCTTGGCTTTCTTGCTCAGCACGGAGCCCACCGCGTTGAAGTTCTTGTCCCGGATCTCGGCGTACAGCTCCTCCGCGGAATTCAGCTGCAGCTTTTTGGCTTCCGTGGGAAGGTCCTTTCCGCCGTCGCCCTGCTTCTTGGGCGCAAACTTCTCTGGAGGTAACTTCACGTAACCTGGGCAACGTGGAGGGAACGGGCACCCGTAGGCGTTTTCTGGGAGAACCACTCAGGGGCCGGGGCACGAGGCAGCATCCCCCACTCAGGACAGATGTGGGCCACTGTCACCAGAAAACCGTGCACGGCGCTGAGGTTTTGATTCTCCCATGATCAAAGTACATTCTGATCACAAACAACTAAATCAGGACTCCTACTTAAGTTTTCTCCAATGCTAACAAACAAACACTGTATGGGCTCGAACCAAACCACACGCGTCTGTGACCCCTGACTAACAATCTGTGGAGACTAAACCCCTGCGTCCATGGAGGGTCCCCGACCCCCGAGTCAGCCTCGCCCCTAGATTCCCGTCCCTGCCGTGTTCTCTGCTTTAGCCGGCCGGCCGCCTCCATTCCCTGCGCTGCCTGGCTGCCTGTCCATCACCCCCTTTCCAACCCCTCCTTGCGGCCACCTCTCCAAGAGCTTTCCTGCACAGCTGCCGGCCCGAGGACCTGTCCTCTCCAAACTGCAGTGTCACCTGTAGCTAACCCTGGGCCTCTGCTCACAGGGGACAGGCGCAGTCCTCCCCTGCACGTCCTGCCGGCCCCTGTGACCCACAGCCTGCTCCGACGCTGCTTACCTCTAGTGTCTAAGTCAAAGGCAGGATTTTTATATTCTTAATTATATGCAAAGAAAGCACCTTAAAAAAATGGCCTTCTGGATGTTTTTATCAGGTGACCTATTGGTAAAAACAGATGGCGCTTTACTCACTGTTCTGAATGCCGTAAATTTCATCAATGAGTCCTTCGTACGTAAGCTGAGTGGCGAGAGGTGTTAATAAATCCACGTTTCGGTCGAGCAACAAAAGATTATCAAAAACAGGAAATATTGAATTTTGGCTTCCTGTAAACTCTCTCTTCATCCTGATCATCATATTGGCCACTTGCTGGAAATAGAAACATTGGATCAGGCGGGACCCTCCTGGGAATTAGCCGATTTTAATATTCAGCTAAAAACAGACAATCTGACAAGTAGAGAAAACCCGTGGACAGCGAGGCTGGTGGGAGGCCCGCAGCTGCAGGAAAGCCTGCTCTGCCCCCGAGCGTTCTGGCGCTCAGACCGCTGCTCCTGTATTTCTGTTCCCGCCTGCTTTTGTTATTCCAGCCGTTCTGTTCTGCAACCGCCTTGAACTCGAACTAGTGAACCCCGAGCCACCGCTGCCAGGGCACGGCGAGGTTCTTGCGAGCTCTGGGCAGATGGGACCTGGTTTCACGTGGGCATTTGAAGACTCTTTGTAGAGCAGACACTGGTGACGCAGGGACATCAAACCTGCAGCCAACAGCCCCATCGCTCACGCCCGAGTGAGGCTGACCGAACACTCAGGCACTAGACAGCACGTCGGCACTGCCCTTGGGGGCTGTTTTAACAGCAAAATCACCAACAAGGAGCGCAAAATGCAAAAATCGGTGGCGTTGAGTAGTGGGTGGCCCCATGCAGTGGCAGAAAGGACACTGTTTACAGTAGGAACTGCAAGGAGAGCCGAGCATCGCGTTGCTCAGTTCGGCCACCCGCAAGCACGCCGGGCACCTCAAATTCTTGCTGCTCGGGGCAAGTCCACAGACCACGCAGAGAGATTTGGGGTTATGAATACATTTTAGCAAGTAGGCGAATTCCCAAATAAAAATGACTGATGGGGCTTGTTTGTAAATGGCTTCCCACTCCTGCCCCATGTTAGGGTGAAGGGGGCCCCTCCTTCACCTCCAGACGCTCGTTACTCACCCGTGCGCACTCCCCTTTCCCGAAGATCTGGGGGATGGTCCCGTACAGAGCCTGCAGGGTCATCAGCCCCTTGGCCGCGTGGTAGAGGCTGGTCTGGTCGCTGTCCAGGTAGCACTCCTGCAGGGAGGAAGGGCCGGTTACCGTCAGGCCACGGTCACCGGGGTGCCCACCTCTGTCTGGCACCAGGACTCGGGAGTGGGTAAGACGGTTTCCACCTCCCTGGGGATGCAGGAGGTGGGGCCCAAGTTCCTTTTAAAAAGCTGCTGTGTGGCACTTTAGGCCACGAGGCCAAAAGCTCAGCTATCAGGGTACAGCTGTGAAAGCAACTGTCCTGGGGCAGAACCTTCTGGAAGAAAAGTGTTCGCCAGGCATGCCAGTTCTTAGTTTACCAGCTCTTGCACGAATTACTGATGAATAAAGCCTTACACGGCTTCTCTCATTGGCTCTGGTGAGTGTAAACTTTGGTGGGACATTTCAGGGGGGCCACAGGCCAACATGCACAAATGGACGTATTCTGTGACCCCCCCAAGTCCCAGATGACCACACGAAAGGACACTCTGCATTCTCACAGGCACGAGGCAGGTTTTCACATGCACCGACAGCCGTAACAGCATGAGAAAGGGAAAAGGATGGCTGAACATCTTTAAGGTATACTCTGGTTCTTGGAAACTGTATTTTACTTTGCAAAATATACAAAGTGTATTTTGTTAAGTGTACAAAAATATACTTTTTTTTTGCATTGTAAAACAGCTAAAAAGATACACACAGACCGGCGAGAAGGGAGAGAGGGAAGTGATCAGCTCGGACCGTGGAGGGTAAGGGCGCGGGTTCTGGGCTCAGGGGCGCCGATCCGACCCCACCCGGCCGCCGTCGCCCCCCAGCCGGCCCTAGGCAGCGAGACTCCCTCTCTGGGCCTCAGCAGATTTCTCGGCGAAAGGGAGCACATTGCACACAACGCGAGGACTCAGTGAGAAAAACGCTCATCAGCGAAGCTTAATGTTTAGCGCCTGAAACATGTTTGGTGCTTAATAAATGTGAGCTTTGACAGGAAATTAGCTGCATGTTTTACAACCACCATTCCCTCACTAATGGGTCTCTGGAGCCAGGAGGGAGGGGACCAGGATGGCCGAGGGGTCAAGGAAGAGAAGGTGGCTGGCTCTTCCAAGTCCGCGTAGCTCATGGATTCACTGGGTACGACAGGCCAAAACCGGGAATGGCTGTGGACGTACTTCCTGCCAAAATTACCTAATGCTCCTCGCTGGAGCAGAGATAAGAAAAAGTTCAAGAGCCCTGGCTGGTGTGGCTCAATGGATTGAGCGCTGGCCTGTGATCCAAACAACCATGGTTTGATTCCCAGTCAGGGCATATGCCTGGGTTGCAGGCCAGGTCCCCAGCAGGGGACACACAAGAGGCAACCATACATTGATGTTTCTCTCCCTCTCTCCTGCCCTTCCCCTCTCTCTAAAAACAAATAAAATCTTTAAAAATAAATACACATAACTTTTGACCTTGCAAAGTTATTTTTTAAACTGTCTTTCCAAAGGTCATGGATTTTGTACACGCTGGTTTTTACACATATGAACTGAGGTCACACTACACTTAGCAGCGTCAACGAGCGTCGGCCGGGCCGCACTCCAGTCCCCGCGTCTCGTGCGGTACAGGGATGGAGACGGTCCTCACCGCCTCCCGAAAGCACAGGCAGCTGCCGGGCGCCTCCAGGCCCCAGGCGCGCTGTTTGAGAACCACGCAAGTAAGCGAACCGCAGCTCCATCGGAAATCAGGTTGGAACGGACCGCGCGGCAGAACTACTGGTGTTACCATCCAGGCAAATGCTTCATTTCTAAACAGAACCCTTAAGTGAGCGTACAAAGCCCAGGGCCTGACGATCTGAGCCGAAAATAACTCCGCGCTTCCTCGCAAGTCCCTGATGAAACCAACAGGAGCTCGCTCCTGCACAGGTTCCGTCAAGCCCGGACAAGTCTTCCGCAGCTGCCAGCAGCTCACACTCATTCTGCGGACGTGAATTAACTGTGTGTGAGGACACCACTGCAGACACGTGTGATGTATCAGCGCCGTCGCTGGAGGAGACTCAATGCAAGCAAACCCATGGGGAGCGTGGCAGGACAGAAGAGCCCCGAAACTCTGTGTTACCGGATGAGCCACTCACGCCGCTGAGCTCTGCCCAAGTTAACGCTCCCGGCGGTGACCACTGTTACAACACGCTGGGGGACAAAAGGTCTCACATGCTGTTCTGCAGGACAGCTGTGCTTTTTAACAGTTCTAGTCTCCGGTTGGGCACTGCCTCACGGACGGAGGGGTCACAGGTTCGATTCCCCGTAGGGGCGCGTGCCCAGGTTGCAGGCCAGGTCCCCAGCAGGAGACATTCGAGAGGCAGCCAATTGATGTTCCTCCCACACATTGATGTTTCTCTCCCTCTTTCTCCCTCTCTTCCCCTCTCTCTAAAAATAAATGTAACAAAAATTTTTTTAAAGTGGGAGGGTATGAACTGTAGCTGCACAAACTATTTGTGGGGCGTTAAAGTTCCCAGTCTCTGGAAAACAGGCCGGCACCTCCTCACGATGGGAAACTCGGAGTTCAACCACGGAGCCCGGCAACTCCACTCGTGGGTGCGTCTGCGAGAAATGAAAACACGCCCACACACGCCCTGCGTGACTGTTCGCAGCGTCACCACAGACGGAAGGCCATCAGTCGTCCACCGCAGATAAACGACAAACAGAACGTTGGATGTCATTCCAATGGAACACTATTGGGCAATAAAAATCGAAGTAGTGATACATGCTATAACATGCTGTGACGTAGATGAACCTTGAAAACATGATGCCAGAAAAGAAGGCAGACACGAAAGACCACATGTTCTAAGGTTCACTGATAAGGCACTTCGAGGATCGGCAGGGCCACGTGGTCTGCAGTGGACAAGCGCTGCCAGTGGCCGGCGTGGGGGGTCGGGGGAGGCTGCTAACGGCAGCGGGTTTCCTTGGGGACAACACAAATGTCCTAGAATCAGACAGCAGCCACAGTGGCGCAGTGGCGCAGCTCTGTGAGGACACTGAGGACTGCTGAACTGCACGCTTACTGAGGCGGCATTTTTGCTGTGTGAATTATGCTTTAATAAAAGCATTACTAAAAGATTTAACTCCCTTACCACTGAAAACATCCACATGATAAAAGATATCACAACTGAAGTTAAAAGACAAGCCACACACTACAGAAAATAGTTGCAGTTTTTTAAAAGATTTTTATTTATTATTTTATTTTTAGAGAGGGGGGAGGGAAGGAGAAAGAGAGGGAGAGAGACACCAAAGTGTGGTTGCCTCTTGTGCGCCCCCTACTGGGGACCTGGCCCACAACCCAGGCGTGTGCCCTGAGTGGGGATCGGGCTGGTGACCCTTTGGTTTGCAGGCCTGTTCTCAATCCACTGAGCTACACCAGCCAGGGCAATACTTGCAGCTTTTATAAGCCATAATGGTTAAGTATCTAGAATATACGAGTATAGAGAATTCCTCAAACAGAAAAAATGGGCAAACAAAATGAACAAGCACTTTGCAATTCGCTGAAAAGAAACATCTTAAACATTAGCACACCTATGGAAAAGCTTGGCTTTCCAGTAACCAAGGAAATGCACATTAAAACAACAGCCTTGACACCGTCGCCCTCGAAAACAGCCAAAGTTCAAGTCTAATGTTAAAACGCCAAACTTACTTTGAAGGCGCCCTCCGATTCCATGGACAACAGGTCCCCGTCAAAGGGGATGAGGTCCAGGCTGTACTCCTCCCTGTGGATGAAGGAGCCCAGAACGCCCAGGTCCTTCAGCCGCTGCTCGCACAGCAGGCTTCGCCGGGGCACGAACAGAATGTGGAAGTCCCTCGCCGGGCCCCGCCTGTCTTCGCTGCAAAAGGAGTGCCAATGGTCAGCTAGGCACTCTCCGGGGTCACAGGCTGTGCTGCTTCTGTTACTCCCAGAGCCCAGCCCTATGCCAGGTACACAGCAGGCACTAAATAAATGCAGGCGGCTTAAAGACACCAGTATTGACTTTCAGACCCACGTTGCTGCAGTTGCTTTGTTTTTTTCCTCCCTGACGGGAAAGGGGCATCGATCCCCAGACGAATTCATAATGCATTTTCTAGCTTCCTCTTAAACTATTTATGGAACATTAAAGCTCTCAGGTTTATTGTAACAGGATATCTGTGCCTTCCTGACAACAAATGGCTCTTTAAACCAAACCAATGCAGCAATATAGAGTCTTAAATTAAAGCAGAAGAGCATTCCTGACTCCCACCTCTACTCTCCTGATGGGTGAACTTCCCAAAATAGCGCATTTGCTTTTAAGGCTTTTGGGGCCACATCAATCAACTGCACCGCAGAGCACAGGCTGGGCCGGGACAACTTCCTCTGCATAGGGATGCACCATTAAACTGTACTCCACTCTGACTTACTCTGCTTATGAGAGTCAAGCACACACTATATCCAGTATATTGAAAAGACCATCATTAGAGGTTTTTCTTCTTAATTAGGGTCCCTGTATGGATACAGGTCCAAACAGTCCGCTGTCCTAAAACAACAGGGTTACACGATGACCCTGCTCTCCAACTGTTGGAACAGGTTCAGGTTTCTCACCCCCCTCTTATCCTTTCGCACCTGCCCCAGTTTCCATGACCACCTTCCAAGGCACCGGCAAGAGAATGGAGTTGCAACGAGGGGGCTTGGCCTCTTAACACCACCCGAAGGGCCAACCTCTTGTGGACCCAACACAAGCTCTGAGAAATACCTGAGCACATTTTCAGCGATTATATCCATGAGTTCTAGCCTGGGTCTGACAAAAAAAATAATATTCTTCACGTCAGCTGCCGGCAAACGACTTCCCTTCAGGGTGAACATTTTTTCCACTTCGTGCTCCTGGAAAACACGTGCCCAAGAGGTCAACAAGGACCCCGCCTTTGCCCATCACGTCCAGACTCAGTGGTCGCACACTCCCAGTCAAATGCACTTAATATTGAACTATCCAAACTTGGATTCTCTGAAGCCAGACGTACAAAGCCCCAAGTTTCAGGATAAAGCCACAGTTCACTGCATGGGAATTCCTGTGACCCTCACATGATGAATTATCAGAGATACCAGGTCATGGTCACCTAAAGCAATGCTGGTAATTTCCCTGAGATTAGAGTCAGTATAGCCTTGAAGGCCAAAGGAGCACTGTACACAAACTGTTACTCACAAACGAGTGTCAGTGTTTAGAAAGGCCAAACGAGGAAATGTACAAATCCTACTATGACTGCTGAAGCGCAGAATCATTAATGCCCGCATAAAACCCGACCAGCTCATTTACCTTCAGCAGTGAGTACTGTGCAATCAGTCCAAATGGTCCTGTGAGGTATTCATCCCACACAATGGCCTGTAAGAGGAGAGAAGCATTCTCTTATTGCGGGTAATTTCAGGAATCTCCACAACAGCAATGGAAAACAGCAGTCACACATAGTAGGGACCATCTGCTTCCAACTCTGAATTAACACACATTTTTAATAGATTCTGCCCACATCCACATCCTGCGGGCCTAGAGAAAAATTTCAAAGGCAAGCGATGCCACTGCTGGGTCAAGGGGAAGTTCAGACTTCACCCCCATCCTCAATGGAGGGAAGCAACTGTGCTTCGCTGTGTGTCTCTGATTAGACTGAACCATCTGTTAACGGCCAATGGCAACGGTTCCATCTAGCATTGCATATATAAGTATCGTATCATCCAATGACATAAAATTAAAACCTCTAAGGTAGGTGTTACAAATTTTACTTTGACAGAAGAAGAAATTTTAAAAGGCTCACAAAATTTAAGTAACATAGTCCTGGCTGGTGTAGCTCCATGGACTGAGCACGGGCCTGAGAACCAAAGTGCTGCTGGTTTGATTCCCAGTCAGGGCACATGCCTGGGTTGCAGGCCAGTTTCCAGAGAGGGTGTGCAAAAGGCAACCACACTGATGTTTCACTTCCCCTCTCTCTCCCTCCGTTCCCCTCCCTCTCCCTCCCTTCCCCTCTCTAAAAATAAATAAAACAAAAAAACCCGTAAGTAACATGTTCAGCATAAGGGAGCCAGGCCTCCAACATAAGGACTTAACACCCCACAGGCCACTGCTCGGAGCCCCCGGAGCCTGTGTACTGCTTGAGTCCAGGGTCGTTTCTTTTTCTTTGGTCAGATGTTTTTGTTGAGATAACTGTAGGTGACGTTTTGTTTTAAGAAATAATGCAGAGAGACCCCTGGGGCACTTCACCCACTTTCCCAATGGAAAGGTTTTATAAAACCAGGCTACAGCATCGCAGTCAGGATGTTGAGTTGATCCAACCCAGGATCTTGTACCGATTTCAGCACCATTTCTACAGCTTGAACTGGGGTTGGCCTGCTTTCTTCTTACCTCAGTGGCTGCTAGCGCCCACTCTACCTCTGGGGTTTCTAGTCTTTCCAAGACATCAGTCCGGAGTTCCCTCAGTTCTCCTTCTCTGTTCAGAGTGTACTGCCAGTTATTTAGGGGGACTAAGAAATCCTAAGGGGAGAGGCCGGGGTAAGGGTAGGGTTAGGGTTAGGCCCTGATCTGCCGTTTCCCCTAGAAGTTGAACGGATGCGTTTGGATTGGGAGGAAAAGGTGGGCGGCGGGGAAAGATGGCGGCGCCCTCCGTGGTGAGCTGGGTGCTTGTAAACGTCTAACAGGAGAAAGTGTTATTTTAGAAGGTAACTACAACTTCTCTCTAATTCGTGCGAGCAGCGAGTTAAGGTGTTGGTGCTTCAGAGACTCGCCAAGGCAAGAGTTGTAACGACACGTGTGATCACTGCAATGAATGACACCATCCCCCTACCGGGCCCGGTGTCCCAGGGGGCGGCGGTCCTGCCCCTCTGGACCTGAAGAGCACTTTGACACAAGCTGGTTCACAGGGTCTGAGACGCCACTGTGGCTCATTCAGCGGCCACAGTACAATGCGCTGCCACGCAGACTCCGTGCTGTCTGTCCCAGGTCCCACCAGCGAGCCCCTCTCCCCGCCCCACGGGTCCCGCCTGGACCAGGAACCTCAGACGCCTGGCGCTCTGGCGGTCGCACGGGATGAGGCCAGGCCGGACGGGGTTCGAGGGCGCTGTCTCCACCGCCGTCCCTCACCTTGCTTCCCGCGCACTTGTCCAGGAATTCGCGCAGTTCCCGGCGCACCGCCTCTCGCAGCACGTTCAAGTTCACTCGGCCGTAAGACAGGTGCGCCGCCATCTTTCCCCGCCGCCCACCTTTTCCTCCCAATCCAAACGCGTCCGTTCAACTTCTAGGCGAGGCCAATGATGGCAGTCACGTGACAGTAGGTTCACGTGACCAAGGCCGCCAGCTGCTCGCAAACCCGGAAACCCGAATCGGCAGGCGTCCGCTGCTAGAAGCGGCCCCAGCGCCACCTTTTGCTTCCGCTGACGCTACGTCAGTCCCGGGCTCTTTGGGCACTGAGAATTGAGTTGCATTTAAAAGCGGAGACAGAATCCTGTTCGCTCCGTTTAAATGTAAAAGATCGCCACTTTCTTCTTAGCAGCAAGAGTACCCGCTGTAAAATGGTAGTTGGAAGCTAAAGGTGAATGGAAACTTTTAAATTACAGCAATCAAAAAGGTCCTTCGCTTTGCTCTTGTGGTTTGTGGGCTAAAATTTACAAAAATAGCCAGGGTCTGGAGGAACCTTGAATGACTCGTTTAGCTCTTCCTAGTAGACTTTTACTTTATTTCACGCAAATACTATCCGATGTGGAATCCGGGTCTCCCCACTTACATCAATGAAATTCACGTTACCTTGTGAGTTGTGGCTATCGCAGAATAGCGTAATTTACATAAAGAGCTTTTCAACGTGCCTGGGAGTTAATTGCTCAGAAAATACTGTTTTAGGATGATCTATGCGTTTCAATACTTGGGGGTAGAAATCGGCTATTTGGGATCTGGTGAGAGGATTGAAAACATTTGGTCTTGGAGTGCAAGGTCTTTTGTGCTCTTTGTTAAGAAGACTCGATAAGCAATTACCACGCAGTCTGAAGAAGCAAAGAGTGGACTTGGGGGATTGTTAGAAAGACGATCGTACATATATGCATACTTCCACTCTCAATTTCATGATCCATCCAAGACATTAGGTTTTAAAATAACTTGTTTCCATTCATGCAGACTGTCCCACGCCCTGCTGCTCAACCTGTATCACAAATTCTTCTCACCCGTGTGGGTCTTTTGCTCAACAGAGTGTGTCTCTTTTTTTAGCACGCAAATGCTCAGAACAAATGCTAAGCAAGTGATGACAAGTTGAATGAGGGTGCCACCTACTGGGAGAGGAAAAATGCCCCAGGCTAGCCAAATCGCAGCAGCCAGAGGTAAACTAGCAAGACCAGGGAGATCAGCTATCACCCTCAGGCAGGAGCAGGGTGCCAGATGGTCAACAGAGGGGTTTTACGTGGAAACAATGTGTGTGGAGAGTTTGCTATCCTGATGTATTTGCCCCATAAATAATGCAGTTGTTTTGCACTGAGTCTTTTTACCTTTTTTGAGCTGTAATTGACATGTAACATTGCATTAGCTTTCGGTGTACAGCATGACTTACGTATGCAATGTGCAATGACCACAGTAAGTTTAATTCGTAATCCGAGTTCTTCAATCCTCCGAGGTCAATACTACAAGCAAATACTACTGTCAGGGTGGCATTTCAGTAACAGTAACATTCTTGTTCAACTAACCGGTGACTTTGCTTCAGAAATGTCTGCCTCCGGGTAAGTCTGTGCCCATCAGATAGGTGTTTGCGTCCGTCATTATTTAGGGAAATACTGCAGCAACTTTCAGAGTTTCTCCCTCAGACTCTGAGGATCAGTAAATGGTGCTACATGGTGCCAGCCATGTCTGTCTGGTAATACGGGGTGGCATAGTGATGGATAACTACCACAGGTATTTATTTTATGCTTTATTTTATTGTATGAATACTCTATTTATAGGCTGCTTTGAGATAAGAAGGATATACCCAATTTCTTAAAGTTGTTTCTCAACAAGACTGCAGTAGAACTTGCTGTTTGGATCTACAGGGCTGGCTCATTTGAAGAAAAACCATTATGACAAATAAACCTGAGAAGAATATCAGTTACTACCACTGTGCAAAAGAGAATAACCATTTATTAAAGTAGCTACAGAACATCTGTTTGCTCAAATTTTAATACTGATTTACATATTGTTTGTGAAACAATTCCTATTATGTTTATAACCAGAAAATTTCATCCAATTACAGATTTTTCACTTGTCAAACAGTTAATAATCTTGAGGGGAAAATACATCAGAGGCATATATACAATTATAGAAGTTCTTATTATACATGTAGCATGGAAGATACATCTTATTTTTTACATCTTCTAGAAGACATTCAAATCAAGATAAATAGGTCCAGACTGGCTGATAAACTTGTGGAGGCTGAGGTCCTTCATTTAATTTTTTTGTGATAAGAAAATCCAAAATTATTAATGTTGACTTTCTCATCATACATTCATCTAAAGACGGTAAAAACAACTTGTAGATTGCAGATTGGTTAGTGTGGGTGTTGTATAGTGGTTTATCATCTAGTTACTTGACTGCAGGGGGAATCTACTGGAGAAGGAAGGAATCTGCATTTATTTCTATCTGACAAAGAAAACGAAAACCAAAGAAAAGATGCTTCTAACTCTGTGTGATGCTCTTTCTGGCCCAGCCCATTATGTCCTGATGAACCCTCTAAATGTTTTCTTTTTCATAAAGGTAAAAGTCTGAAAAGAAAGACACACTGTGTATGCTTTTTCCCAAAATAGAGATTTTTTAAAAAATATATACATATAATATATAGAAGCTGAAATTATGTAAAACCAACAAAACACCACAGTGAGGAAGTGGGTGCAGCGTCTGGATTACAGAACGCCCCACAGCAGCTCGGGGGCGCGGCCGCCCCCACCTGTCCCATGATTTCGTGATCACACCCAGGTGTCGCCAAGCCGGAGCGAAGGCACCACTGACGGCAGGCAGTGCAAAGAGCTCAGGTACTTCTTCGATTAAGAATAAAATACTTTATAAACGAGTAGATGAAAATGCAAAATGGCACATCTTTTCAACTCATTCCAGTGTCAAAGCTCAACCCAAAGACCTAAATATACAAATGCAGCCTGAAGAGATTTTAGTGCAAACATGAAGAGTAACGGCATAACTTACTTAAATAAGGTACTGGGAGGAAGGGGCTGTCCTACGAGGTCTCCCTCGGGAGGACACGAGTGACGGCCTCTGGTGCATTGTTTTGCTCAAACTTCAAGGTCAGGATGACAACGTCGGAGGTGAAAACTCACCTACTAAGTGTTTAGTTATTTATTATTCTAACTTGTAAGGGGAAACTAAAAGCGATTTGTTGAGGATCAAAATATTTTGTTAGATCTGTAGATGGGGCTCAAAAATAACGTGCGTTCTCCTGAAGTCCGCACATGCAATGCTGGTGTTTGGCTGCCTAGACGCCGGGGCGCCCGCGGGAGCCGGGCTCTCGGCCTGCGGCTTCGTCAGAAGGTCTCGTCGTCGTGGCAGTTGGTGGCCCAGTGCCCGAACACCTCGCAGATTTCACAGTACGGGCGCTCCTCGCCTCGGCTGCCGTGGTGTGTGGAGTGGGGTGGGTCCTCGGACATCTGTGCCTGGGTGGGGCAATCCTCCGTGTCGTGGAGATCAAAGCAGTCACATATGTCACAGAAGAGGCGAGGCGGCTTCTTGGACTGCCTCTCCTGGTCATCACTGCGGATATGAATGTGTGGAATCAGAAACCCATCGCTGCCCTGGCTGGTGTAGCTCAGTGGATTGAGCGCGGGCCTGCGAACCAGGCAGTCGCGGTTTGAGTCCCAGTCAGGGCACATGCCTGGGTTGCAGGCTGGTTCCCTGCAGGCCAGTTCCCAGCAGGGGATGCATGAGAAGCAACCATACATTGATGTTTCTCTCCCTCTCTCCTTCCCTTCCCCTCTAAAGATAAATAAATAAAAATCTTAAAAAAAAAAAAAAAAAGAAAAAAGAAACCCATCACTATCATTGGACAGTCAAGGGGCGGTATCACTTGTAAAAAATAAAAAGCGAGAGTTATGGCCACATCTGGGAGCCTCGAGAGTAGCTACCACCGTTTACATGAACATTTTCAGGCCAAGCCCCTGGTAGTGCGTATCACTCTCTCGCCAGATTTACAGAAATGGATTTACAGCCCAGTAACCACCGAGCAATTGTTTCTCCAAGCCCTGGAGGACCCGACTTGAAGAACATAGTTTATTCCGATAGAGCGAAGGTTCTGATCAGCACTGCTCTGTGTGAAATACCTGTCGTAATTGTTTAGGTCGTCACCGTTCCCGTTCAGGGCTGCCTCTGACATCATCTCCACCTTCATCTTGAGGTCTTGATTCTTCCTCTGAAGGTCCACTATTACTGAATTCAGGAAGTCAATCTAATGTGTTAGAAGAAGAAGAGAACCAGATGTGTAAACCGCCTGAAGCGCGTACGGCGGGCTGTCTAGCAGTCACCGACGCACACTGTCTGCTCCAGCTGCGAGGGGGCTGCACATCGCAGGGGCCGACACTGGTCGTTACGGAACCTGTGTTTTATACACACACAGAACATTTCACAGAAACCCTGCTGGACTAGTCCATGACTTAGGGTCCGCAGATTGGACCAAGGGCAGGGAAATTCTCCTCACCCCAGTCACTGATTGGTCATGGCGGGACAGTGAGTGAGCCTTTGGAGATGGAGGCATCTGAAAGAGGGGCCCCGAGCTCAGTCTGTGCCCAGAAGCCACAGGGGGGAAGAGTGATGGGCCCACGTCCCTGGCAGTGGGGCAGCGGAAACGGGGAGGAAAGGTTCTTGTCCTAACATTTGCTTTCAAACCAAGGGCAATTTCATTCAAAGACAAAAAGTTTCTTCCCTCTTCTACCAATAATAAAAAGGTCTTATTTCTCTAACCAATGAAAACATCCCTCTTCACAGTATTGAAAAAACGTGTATGAGGGTACAGACATCCACAGATCGTGTGGTTTTGAAAGAAGTAGTCGGCCTTTTTCGCCAGCCGGGGCACCCTGGGGAACACAGCTAGCGAGCGATCGCAGCTTTGTGGCTCTCTGAGGACCAGCCCTGCCCACAAGGACAGCAGGGCCGCTGACCACGCCCTCTCAGTTCTGAAACTGCATTTGCCGAGACCCTATCACGGTAGGAGCTCCGTTTCGGAAGAAGAAAAAGGCACAAAACGGATGTAAGTCGAGTGGGAGGCCACACGTACGCACATGCACGCACATCACGCACCCGCAAATTAGGAAACATAAAACAAACCATTTGCTGATTGGAAGAAAAGCGTTGGCAGCGGCAGATGAAGCAAACGGAAGCAGAAAGGAAAGGGGGAGAAAGAAAAAACACTGTTAATGAAGTTGAAGGTTATCAGACACACACACCTAAGCAGACAGCGCTAACCAGGGTCAGGTAGTACGCCTGCTGAATCCTTTCCCGCCTTTCAAAGGAGACGGCAAGCAAACCGCCAACGCCCTGAGCTTTTATTTACAAGTGAAACGTGGCTCTTGTGCCTGGGACTTTCCAACGGGATAAACAGATCCAAATATCATTAAAATCAAAGATGGGTACTTCTTGCCTGTGAGCTGTTATATTTCCAAATAGAGAATACTTCGTCTCTCTAGGACCTCATTTGTAGAACTAGGGCTGTTTTGTTACTTTTGGCTGTAGGGAAGTTTTCCAGAACCCTGCATTTTTAAGGGACAGCAATTCTACTTGCAGGAATTTATTCCAAAGAAATGGTATGACATCTGCAAAGTGACAGATGTCCAAAACGAGCCATCTCAGCGTTGTTCACAGTGCCCCGAGGAGACCAGAAACATCCCGAGTGTCATATCAGGGACAGAGAACCAATTACATGGAGGTGTGTCTGCAACATGGAACACCATACAGCTGTGAACAAGACCTGTGCACATCACTGTATGCAACATGCCATCACCTACGTAAAGAAAGGGGAAAGTCTTGGCTTATGTGCACATTCCAAAAAATTCCTGAAACTATTTTTTTTACAAAGACACTAATAACAGTGATGACCTGTTCGGAGGGCTGGGAACCGACTGGGAGAGAAAGGTCTGGAGGGAGACTTATTGTAACTGTTGATACCTCTCACACTGCTTAGTATTGAGACCGTATTACCTGTTCAAAAGATGAAATGATTTTTTAAAGAGCGAGGAAGCAAAGCGAAAGGGGGCACCTCACCTGACTCTCCTGGGCCCGCTCGTCCTCCTCCGCCTGCGTGTCAGTATTGCCTTATGGTAAAACACAAGAGAAAAGGGGGAGGGGTTTGGAAAACCTGCCATCTTTTTCCTCGTTATCATAGAGAGGGTCAGCGCTAGAAACTCATTTTCAGTGGAATTCCCAGCTGTGCCTCTTCGAGAACACGTTTGTGAGCTCCTGTCCCCTACCCAGACGCCCAAGGGACCCACCCGGGGCTGGCCTGAGCCCTGCGGGTATTCTCTCTGGGGCGGGCTCTCTGCTGCGTAAGGATAGCTGTCCTGTTCACCCAAATTTAAGGAGGCAGGGACCACCTCTGTTCTCCTTCAAGGGGGCACCCCTGGAGCCCACAAATGCACTGAGGTGGCAGCCACATCTTCTGCCTCGTTTCTGGCAACACCCCAGACCATGGGGAGGCCCAGAGTAGGATACCAGGCGCACCCCTGTGCACGGACCTAGGTCATGCCCGGCCCTCGTCTGAGTCAGCAGTGGGAGAGCCCGGGGCAGAAGGGCCAGCTGGGGCGGTGTGTCAGCTGCCTTCCACCTCGGCCAGAAATGGACCCTTTGCTGGGACCAGCAGGCGCCACGGGGTCAGGAAGGAGTGCCACGCAGGCAGCGTCTTACCTGAGGAGCTGCTGAGCTGCCTCCTGTTTTCTTTGAGTTGAAGCTCCAAGTTCTTTACTTTGAGCTCCAGCTTCACCTTGTCGGACTCCAGAGACTGCACCACGGAGTGCAGGGACTTGGCGGAGGCGTTCTCTCCCCGGAGCGCGGTCACCTGAAACACAGCGGGTGGGCTCAGGCTGCGGGCAGCCTGGAGCAGGCCGCGCATGCGCCCTTGCGCCACGGAGGGTCCCCTACCTCATTCCTCAGCCTCTCCAGCTCCGCGTCCTTCTCTGTGAGTAAGGCACTAGTAATACTGATGGATTTCTGCAAGGAAGCCTTTTCTTCATCGGTGTCTTTTAATAACTTGGATTCCCTAAAAGACCAAAGAGTCAAAAATTCCAGAAATCAACCGAGAGTGACCGGTGCACAACCATCTTAGAACAAACAGGCAATTAACTTGAGTTAATGTAAAGAAAAAAAAGTCTACAGCGGGGAAGTTTTATAGGGGGCTGAGGCTATTATGTGTCTAAATTGGACTTGAAATTTTACTTACTGTGAAGGCAGAGTAAGTTTACTATGCATAGACATGCCAGAATCTGCATATCATTGTGTCCATTTGAATTTAAAGAAACAAGTTAATAACTTCGGAAGATGTACAATTAAAAAAAAAAGACTGTTGCACCCCCAAAGAATTCTTTTAAATATCTACCCAGCTGAATTCTGTTACTTCTTGAATAAACTAGTACCAAGCAGTAACAACAATTAAAATACACGCATGCAAAGCGATTATACGGATGTCATGCAGAGCGGTTTTATGCTGGAAATATCGATGGGTTCTCACTAAGTTCAGTAACTTTTAGCAAGTTCCAAGAATTTGTTTTCGAGATCTTATGGGCCAAAACAGTAGCGAATACTATTACTATTCAGACGGAAGGACTCTCACTTTCCATCCGCGGGACCTGAAGAGGACATTGAATTGCTCACAGAGGTGAAAGGCCGGAACAGAAAAGTTAAAGCGGATTTCCAGGTACAGAATGGCAGCGTGGGCTGTCTGGAGGGAGGGCTGAGCCCTGGGTTCCTGTTCTCAGCCCCGCTCAGCGCTCGGTTTCCGGCAGAGGGAGGGGCCAGGCCTTTGATGAGAGGGAAACACTTATCTCGGAGGCAAGGGAGTGGGAAAAGAAAGGGGAAGGGGAGACAGGATCCGGGCGAGCCGCAGCAGGTACAGCCCGAAAGGGCTGATGGCAGAGTGTTGACGTGTGCGTGCATTTACTTAAACTTTTGTTGTAAGAATCGCATGCGTGTGAAAGTGCCATGGCCATGGTCACCAACGAGGAAAGGCTGACGATGGTCACAGATGGGAAGAGACTACGGAGCGTGACATCTGTGCGATGTGGTTTCCTGGCTTGGATCCCGGAAGAGGAAAGGGCATCGGTGGGAAAACCGGGGCACCCGAATAATGTTCAGAGTTGAGGCTTGTAGAGTAGGTACCAGTGTCCCTTCCTAAGTTCTGACAGATGTACCAGGGAAGGAAAGGGGTCCACATTAAGGGGGTTCTGGGGGAAGGGTACGTGGGACCACTCTGAACTGTCTTTGCAATTTTCTGTGAATCTGTAACTTTAAAATAGTGCTTTAAAAAAACTGCATTTTAAAATGCAGTGTGAAATAAGAGGAAAAAGACCTGGTATCGCAAGGACACTTTGGGAAAAACTAAGCTGGAGAAAATTTTCCTGGCTGGCCCTCAGGCCACACAGCCTAAAAACACTTTAATGCAGCTGATCATCAGTGAGAATTCGGAAACTCGACGACAAGCCAAATCGCTCCCTGTTCTGTGAGGGGTGGGTGGGTGGGTGGGTGCGGAACATGTGGTTTGGTCTGTTCCAGAACCAACAGAGAGAGTCGGAGACCGAGGCCCAGGTTAGAAATGGCAGAATGGATGTCTGGTTAGTGAGACCCAAGATATCCGGCACACGAATTACAGAATTCTCGTGACTCATGGTGAACCGAAGTTCTACGCAAAGATAAAATATAAGTGTTGTATTCGTCTCATTGTGCGGCTTACACTCACACTGCAGAATGATAAGTAGTAAGAAAAGAATCCAAGACTTACAGAAATTTCTTGAATTCAACACCCAAGCATTATTTGCACCCCGAACAGGGAGCGGGCATTGGTGATGGTGAGTCACTGAGTAACACTTTGCTACGAAACAGGATCTTGCTTAGATTGAAACAAAAACAAAGGTTTTATCGGAAGAAATACATGAGCACTTCTTCCCCCTGGAAAGGAAGCATCTGATGTCATCGAGGTTCAGTAGAGCTTGGGCTCCTGAAGCTTCTACTGAACTTGCTTGGTGGTTTGTTGTAAAACCTTTTTCAAGAGCTTCAACTGTGATAAATCCCAGTCAAATCTGAGTGTTACTCTAAATGTTTTTACTGAAAAACACCAGGATTTGGGGTCGCTGAGCAGACCTGGATTCTTCCAGCGTCAGGACTCTACGTAGCCGTGATGGCACAGAGACCTGGTGTCAGGGATCCCAGCCGGCAGGAGGCGGGAGGTCGGGGCATCTTTATCTGCTTATCGTCACATACACACAACCTCTTGGCAAGGCCGCTTTCCAAGAAGAGGGCTAGCAAGACATTTCTTGTACAGGTTACCATAAGACACGTGGTTAGGAAAAGGCTGTGACCTGTGACAAACGCTAGGACACACAGATGCTGACAGCTCATCTCTGGGACAAACCTGCACTGCTGGCTCCTGAGGCCACTTCTAAGCCCTGACCCCACTGTGCAGACCAAGAGGGGCTGCGTTAAACCACGCCTGCCAACGTCACTGGCACGAGTCGCAAACCACACCGACAGGCGGCCTGTGTTACTTGGAAGCCACGCTGACTGGAGTGACTGGTGTCACTCAACATTCCCAAAAGGGAAGGTGAATGTCACATGAACGAAGGGCCAGAGGGACCAGCAGCCTTCCCCCGCGGGAGCGTGCTACCCAGATTCTTTCCTTACTACTTGCGTGAGAAATAAATTCTAGTAATGAAGCAAATACCTTAAGGTGTTACTAGGCAAGCTTTAAAAATGCAAGGGAACAAGAACCGAGTGTCAGAGACATGGCAGAGACGCAAATCTGTCAGAACCAAGTGGGCACTGGAGATCTGTGTTGTGTAAAGATAACGTGTGTGCGTGTGCATGTGTGTGTATGTGGATACTGCTGAGAGTATGTTACAAAACAAAAGCAAGACACGGAAGGACAGAGGCAGCCAAAAATATATACGACAACTTGGTTTACTAAAAATATATGAGATTTATTTATTATAACGTGGAGAGACTTTCTTCAGCCTTACCATGAAAGACACACAGACAGAGCAAAGGAAGCAAGAGCAGGGAGGGAAAAGAGAGGCTGAGATGAGCATTGGTCGGCAGTGGGAGCTCGGAGACAGTTGGGTGGCCGGCTGCCCGCGGGGCGAAGGGGCCGGAGCAGCACGGCGTCTGCGGGATGGGCCCGCCACCCCCTCTTCAGTGGGATGGCAACCTTGCGCTCACACTAACAGAATTAGCTCTGACTCCAAAAAGGCCACACCTAAGGTTTTTCTCTCTGAAGTCCCTTTCTTGACATGGAAGAGCCCAGGGCAGGAGGGAAGCCAAAGGACTCCCTGGTCAGCAGCGGGCTCTGGGGTCTGAGGGACCGGCCTCTCCAGGGTGACGGCTGCAGACGCCACAGGAGCGGTCGCCGCAGGAGGGCTCTGCCTGACCTGACATCCCGGAACCCTCGTGGGACGGGGCCTGTCCACCTGGGAGACCAGTTTTCCAAAGAAATGGCTATATTTTTACGAGAAAAACCCCTAATAGCTGTTGCTTGCAATTCAATCTTTAGATACACACACACAAAAAGCCCAAAACAAAAACAAAAAAACAAAAACCACATTGCAATACAGGGGACATTACTAATTTCTTAACGGTAAGTAGCTTCATCCCATAGTTAGGAGTAAGTTCTGCACTTCAATATAATGACTGTTGGAATAAGCAATTACATGCTTTCTTGATTACGTCTATTCAACTGTCACTTTTAAATTAAACTGTCAACTAAGATCTCAGTTCTCTATGATTTAAATGCTTTCTAGACTTTTAAATTAAGAGCACAGCAAGTTCTTTCTAGTACTCTATGCTGAACTAACTACTGCACACACGGCCCTACCTACCGACCCTTTACCAAACTGACTCTGGAAGGCATTTAAGGGCCCAAATCATCAGCTCCAATAAATACTTTCATTCAGATTTCTGAGACAGACACAACTTCCCATGAGGGTTAATTAACAATTCGACAAGAAAAAAGAGCTGTAAATGTGAAAATCTAGATTAAAAACATTTTTTCACTTCCAGAAAAAACTACGGTCTTTGTCTGCATTTACGGATAACAAAGAGTGGCTTTTCCAGAGACACTGCCCTGCACGCGCCCCTCGCCTGAGACGGGAGCAGAGGCGGTGTAACACGGCCACAGGAGAGCCCGTCGGCCCCAAATCTGTCCCTCCTCCTGAAGCCGGAAGAGAGTTACACGCCCGGCGCATTTCGAAAGGCATGTGAGCCAGTTACGGTCACCCGGCAAGGACAGATGGAGCATGACATCGTTCCTTTTTAAAGTAATAATAAACGCACAGCAAGACAAGAGCCAGTGTGAAGCTCTGAGGACCTGGGTCCTATGCCTGCCTCGGAGCTTTCGGCCAAGGTGCCCAGCCCATTGGGGCTTCGTCCTACGACGTCTGAGTGCACGTCCCACCACGTGCTTCACTGGGTTGCTTTGAGATTAAACTCGTGATTACAAAATGCCACGGAAGTGCCACGGCCCACGTTCGTCTGTGCCCCGGCCAGAACACCACAGCAAGAGCCCTATGAATTTTCCACATATCCCGGGCAGTTACAAGATATGTGAAATCCTGTGCACATCTGGTCTTTTTTAAAGAAACAAAGCCTTAATCACGTGGAAAGAAACACCCTGAGGCCCTTGAGGGCAGAGCTGGGCCCTCGGCAGGAGCAGGGGGAAAGCCCGGCTGTGCCCAGCCACCGGAGGCCACCTGGTGGCCACATGGCTGGACCATGGCCATGTGCATCTTGGTGTGAGACTTGACAGAAGGTGCTTCTTAATGAAAGGAGGAAAGGTACCCCCAGACCAAGGCCCACTGTCCATCAGGGTGTAGCTGATGGAACCCAAACAGCGGGGTGGGCTCAGTCAAGCCCTCAGCTGCTGATCGGCCGCCCTGCTGGCTGGAGGGGGCGCTGCCTTGTAGGGCATGTGTGTCCGAGGTTGGGGTGCGCAGCGGTTCTGAGGACCGCAGCTGGGCACGGCCATGGGGAACTCTCTTTGACTGTTCTGTTTTGTTATTACTTTCGACTTCTCTGCACACAAACTGCACACCCTCAAAGAGCAGACGGACCGTCAGCATGTGCAAACGGCTATTTCTGTGGGCCTGTTTATCCTCACTCAAAAGTACTGGAAGGCTTCCATTTTCATACTGTGTGATCGTCATGAAAAAGTACCAAAGCCCTTTTTCGAACAATAAATAGAAACATCTGTAATTGGGTTACCTGTTCGTATTGAAAAGCTAAAATTTTTATATAATTGAAATCAGTATTTATACACAGATCAATTACTCCCCCAAAATGGCAGTATTTTTAGTTACTGAATCTAGGAGGGAACAGTGACACCCTATGAGACCATCTGACTTCAGAACCCTTCTGAAGACACACAACTGGACGGGCCCACAGATTCGACTCCTGCTTTAGGAAGGCATCCTGGAACCCTTGCGCGTGAATTCTCCTGACTTGTCAATCAGTGCGCAACTGTCAGAGGGCCACTTTCTGAACTGGGCGGGGGGTCGCGGGTTTCCTGCCGGTCCCCGCACACGCACACACGGTGTCCTAGCAACTTCCTGACGAGACACGCACACTCACGCACGTGCCACCGGGAAACAGGAGAAGAAAACCTACCTCTTTTTCATTTCTAACAGCTGGTTATTGAGCACAGATCTCTCCTCCTCCACCTGGAAAAAAGCAAACACAAACAAGATCAGCTCCTCACAGGCCCCCAGACAGGCCTGCTTCCCACGCACGGGGCATGTTCCCAGGCTCCAGGGCTGCACGAGCTGCTGTCTCCCACTCACAGGATGTCCGGTTAGCAGTCCACAAATCATTTATGACCTGAGTGACTCCCCTCCCTCAAGGACTTGAGAGTGAAGACATTAAACAACAGTCCTGACCAATGTGGCTCAGTGGGCTGGGCACTGCCCTGCAAAGCAAAAGGTCGCTGGTTTGATTCCCGGCCGGGGCACGTGGCTGGGTTGTGGGTTTGGTCCCCGATCCGGGCGCATACGAGGCAACCGATCGACGTCTCTCTCGCACATCAAAGTGTTTCTCTCTCTCTTCCTCCCTCCTTCCCTTCCCCCCTCTCTAAAAATAAGTAAATATAAGCAACGAGTGAGAGGGTCACACTGACATTCCGGCCCCTCTACTGGGAAACAGAGGTCCAGTGTCACCAACTCCAGAGGGGCCAGGGGCAGGCCAGGCGCTCTCAGGGGGCCTCGTCCGAGGCTGCAGTCCAAGCGTTTGTTTCTCAGGTACAGAATTCAGAGGTTACAAAAGAAGCCCCAGCGGCCTTTTATTTCCAAAATTCTACCACTGTGCACATTGTGGAAAAACAAAAGTGACAGTTGGTAAAGCCCGAGAGCAGCCGCGCCTCTACCCCAACCTGGCGGAGGCCAGCCGCCTCCTGATCTCCGCTCGGGCTGCTCCCAAAGCAAAGCGTCCGTGTGGGTTTGTTTTTTTCATACCCTTTTATAGAGTTTTTATTTATTGTTTTAAAAAAGGAAGCTCTTTTACTTTTCAAGTAAAAAAATCACTGGCGTGTAAGGAAGTGACTGACTTCTGAATACGAAACCTCGCTCCCTGTAATCCTGCTGTCCTCGAGTATTAGCTCCAGGAGATTTGTGTCGTTCTCTCAGGTTTTCTACACTGTGCCGTCTGCAAACAAAAACTGTTTTGTAAACCGTTTTGTTAATTTCTTTCGACTGTCTTTCCTCCTCCTGTCTCATTAGCAAGGGCCGGCTGAACGTCAGAGGGGGCGCCCTCGCCCTGGTGCTGATCTCGGAGGAGAACCCTTGTGTTTCTTGCCGTTGGGTGTGATGCCGGCTGGGGGTTCACCGACCGCCTTCTCTAGTGGAGCAAGTCCCCCGACGCCTCGTTTGCTGAGAGACATTGTTGTAATGGGTGATAGACTTTCTTCAAATGCCTTTTCTGCAGCCGTTGACATGATCGTGTGGTTCTCTTCTTCAGTCTGTTGATGGGATTGGATTGCAGTGACTGATTTTTAATGCTGCATTAGCCTCGCATATCTGGGGTAAATCCCTCTTGGTTGTGGTCCCTAATCCTTTTTACATGTGGTTGGATTCAATTTGCTGATGTTTTGTTGGCACACACTATTTTGAATCCATTTATGTTACCTACTAGAAAAAGCAAAACTATGAGGCCATAGAAGAGATAAATAAGTGGGTTTTAGGGACTGAGAGTGACTACGAGGAGCAGGAGAAAGCTTCTGGGGTGAGGGAAGCCCTGACTGTGAGGCCGGCTGTGGCTGTGCACCTGTCAGAAACCCACTGAACCGCACACCCGTGATGGTGAATCATATGTAAGTCACATCTTCACACATGTGACTATGGGGAAAAGGCAAGTGTGAGCAATAATCTATACAATGCAGCTTTGGTAAGAAACACAGCTGTGTGCATGTACGCGTTTGCACGCGCTGTGACCCCGTGAAGAGCAATTTGGAAAGACGCCCCACCCCTGGTGACGTGGCCTCTCCGCGGGAACAACAGGGGGCAGTGCCTTCAAAACGACACGCATCTGATTGGTTCATGTTGCAAACATGGGCGTGTTTCTAACTTCAAAGTAACACTATAACTTTAAAGGAATAAATAAATCTCATTCTTTAGAGACACAAAAATATTTACAAAGTGACAGGAAATGTAGGGTTCGCTTTCCAGTCGCCCATGGCAGGGAGAAGGGTGCATGGGAGCACAGCAGGGGCGGGCGCGGCCAGGGGCGGGCGTGGCCAGGGGTGGGCGTGGCCAGGGTGGGCGCGGCCAGGGGCGGGCGCGGCCCCACGGTGCTGCCCTGATCACCCGGCTTCTGTGTGGGGCTGCCGCTTCTCCTAATGCAAGTTTCACTAAAAGTGCGCATCACTTTAAAAAACATATTAAGAAAAGAGTGTGCGAACACCCATTGTCTCAAAGAGTTTATCCACAAAGCTGCTTTATAAATAAAGATGGTGGGTGATTTCCTTTTACTCCGTCACTTAAGCCGTGAAACACACCAGGCCGTGTGACGGGAAGGCCGTGCCGAGGCTCAGAGCACCACAGACGCAGCCCCCGCCTTGGCAGGCTCAGCAAAGCCACCGGGGCGCAAACTGCCCGGGAGGCGCGGCAGCGTCCGTTTCTGCTGATTTCTGCTGGGCTCACCGCCGTCCCGTGTCTGGAACACAGGCAGCCACGCAGCGCGCATTCGCTGACTAGTCTCAATGCCGGGGACGCACTAACGCCGCTGAACGTGCACTGTGAAATGGTTAAAGCCGCGAGGGTCACGTCCTGCGTGTGTTAATACACACGCCAGCCACCGGCGCAGTGGGAACCAAGTCAGCTGCGCAGGAGCCCCCGGGAGAGTGCGGAGCCCACACGGCCACCCCGATGGCCTTCCTGGGAGGGCTGAGCTGTGCCGACTGGCAGCCGAGCCATGTGCCACTGCAGGACCAGGGCACCTTCACGTGGTCCGACCTAATGAAAGGCCGGACGCAGCAGGTGACACCGTGTGAGGGTCTCTGCCACTGTCGGCGCCCGAGAAATCCGGCTCAGCTGCCTCTCCCGGTCCTGGCCGTCGCTCCTCACCCTCCCTCCAAAATGGAAATCCCATTTGGGAAAAGGAGTTGAAAGTGTGTCTTGGAGGACCACGTGGCCCCACCGCCCCAGACCCAGCTCATGAGTATTTTTTTTTAAATCTTAAGAGCAATGACGATGGAGTAGAAATGAGTTTCATTCCCAGTGCAGGGGGCGGGGGGACACAGGCTTCCGAGTTAGTCAGGCACGAGCTCGGATCTCGGCCTGGGTCCCTCCCTAGGGGTTTACTTCACCTCTGGGCCTCAGCCGTGTGTGTGTGTGTGTGTGTGTGTGTGTGTGTGTGTGTGGTGAGGACGCCGGGAGCCGCGCCGGGAGCCGGTGCTGCCGCGTTGGGGGCCAGCGGAGCTCCAGCCCGAACCCATGTCAGTCTGGTCTCTGCTGCTCTAGTGTTTGGGAGGGACCACTGACTATTCCTATTAGTACTGCAATTAAAAGTCTTTCTTTTTTTAAAAAATAGGGTTTCTGCCAAACACTGGCTCTGCACATTTCCGAACACAGCGGATCAACAGTTTGGTGGGACTCTGGAGAAGTAACGAAGTAAGTATTTGGACTTTCACTTCAGGAAGCCGTGCTCTCGAGTCCTGGACATTACGCAGGGCGATACAGCCAAGGAGTCGACCAGCCTTCTTCACGCGACGGCGTCTTCTAAGGCGTTTAAAGGGGTGCTTCCCCCTCTTTGAATTGTGACCTGTGACCTCCCTGGGTGCTCGATGTTGTCAACAACCTCCGGCATCGAGGCCTCACATGCTGTAGTTCACCCGACTCGTCTCCCCGGAGCAAGACACAGACAACTGCGGAGGGCTGCGGTTATTCTTAGTTGTTCCTTTGCAGGCGCTATTCCCTAACAGCCTTCAAAGTCACAGGTTTTCAAACTTTTTGTCACAAAGCTTTTTCCAAAGGAAGGTCACTCAGGTCCAATATGCAAAAGCCAGGGAGCTGGAGGCTGCAGAGGGGCCGAGACCCGCTGCCCAGGCCCTGGCCCGCCCTGCCCAGGCCCTGCCCCGCCCTGCCCAGGCCCTGCCTGCGTCTGGGAAGGGAAGCGAACACGGAACCAACAGCCCGGTGACGACGGCCACAGTGTGGGGGGCCAGGGTGACCTCTGTGTGCTCTTCCCATGTGTGGAACCCACCCTCTACCAGAAGGTCCACAAAACGAGAGAGGAGGAGCCGGGACCCCCGCCTTGTGAGTCCTCACAGGCACACGGACGTCAAGGCCACTCAGAGTGTCGGGCGCTCTGGCCTGTGTCTGGGGTGACAGCCTTGTGTGGTCGAAGGGCAGCTACTCTTCCTGAACCTCGCCTCCCACATACCGATTACAGGGAGTGCAGCCCCCCTGCCTAAGTCCACCCGCTCTGGTCCCTTTCCCGGCCCGAACCAGAAGGTGCACCCAGCTCCTGACTCCAGCAGCTGACAGGCTGAGCAGAGGACTGCCTTCTCTGGGCTCCTGTCCCCCTTCTACAAACGGGGATAAAGGCAGGGCCATCTCTTACAAGCCCTGCAAAGGTGAGTGACATGAAGCTGCCACTTGTCTGTGCCTGTCACACAGAAGGACACCACAGTGGTGAGATGCCGGAGGCGGAGATGTGGCCCCTCTTCTGTGAACTTAAACGCTCGCGGAAAGTCTGAGACCGACGCACTGGAAAGGGCTCTTGCCGCTGATGGCGCCCTGTCCGTGGAGACTCTACACAACCGCCCTACCTCCTCCGTCCCATGTGGGAGCGATGCTGGCGAAGTGGGCTGGGGGCAGATTTCCCCTGTGACATGCAGAGCGAGAATGACTGCACAGCAGGATTCCCAGGAGCACGTGGCCCTGAGCCCCTGGGCCGGCACTCGAAGCGACCGTCCGTTCAGACGGCAGAACGCAGCCCACGGCAGACCCAGGTCTGAGTCCGTGCCCGATGAACTCGCCCGAAGCCTTTGTGGTTTAAATTTGGGCGCGAGCGGGCCGGGCGGCGTCCACCCCGGGCGTGACACACACCTCCCTGTGCCGCTGCATGGGAGCGCACGTCCATACTCGGCTCTACCGGGACACGTCTGTCACATTGTTCTTTTTTAATCTAAAGAAAAGCAGAGTCTTGTCTAAAAACAGCTGCCAACCCTCACACCGACACCGTTCTCGGAATCTGCTTCCTTAAGACCAGCTTTGATGAATGAAAATAAGAACCTGGGAGAAAAGAGTGTTAGAATCCAAGCCGCGGCAGGAAGGAGCCATTGCCCCCTCGCACATAAATGCTCTCACATCGCCCAGCAGAGACCTCGGCTGCCACCTGCTTGCAAGTTCTCAGTGTTCGTTTTTTTTTTTTTTTTTTAAGGACCTGTCCACAGACTCGGACCCGAGCCCTGCAGCTTGCAGAGAGTTGGCATATGACACTGTTGAGGGACGTCCCACCTGATCCCCCCGATCCCCCCTCCCGAGAGCGCAGGTTGGATCTGTCTCCACACGGCACCCACCAGACGCCCACCAGCCCGGCAGATGGCAGTGCCGGCTGTGCCCACCCCGCGCCCCCTGACCTTCTGGTGGGTCGAGACCTCGTCCCTCCGCCTCCCCAGCTCCTCGGTGAGTTTTGCGTTCTCCTCCTTCAGTGCCGAGAGCTGCTGGGACTTCTGCGCCGCTGCCTGCTTCAGGGTTTCTCTGCAAGGACAGTGGGTGCGCGGTTACCGTGGAAACAAGACAGGCAAGGAAACTGTGGGAGACGAGCGGCCCCACGGCACCGGCACCGGGGAAAATATCTCTGGGTCACGTGCCCAACAGGCTCTGTAACAACAGGAGGCAGCATGACCTCCTCGCGGGAGGGGCCAAGTGGCGCTGACCTCTCAGGAGGAGGACTGCCACCCACAGTTACTCCATGTCTCAAAAAAGGACTGAGTGAACACCACATCCAGCCTCTCGCCACCCACACTCACCTTCCTTCCGGGCCCTCCCCACACAGAACGCAAGGCTGCTCTGAAATACACAACAAGGGGGATGGCCGGTGCCCCTCCTGTCTTTCGGGCTGTTCGTTAGAAAACCGTACTAAAACCTGCGGTGTGGACAGAGGGGTTCACTTGGCTGCGGGCACTCTGTTCTAACTGCACGAGCCTGCACCCCGCTTTTCCTGGCAGGAATCAAACTCTTCTGGCCTCACTGGCTGATGTCTGTCACCACCAAGTGCTGGCACGAATCTCAGTGTGTTTGTGGGTCAGCGGGAGGCGTGGTCCCGAAGGCGAGGCAGCCGTCTAGTTATGTGACGGGGTTCCATTTCGACTGCGTTCTTTCCATAATGCCAATGTGTGATTAAAAGAAGTAAATAAAAGTAGAGCCTGCTCACCTATCTCATCACTATCAGCACAGAACACCTGAGTAGGTAAGCACGTTTACTGAGCATCTTTCCAAGGTTCTCGAGATTGATCCAAGATATACATCCCAAATCATCCTTTACACACGGGCTTTCAAAATATTTTATCTGATCACTGGATCTCAGCTCTGTGCCAGGCGGGTGCTGATGCGATTATGGCTTTAAGTCTGTGCTGGCTGCGCTCCACGGAGTGAGCTGTTGTGCGTGGCTGGGCTCTGAGTCCAGTCACCGGGGTTCGAAGCCATCTGCTGACGCATGAGCGCATCTATTTTTAACTCTGACTGTCTGAGGGCTGGGGGTGCTCGGCACCAGTCTTCTTGGGTTTTAATTCTCCATCCACCTCTAACGTGGGCACAGGGATGAGCGTGTGAAGGTTTGGGGGAATGAAACCTACAGAGCAACTCTCTCTGCAGTCAGATCTGGTGTTTTACAAGGTGTTTGTTTAGCAAGCAAAGAAAAGCTGGAATAGAGGAACTTTTAGCCCCAGGTAATTAGCCATTCAAAACCCGGAGGCTTGATTTCAGCTATGGATCAAAGTACACACACACACATACACACACACACACAAACACACGACAGCTAAAGCTCATCCCGTCTAAAATCGATTAACTCTTGATGAAACTGAAAATTCTGCTTATGGGGAAGCCGCCACGAGCCAAACCTCTCGCACCCAGGCAGACGGACAACGCCCTCATCGGGGCCGTGTGGTCTCAGCGTCTGTGTGAACTGGGGCCGAGGTCTGCGACCCTGCGCTCTCTATTCAAGCCTTTCATCTTGTGAAGTTGTGTAGGTCTCTGGTGTCTACTGAGAGCCCACAGTAAGGAGAACTAACACACGGAGTCTAAGAAATATCATCAAGGCCTAAGGGTTTGTTTAATGTTTCAAAATCTACAAACTGCCTTCCTGTACATTTTCTCATTCAATCCTCAAACCCTAAGAAGGCTCATCATATCAGTTGCATTTTAAAAACAAAACCACGGAGGCTCAGGACACTGAAGAGATTCGCCCCAAATCAAGTTGCAGAAGAAGCGAGAGCAGGGGACCTAACACCCGCGGACGGGCCAGACGCTAACACAGAAGCACCTTCTTTCTTTCAAGCGCCGTGGACGCCTGCGCCTCACGGAGGAGGGAGACTCTCGCAGCCCGACTCCTGGGAACACTCTAAGCAGTAATTCCAGAAATACCTACAGCTATACTTCTAAATGTTTTTAAGGCTACTTTTCTTTCTACATGGCAAGAGAGCATGAAACAGAAAAGAAGGATGCCAAGTGTTAAAACCAGGGCAACATAGACGTGATTAACGTTGACTTGTTAACACGAGACTTATGAACTGACCACGAGTCTATTACCTGCCATTCCAGCTACATCCTATGTTCACCTCCGCACCAGGTGAGCAAGGACAAGCATCAGGTCACTCATCAGATCCTCCCTGGGACTCGACATTATCCAGCAGAGAGAAACCGTTTTACTCTTTTCCTCTGTCTGGAAATAGGAGCTGGCTAACCCAAACCGCACGCTTCCCTAAAACCAGCCCAGTTGGCACACAGAGGGCCGGGGACATGTGGCCCTCCCTGCGGGTGGGGTCCCGGCGCCAAGGGCAGTGCCCATGGGAGGCAGTCCCTAGCGGACCTCCCGTGTCTCTGTGGCTGTCCCTCTCCCCCAAGGAACCACGGTCCTGGCGGGGGATGCAAGGAGCCACGAGCCCAGGGAACCGTAGAACAAACGCTCCGGCCCAGCCTGCAGCCCTGAGGAATGGAGGGGCAGTCACGGGGCTTTCGGTTTGTTTTCTGAGAAGTGCTGTTTCCATCTCACAGGCCATTTCTATCAGCTGGTCCCTGAAGTGTGGCCAGCTCGAGTGGCAACAATGAGTCTCTGGGCCAGGGCCTCTCTCAGCCCACTCTTCATACCTCCCGCCCCCCAGTGCCCGCCTCCTGCTAAGAATCCCAGCACCTGCTGATGGAAGACGTGGCCCCTCAGGCCTGGTGGGCCAGGAAAACGGCTAAGCAGCAGCCTGGGCTCTGCCCGCCCCGTGGCCTGGCTCCTCACCTGGGCCACCCCCTCAGGGACCGGACGGGTGGGGAGCGCGGCTGCAGGAGGAAGGCAGGCCAGGGGCAGGGGCAGGGGGGCAACGGCGGGCCGGTCTCCTGAGGCGGCTCCTCTGCTCCTGCAGGCAGCAGGCCACGCTCTCATTATTCAAGGGGACGGTGCAGAAGGGGACACAGAAACAGCCTGTCTCCTTTGAGACGGGACAGCACCCCACACTCTGGGGGCAGTGGCATGACAACGGCTCAGGAAGGATGTTGGACTCTTGCGTACCACACCAGTGGAATGACCCCAAGAGACTCAAGTCTTGGAGCAGGAAAGGGGCATTTCGCCTAACGCGGAGCCCTCCTGGCTGGACCCGCTCGGGCCCTGCCCCTCCACCAGAGCTCAGAGGTGGGGCCGGGCAGGGGATCTTCTCCTCCGGCCCAGATCCTTGCTCACCAGCGGCCTGCGTGACGCAGTGAACTAAAGTGAACTCAGGGCCCCAGTGCTCAGTGCTGAGCAGCTCCAGTGAGACCATTTCTGGCAGGATATTAAGGACTCTCAGAACTAGACACAGGCTCGTTTAATTCAACTCGATCAACAAACAGTATTGTGGATGGTAACTCAGAATAGCAGTTTGGAAGTGATGCTTTTCTTTTTGCCTGAACCTCATCTGTCTGATTGGAACTCCAAATAAATAATATAAGCTCCTGGGGGGGGGGGGGCAAGGCTCCACAGGATTCGTCTCTGTACCCTTCCGAGTGGCACTGTACCGCGCCTGACAGACACGCTCCAATGCCACCAGGTTCATCAGCTCCAGATGTTCAGTTTCACCTATTTGATGGAGTACAGCTCTCAGAACAGAAGGGCAAAATGAAATCTACATCCTGCCTATCACTACAAATGCCAGCGAACTAACCATGTGCCCAGTTATAAAAACCAAACTCGAAAGGCAGCGCCAGCAAAGGGGGCCCGGCCGGCCTGTCTGTCTGCAGTTGGGGCGACAGTCTGGTGGGTGAATCTTGGTAAGAAAAAGTCTTGCAAAATTCTGCTCATTTAATTTCCATGCCAGAGGATCTGATGAGTCTTTGAAAAAATCAAGATTGTTGACAATCTCAGTAATGTCATTGTTTTTTTTTTTTTTTGCTCCTATAGACAGGGTGTAGAGGGATTTGTCACTAAAGGGTGTGACGTGGCCAGACGTCAGTGACAGTCTCGGGGCCATCGTGCAGCTACACCCCTCACACAGCCCCGAGCCCCCTTTTCACGAGGCCTTACGGACTCACACCCGAACCCCAAACATCCTAATCACCAACCAGCTCTCGGTGTCTGGATCTTTACCGCGGTTCTGGCTCGTAACCGGGGGCGCAGGGGCCACTTCTCGGGTGCCACAGTGTTTGTGGGGCAGCGGGGGACTGTTTTCACTCTGCACTTGTCAAGTATCTCGAAAAATAACGAGCATCGTTCTCCCTTTCGCGATTTTAAACAAGTTCCACAACTTCTCCCAAAGGAGAAAGACTTACATTTCTCTCCTGAATTCTTCCATTTTTTGGTTCTCCACGGTCAGAAGTTCTTTCGATTTGTTCAGCTCTTCTACATTTTTCAAGTTGTTTTCTTTAAGTGTATCCAACTTAAAGACCAAGAGAAGAAAAGGCTTGGTGAAATTATTTGACTTTCCAATGGACGTGACTGAATTATGACATTATTCATGAAAATGTGCATTAACAAACAGGTAACATTAGTCACTTGTTTAAAAAAAAAGGGGGGGCCCCTGGGTGAAGGGCTGACAAATGAACGAGCCTTCACAAACCGCAAACCCTCCCGTTTAGTCGGACGGTCCCTGTACACGTCGCCGAAATGCCAAACTCAACTGCTTCGTAAGGTAAAACACAAGTCTCCCTTCACCTTGTATACGACTACCAACATTTAGCACTGAACTTGCTGTTCAGGTATGAACCATCTTCAAGAATAAAAAAAACAAGAAATAAATTGCAAAGGCATGACATCAGAAGGGGTTATTCTTTGTCATGAAAACAGACCCCTTTCCTTCCCCATAGATTAGTGACTTAGGATATGATATTTCTCAACACTAGTACCAAATTTACATAGTCCTCATTAAACAAATTATTTAAAGCCCTAGGCTGGTGTGGCTCAGTGGACTGAATGCTGGCCTGCGCGAACCAAAGGGTCGCTGGTTCGATTCCCAGCCAGGGCACATGCCTGGGTTACAGGCCAGGTCCCCAGTAGGGGTGCACAAGAGGCAACCACACATTGATGTTTCTCTCCCTCTCTTTCTCCTTACCTTCCCCTTTCTCTAAAAATAAATAAAATATACTTTTAAAGTTACTAAAAAATTACTTGAATAAAAATATTTGTAAATGGGGAAAAAATCAGTCATCCATCTGAACTTCAATCTGAAAAGGGAAAAGTCATGTAGTAAGACTGAAAGGGCCCTGACTGGTGTGGGTCAGTGCATTGGGTGTCGTCACACAAACCCAAAGGTTGCGGCTCGATTCCCAGTCAGGGCACGTGCCTGGGTTGCGGGCCGGGTCAGGTTGGGAGCAAGTGAGAGGCAACTGATCAGTGTTTCTCTTGCACATCAATGTTTCTCCCCATTTTCCCCTCCCTTCCCCTCCCACTAAAAATAAGTGAAACCTTAAAAAAAAAAAGACAGTGACTGAAAGGCCCTCACACACACTCAGCCCCATCACCTGCCCTGGGAGGGACGCAGGCAGCTCAGGGTGTGTCACAGCAACGAGCGAGGGTGTGACCAATTACAGGCTCCGGCAGGGCCGGAGTTCTGGGTGTGGAGCCCCCACCAAGGATGGGGAGTCTGTCAAGGGCCCCCATGACCACGCATCCCATGGTGGTGGGGGCTGTCCCAGTGCCCTGCTGGCTTTCTGGGATGTGGGCAGTCATCTCCCACAGCCGGAGACACTTCTATGTCACATGTCACCAGTCAGGAGCCCTAAAAAGTGTCTTGCTAGTTTCTACACCACCATCTTCCTTTTTGATGCCCTCTAACATTTCAGATTCACAGGAAAAAAATCCCAGTGGGCCCGAAAAATGACTCGTCCAGCCTGCTGCTCTGGCTGTAACCAAGGCACCGGGGCACGCGACGTCATCGTCACACTTCTCCCCGAGTCTCTGTGAGAGGCCAGAGACAGTCGCAGAGATCGTGTCATCTACTTCAGCTTCCAAATTTGATTATCATCAATGATTCTTTAATGCGTTTATGTTTTTGGCTTCAGTCTTCTCCAAGGACCGTCAGTTCTATAAATATACTTGCCTTCTATGTCAAGTTTTATTTACCCTATAATTATCTCAAAACGTTCGTGTCCTTTAAAGATTTCCATCTTGGACCCTCCCCCCCATAATGAGGCGGCCTTGTCTTCAGAGCAGCTGCTCAGCGTGGCCGTCCCTTCCCCTGCTTTGATTCCTTAACGTCTTACCTGCTTATCACTTTAAAAAGCACCCCGAATTCTACCAAATTTTATATAACTATTTCGGCAAATCCATCTGCCTGGGCGACATCTTTCCAAAGACAGGATTGCTATGAGTTGGGAGTGAGAGTGGAGGAAAAAAAGTAAAAAAAAAAAAAAAAAAAAGGGGGTGCAAGAATAAGAACGCTACTTTTGGACAGAATCAAAATGATCTGGACACCATCCATCTGTCCGACAGCTGGGAGTGACTGATTCGAGATGACACAGTTGGGAACCAGCGCTGAGTCAGGCCAAGAAGAGGCCTTCGTCACTCAAACCCAGTGCTGAGGAATGAAATTTGGTGGCTCAGAGTTGGGAGGAGGCAAACAGTCCCTGCTCTAAGGTAAGAGACACGAAAAGCAGAGGTTATCAGTGCCTCCTCTCGTTGGCTCCACCACTGAGCAACTAATGAGCACAGAAGGCCCTGCTGTTGAGGTTTCCCCCTCATTTTTAAGAGGCTGGTCCTACTAAGTAAGTAACGAAGTGATACACTTTATTTAATATTATCGTGGTTCTGCTGCGCATTCAACCCACTAACAGAGATCAGACCCGAACGAGGCCACACTTCAAAAATAAATGACCCGAGTTAGTGGTCGAACATCCCACGAGGTCCGCGAGCTGTCCTCGGCACGAAAAGCCACTTAAGTCTGATTACTTCGCTCTGCAGCTTCTCGTTGGTCTGCTTGGTGTCCTCCAAGGAGGCCAGCGTGGCGGTCTTCTCCTTGGTCATCTGCTCCACGATCTGCAAGGCGTCATCTGCCGTCTGCACAGTCTGAGCACAAGAAGGCACAGTGAGAGGGGCGGCCACCCTGCCGGCTCGTGCGCGGGCCTGTGCACCCCGGGGGCCACGCGGGCCGAGGGGCCAGCCTCCCGTCAACACGAGCCCAAGACGGGAAAGGCCTCCTGCTCCCGACCACAACACACCCTCTTCAGGCCACGTGGGGACGGCCGCCTGTCACGTGCCACCTGCACTGATTTCAGACCCCACGTCACCAGGATGGTCCCACCCGACCTCCTGGCTCCCGGGTGAGAGAAACGTTCAGTGGTGACGGAGGGTTAACGCCCTGGGACGGCTGAATTTTTCTCTTACTCGCATTCACCGCTAGGCGGTCTAAAACACTGCTGCTGCTCTTTCGAACCTGGGGCCTTTGAAATCACTCAGAATGTAGGCAGGAAACTTTTCAAATAAAAATAAAAATTATTTGGGCGATTATAATGAGAGGGGATCGAGTGTTTAATGAGAAGCACTGAATGGAAACGTCTGTGAGGAGCTGTGGGTAATGAATACAAACATGGCTGTGAATAAAAAAGATAGTATGAAGATGTAAACAAATCCTCGGCTGACAACCTCTTGGAAACCACCACAGAACCCGTGCGAGTCCCCTCAGGCACCGGCTCGCACCCGCCGTGGTCTAACGGAGCTGGCGGGACTTCTGCACTACGCCGTCCCGGGGACCAGCCGCAGTGCAACAGCTGAAGGCCAAATAGAAGACAGCCCACACTTCAAGGTGCGCCTCTTTTAGGACTGTTCCTAGGCCTTGGAGGACCCCAGGTGACTTTACCGTGAGAATTTCCCCCTACACTAAATATACATCCTTGTTATTCACAGTGGGCGTGTTGTTCTAATGGAGAGAGGCTGCTGCAATTAGACATTTAGTAAAGAACTGCCCTTTCAGGTGGCAACAGACAGCTAGAGACACAGGAGCGCCTGCCTCAGCGGGGCGGTGCCCTAACACGGACGCGGGCACGGGCCCCCTAAGCCACGAGCGAGTTAGTGCACAGGGTTAGTAGTCCAAGGGCTCGACACTGCACCCTCCCACTTTACCGTCAGCGAGCGAAGCGTCTCGAGCTCTCTAATTTTAAGAGTGAGCTTGCTCTTGTCTTTCCTCAAAATACGGTTTTCATTTTGAGATTCTAGGAGGTTGGCCGAAATGTGGCTGTTGGTCTTGGCCAGCCGGCCGACCTCCTTCTGTAGGACGAAGTAGCTTTCGGCCAGCTTCTCCTGCTCCTTCAGGAGCTCGTCCTTCTTCAGCACCACCTCCCTCTTCTCCGCCAGCAGGCTCTTGCTGTCCTGCAGCGCCTTGGCGCGGTCGGCCAGGGCCGCCTCGTGGTCCAGCCGCAGGTCATCCAGGATCGTGGTGAGGCAGGCGTGCAGCTCCTGCAGCTCCAACTTGGACTTGGACAAGGAGGCGAAGTCGCTCTTCAGAGTCTCGATGTTGGCAGCCAGCCGCGCCGTCTCCGCGGCCAGGAGCTCCTTTTCCTGGAGTATCTCCACCACTTTCTGCTCCGACTTGGCCTTCTCTTGGAGCAGCGCACAGTTTTCGGACTGGAGCGTCTCGGCGCACGCTCTTGCCTCCTCCAGCTCCTGCTGCAGGTGCGCCGCCCTCCCGCGGAGCTTGCCGTTTTCGTGCGAGGAGGACTCGCTGTCCTTGGCTCTGGCTTCTCTCTCCAGGAGTAAGGACTGCTGGGCCATCTGCATCTCCTGGGTCAGTTTCCGACACTCCTCCTGCAGCGCGTCCTTCTCGGCCCAGCAAGTCTCCAGTTCAGCACTCAGGCTCTCCTTGGCCTGCTGGATGCTCGCGTGTTCTTTTTCTAGATGCTTTTGGGCGTTTTGAGCCTCTTGCAGCATCAGAGAGAGCTCACACTTGGTGGCCGCCAGGTCCTGGTTCTCCCTCTTTCTCTCCTGCAGCTCCTTCTTCAGAGCATCGAGATTACCAAGCAGTTTCATCTTCTCTTGCACGACGACCCTCCTGTGTGCAGCCTCCTCGTCGCATTTCCGTTTAAGCTCTCCGATGGCACTGACGGAGTTTTCTCTTTCTGCCAGCAAGTCTCCGTGTTGCATTTCCAGCACGGATTTTTCTTTTAAAACACTATCGAGCTGCTTTTTGATCTTAGAAATTTTCTGACAAACCATGTCCTTCTCGGAGGTCAGGTAAGAGAGCTTCTCGTTCAGGCTCATCTCGGTGCGGGCAGCCTCGTCCGAGCACTGGCTGAGTTTCTCAGTGAGGAGCCTGTTTTCATGCACAAGATCTTCTTTCTCGGCCAAGTGCCTTCTCTCCGACGCGGCCAAGGTCTCCTTCTCGTGCAGGAGCTGGATGCACTCGGAGTCCGTGACGGCCCGGCTGGCCTGAATTTCCTCCAGGAGCTTTGTGAGGCTGCCCTTGGTGGCCTGGAGCTGCAGGGTCTCCAGCTCGGCCTTCCGCAGTGCTTTGCTGGTGTCGTCCAGCTGCGTGCGGAGCCCGCTGGCCTCGGCGCTGAGCAGCTGTTTGACCTGCAGGGCGGCGGCCAGGCTGACGTTCAGCTTCTCCTGGTCTTGCCGCAGCGCGTCCTTCTCCAGCTGCAGGTCTTTGCTGTTCTGAAGAAGGGCGTCTCTTTCCGCCTTTAAGGCTACGCACATGCTTTCGAGGCCTGACTGCTTCTCTAACGCCGACTTTTTCTGGTCTGTGAGATCTCTGATCTCCTGCACCAAGGTTTTCTGATCTCTGGCTAGCTCCTCGTAAGAGCTCTGAAGCTTCTGAATAGTTTCCTCTTTATCTTTAGCCAAGGCAAGGTGCTCGGCAACAAGCTTCCTGGTGTGAGCGTCCAGGCGCTCTCTTTCCTCCCGACCCTTCTTGCACTCGGCAATCAGGCCGTCTTTGCTGAACTGCAGCTCTTCCACGAGAGCCTGCAAGGTCGCTTTGGAGGCTTGCAAGGACTCGTTTTCTGTGTTTATCTTCAGGAGCTCTTCCTGCGCAGCGTTGACTTCTTGAAGCCATTTCTCCCTCTCGGCGGCCAGGGCCCCGCTGCGGCGCTGCTCCTGCTGACACAGCCTCTCGGCGTCCTGCTTTTCTCCGAGGGCTTTCTCCTTCTCTAGGTTCAGGGTTTCGTTTATGGACCACAGTTTCTGTTGGTCTTCCTGCAGTAACGTTATTTTGGCCTCCACCTCGAGAAGCTTTGACAAAAGCGAACCTTTCTCTAACTTTAAAGCATTTCCCTCCTGTGCGAGAAGCTGCTTCTCTGATTTCAGACCCCTCAGCTCTTCTGACATTAGCTCAAGTTCTTTTCTGGCTGATGTTAACAAATAAGTTAGCGACTACAGAAACAAAAGGTGGAAAGAATGGGAACAAAATGAAATCAAGCAGACAAATGCAAGCCCAAATAACTTCACGTAACCCTAAATCACGGACGTTAAAACTTATTCTTACAATAAATGGCACAGAAATTATCTGGCTAACGCAGGACAGCGTCTGGGTGGAGGAGCCCAGGGAAGGGAGGACACAGAGCAGTGTGGCTCTGCTACGTCTGCTGCCGCTGTCAGTTCACTCGCTCTCTGAAAGAACTTTTCTAAATCATCCCTGACAGCTACCTAGAAGACAAAAACAGCAGTGTGGTTTTGACAGCAGGACATAGGAGTCTCCCCTGCCATTCTAGTTACCCAATAATTCCTATCATAGAAAGAATGCATAAAAAAATTTTTAAAACACAATCCAATGAACTACAAAAAGTGCATATATTTTAAAAAAAAAGGTGTGGGGAGGGAGAAATGAAACTGCTGCTTCTAGGTTCACGGCAGGACCTTATTTACTGCAGGACAACCCCAGGCCTGACACAGGTTTAGTCCCAATGCCGCGGACACGACTTCCAGGGAAGCACTAAAAAACTGGAGCCTGTCCGGATAAAGGGAACCACAGAGACAAAAGGTCTGCAAATCACCTCCAGTGTCCAGCAACGGCTCCTAAAATTTTAGACGTCCCACATGGAGACGAGGGAGCCCTGATGGCCAGCATGCAGGAGAGAGAAACTGAGGCACCTCGAGCACGACATGTGTTACGTCACGGTCCCCTCAGTTCACAGCTCTAAGGCGGGGTCTGTTTCCGAGCCTACATGGGCTCCTCCTGTACCTTCTTTCTACTGAACTCCTCTTCTGTTAATGTCTCTCTGACATGTTAAAAATAATGAAAGGTAAGCATTTACCTTTGTTGGAGCAAGTTAAATAGTAATAGAAAAAAGTTAAATACTAGTAGGAGGGCTGAACTTCCTCACGTTACCAGAATCAAAAAAGATCTGTGGGGGCCGAGGGTGCCGCCCTGACCCCAGGAAGTCATGCGATGCACCACGCCCCGCTCTACATACGGGGCGGCAGGGTGCGTCCCCACAGCCCCGGCTCCGGCCTCCTCGTCTGTAAGCTCGCCGAGTCTCCCTAGGGACACGGGACAGTGCTTGCCGGAGTCCCTGCTTGCAAGTTCCCCCTGCGGCTCCGTTCCCGGCTCCCCTCTCCACCTGGCCTCACCCCTGGCTTTTCTGCCACAGGCCTCTCCTCCCCCTAGTGCAAGCTGGCAGCGAGAAGGCCAAGATTAGAGGAACGTGCCTTCCTCTAATCTTGGAGCAACAGAGACCTGTTACAAGCAAGCAACGTAAGACTCTGACAGCTGGGACAAGCAGTGGGGGGTGGTGGTGGCTACACGGGACGTTCCAGAGAGAGACCTGCACGGCAGCCATCACTGTCCCCGAGCAGGACAGCAGCTGGCATGGAGCACCTGAGGCCACAGGGAGTGAGAATCCCCTTTGGGTCGTGCACCCTCGGAGGGTGACCGTTTGCAAAAGCCTACTGAGCTCGTCCCGACAGCGGCCGAGCGCCCTTCCGGCCTCGCCCGCGGCCCACCGGCCGAGCGCAGTTCCCTCCGCCACGTACTCGGGCTTTGTCGGCCTGCTTCCTCAGCTCCACCGTCTCCTGCAGCAGGTCCCGGTGCTGCTGCTGGGCCGCCGCCAGCCTCCCCTCCGTGTCCGAGAGCAGCCTCCGCAGCTCCTGCACCGCCTCCTCGTGCTTCGCCGCGGCCTCGGAGCTGGCTTCTTCGTACCTGGCTTTCAGGTCTTGACACTGGTTGTGGCTCACTTCCATCTTCTTTTCCTGCAGAGCCCGAGAGAGGGAGGGCGTCACCCCACCCTGCGGGAACCCCCTTCGCCAGCCCCCAGCCCCACGGTCGCCTCCTTACCAGGTCCAGCACCTTCTTCAGCAGTTCTTGCTTTTCCTCCTCGTGCTTTTTAGCCGCTTCTCGCTGGCTCTGCTCAGCCCTGAGCGTCGCTTCGCCAATGCTTCTCTGCAGAAGGCCTGCGTTTTCGTTGGCCTTGGTAAGTTTTAGCTGCAATTCCTCTATGTTTCTAGAGCAAGTTCAGTGCAAGGTGAGTCAGATTTCCCCAAAGAATGCTTTTGATTCTGGAGTTCTACTAAAGTGATACTATGTCAATACGTGTGTTCGTGATTATGACTCCTAAGAGTATTAACAATATCTAAAATAAGCAACAACGACAACAACAACAAAAAAATTGACTTGCCCTGAAGAATAATTTTAACAGTCGTCATAGTTACAAATATGTTATCTAGAGTAGCACTATTATAACTGTTAGGGTTATTTGATGTCAACAGATCTCCGAGGAAATACAAGTGAAAAGTAAACATGCTGAGTATTTACAAAGTTTCAAAATCTGCCAGACCAGGTTATCAAAAACTCATTCTAGTGATGCTTGAGAAAGTGAGATATAAAAACGACGAGAAGCAAGTTGACGTTCCCAGCTTAAAGAGAGCCCTGCGGTCGAACAAAGATGTTCAGCCGACACAGCGTGTCACCATAGACCTAGAGAACGGAGGAGGGAAACCCGGGTGGCACCTTGGGTGTTACGCCTATAAAACACTCACAGAAATGGAACGTCCCTGAGACACCGTGCCCCAGCCACCAGCCACAGCCGCCTCACACCAAGCCTGAGCCAAGTCGGCCAAGTTGGCTCAGTCACCAGTTGGAACGGTGAGTGGTGTGTGACTGGGTGGAAACAAGAGTTTGCCAAGTGGTAACACTTTCAGAATCAGGTGTCTAGTGGTCCCAAAATGTCCTCTAAAAGTTTTTGCCTTACAAAACGTTTGGTTTTTACATGGCAGCTATCAAAAGGAGAATAAACATTGGAGCGACAAGGCCACAGAACGAGGAGGAGTAGAGAGTAAGGTCCCGGAAGCACACGCGCCGAGGAAGCACGATAGAGCGGGTCGTGTGGCAAGGGCCCGGGGACCAGGCTGCCCAGAGCGGATGCCTCGGCCAGGAGCCGAACCTCACCAGGCCTCTGTTTCTCTTCCTATAAAATGGGATCAGTAATGCGCTCACCTCGCAGGACAATCAGGAGATTTAGAAAACACACTCTGTACACAAAGCTGTCAGCACAGCGCACGGCACACAGGCAGCCCTTACGAAGGGTTACCCATCACTACAATGAAACGGGGGAGATGCTCTTAACTGCCTGTGAAAGACGCTGCTACTGCCCTTGGTAAACTACTACCCTTTCTCAGCAAGCCAACAATAGGCCTGCAGTGTTGCATTCGCAACAGGTTCCAGGGCGGACTTGAGCACACGCCCAGGTGGTGAGAAAGCAGCGACAGGAAGCAGAACGTGACCGCCCTGGAGACCCAGGCTCCCCGGTCTGGACCCGCTGGAGCCCGAACGCCAGAGCCCGAGTGCCGGAGCCTGAGCACCAGAGACCGAGCGCTGGAGCTGGGTCTGCAGCAGGCGCACGCGCCAACGTCCGTACATACCTCTCCTTCAGACGCAGCTCGTCATTCATTTTTGTCAACTGAGAGGAGCTGTCCCCTGACATTCTCATGATTTCTGTGATGTCGTTTTCCAGTTTTCCTTTGGCTTTTATCAACTGCTCTTCTCTCTCGTCTTTCTCTCTGAACTTGGCCTCCATGTCTGAATACACACAGAAAAAAATCAGCTGTGGTGTTACAGTCAGCGAAGACTTGCTACCTGCACCCTGCAGGCCAAGTCTGGCCTTGGGAACAGATGCCTAGAGCAATCCCTGTGGACATCATACTCCGGCAAACAAACAAAAAAACCAAAACAGACAATAAACAAGATCAATCGAGAAAACAAACAGTATAATGACAGTGCTAAGGTCTAAGAAAAAAAAAACAATACAAGCAGAGAAAGAAGCTCGAAAGAAGTTGGGGGGTGGGCAAATCTGAGATAGGCCCCGTGAGATGTGACATTTCAGCAAAGACCTGAAGGCAGTTGAGGGGAGAGGCCTGCAGGTAGAGGGGAGGGCAGGTGCAAAGGACCTGGGGCAGGAGCAAGCTTGACAGGCAGGTGTCTCCAAGGAAGCCACCAGGGCTGGAGCGGCGGAAAGAACAAAGGGAGAGGCGAAAGGAGATGAAACCAGGGAGAAAGAAGGGCCCGGCGACAGTCAGGACCACAGCCTCCTTCCCTCCGTGTGAAACGGGAGCCCCCAGTGACCCTGAGCAGAGAAGTGACATCAGATGGCTGGGTGCTGAAGGGTCACTCTCACCACTGCACTCAGAACAGAATGAAAGGGACAAGGGCAGACGCAGGCAGAGCAGGCAGCCAGCTGTCACAGCGGCTCAGATGGGGGAGGGACGGCCAGGACCCAGGACAGCAGTGGGAGTGCAGGGACGGGCCGACAGTGCCTTGTCTGAGGACAGGGCGGAGAGGTTCATGGGAGGTTCCAGACCTCAAGCCAGCATTCGACCCCATCACGTCGGCATAAAGGGGGACGAAGGTGCACATGGTGGGAGGTGTTGCTGTCCCACTGCAACCACCTCAACTCCCAGGAAGCCCGCCACCTTCGATGTCTGGGAACCGGAGACGCCCTCTTACCTGTTAAATTGTCTCTCAGCTTCTCCAATTCAGAAGACAGCGCGTTGAACTGCTCCTCTTTTTGGTGTAGTTTGTTTACAGTTTCTATTTAGGAGAAAGTTAAAAGTTTAATATACTTCCTATTTAACAAGCCATCAAAGACTTGGCTGCCTTACAATCAAGTCAATCACATGCTTGAGGTCAGAAGTCCCCTCGCTACTCAGACCCTGGGCGGTGACCCTGCCGGAGCGACAGGCACATGTCTCCTCGGTCACCCGGGTCTGCAGGTGTGGCCAGGACCCGGCAGCACCCTCCCCTCCCACTTCCGCTCAGCGGAGCCACCAGTGACGACAGCTTAGGTCAGATAGCGCTCTGCCCAAGCATGTCTGCACTTTAATATGAAACAAACTTTAAGAGAAGGAGAATGTCAGCAGGCATTTGAGGCCTCGGGACGTCAGGGATGCAGTATTACTGGGCGCTGCAGGGCCCCCAGGGGAGCGCCGTCCGACGTGGGCGGCCTGGGCTTTGTGCTCCTCAGAAGAACCATCGGCAAGTGCGTTAGAGACACATACCTTGCATACTTCTCTGAACAGAGACCGCCTCCTCTGAAGCATCGGCAAACTTTTCTCTCTAAAGAAAAAAGAATTGATACTCAGAATAGAAATACTTCAGATTACAAAAACTGAAAGTTTCAATCAGGTATAACTGTGCCGTCTACTCTCGCTGGCTGCTTTCGTCTGGTTAAAACCAACTCACACTCAGGACGTGTCGGCACCAACCACTGCCATGTGCGTATTGTGCATTGTGCTCACACACACCCAGTGAGGTCGGCACGTGTGCGTGCCCAGGTAGGCACACGCATCTGTACGGTGTGAGCGTGCGCGCTTATTTCAGCATATGCAAGTGTGTACGCGTGTGGTACATGTTCCTCTTACCTAGTTTCTTGTAAACCTACAACTTTCCTTTCCCGACACGTGTGGGTGCCGCTCATGGTCATCAGCCCCAATTAAGTTCAGGTTTGTGACGCAGGAGACAAGGGAGAAGGGAGAACAGTGGGAAAAAATGTGTCTTACGACCTGGGATTAAGGATCGAGGATATAGGAAAGGAAACATGATGTCCTGAGGTGAATAAGCTGAGCTGTAAGAGGGAAATGAATTCTCTGGGTCTGCTGCCCTAGCGCCCGCCTTGCTAAGGGGGCGCGGGTGGTCCGGGGCAGCCAGTGGGCTCGCTGCCGCCAGGCAGGAGGCGGAGGCGGCACAGTGCGTGACCTCGCTGCACAGGGGCCCAGTGTGCTGGTGTGTAACTTGGAAGGCCCCCGTGCCTGTAAAACTAAGTCGCCCACAACGTGCCAGATACAAAGGACGGATTATTTGCGTGAAGTACAGAAGTTCCCCAGTTTTCGTAGTTTCACTTCCACGGTTCCCGTCATCCATGGTCAAATGAGGCCCGAAAATGTTAAACGGGGGATCCCGGAAGTAAACAATTCTTAAGTTGTAAACCGTGTGCTGCTGGGACTATTGTGCTGGCACCTCGTACAGCCCCGCTCCACCCTGCCCGGATGCGACCCATCCTTTGTCCCCGCCACCCTGTGTACTCGACCGGCCTGTCAGTCACTCGGCAGCTGTCGGTCACCAGACCCACTGTCATGGCATCACAGGGCCCGTGGTCACGTCACCCTGACTGCACTCACAATGGCCACAAAGCATAAGAGCAGCCATGCTGGCAATGCAGACACAAGAGGAGCACGAGGTGCTTCCTCTAAGTAAAAAGGTGGACGTTCTCGACTCGATTGGAAAAAGAAACTGCACTGAGGTAAGGGTGAACCTTCCACCCGTGAGGCTGTGAAGGAGAAAGAAGCTCAAACCCCAGAGGTCATGGCCACCGCACCCACCGAGCGCTTCGTTCGGACAGAAAAGGCTCTGCCTTCGCGGGTGGGAGACAGGAGCAGAAAACACTCCTGACTACGGGCCACGTTCTGCACCAGAAAGCACCGGGCCTGGCTGAGGGTCCTGGAAGGATCACGTAGCTTTGTTATGGCACGCCGTGGTAACTGCTCTATTTCACTGTCAGTGATGGTTCAACCCCTCGCTATGCCTGACAAGTGCACTGCAGCTGAGTGGGGACAGGAAAAGCAGGGTGGGTGCGGTCCTACCTGCGCTGCGGGCGTCCACTGCGGGTCTGGGGACGCGTCCCCGCAGACCGGGTGGGGGGAGCGACTGTGAGACCTACTCTCACTCCTAGTTTGGGTTTGATGTGAGTCCTCTCGAGGTATCTGTCAGCCAGTTACCAACACATTCAACTTAAATCCACACTTTGAATGAGAAAGAAGAAATGGGCGCGATGCTTCTTCTCTACGGAGAGTTTTGTTTCTACACAAGAACCCGGACAGCAGGAGACGCTGGGTCTCGGACGCACGACAGGCACTTACCAGAGTCTGGAGCTCTTTCTCCAAAACCTCTTTGGCTCGACTGACTTCGCTCGCGTGCTCCTGGAGTCTACCGAGCGCAAGCTCTCTCCCCTGCAGCTCTTTGGTGACGCTACTAACCTACCGTACGGCGAGGTGGTGCAGAAGCAAATGAACAAATGCAAAAAATGAGAAACAAAAAGCAAACGGAAAAAAGATGAGAAACAGACAACCAGACACAACTGAACGGGACACAGGCACGGAGGGGGAGCCATTCCCTTTTTCTAACTCTGAGAAACCGGCGGCTTTTCGCACAGCCAGCTCTGCATGTATGAGCGCCCCGTGGCTGTTTTAAGATCATCAAAATAGAGTCGCTTTTTGCACCTAAATTTGGAACATTGGCATGATTTAGAGCAGAAAGTCCAGATGCTTACTTTCTAAGTGAGTTGGCTGCGCAATTTCATTTCCTGGACTTTAAAACCTTAAGATAGAAATGACGGATACATGTGCTCTATGTTACCGTTTTCTGTATTTTTATGTGCCTACCGTATTTTGACATTTAACATAAAAATGTACTTTTAAAAATGCACTAGATGAGAATCATCAGAAATGGCCTTTCATTAAATCTTGATGTGAAAAAAGTAGACCATTAGTTACATATTCCCCACTAATTAATTTTTGTATTTTGATTGGCATTTGGGACCAACTGAGGAGATTTGAGGAAAATTTCCTGTAAGTGGTTTATCACCTTCAACTGAGGTTACTTTTTGCTGTCTGTCTGTCCTCCCATTCACCCCTCACCACCCTCCCTTCACCGCCAACAGAGCAGCTTCTCCTGCAAAAAGTTCAGAATGTTCGGCGCTGGCGCCAGCACCCCAACTGGCGGTGGGGGAGTGGGAGAGGGCACGACCCGCAGCTGCAAGAAATGCGGCTGGTGGATGTCCCAGACCATTTCCACGGCCTTGACCATGGCTTTGACCCTGTGCTTCTGGTCTCTCTCCACACGGCGGGAAACAGTGCGTCCTGGTGGCATAGGAAAAACTGCAGACGGACGTGCGTGGCAGTGCAGGGGCCCTGGGCCCTCTGCTGTCACTCGGCCGTGACCGCCGCCCATCAGAGTGTGCTCACGCATGACAGTGGAGTGGCATGCGGAGTCTGTGCTCTGTGTTCAGGTATGACCTCACAGGGGAGGCAATCCTGGAGCTGAGAAAGGGGGTGACTGTCCGACTCTCTGTCTAATTCACTCATTCCTCCACCCAAACACCATCAACTTAGGGAGTCCTCTCTTTTGAAAGGAGACTCTAGGCCAGAACTGCGCTTTGACGGCAGATCACAGGACCTCAGAGATAAAGTAACACACTGCCTGGGACACAGGAAACCAAAACAAACTCACACAACTAAGCCATTATCTTCCCAAATCTCCTCAGATGAAACCACGCCCCAGACACTCAGAAGATACTATACTCAGCTGGGAAGTGCATTAGCACCAAGCAATTTGTCTTGATTAAATCAGGAACTTGGATGAGCAGTTGTCTCAACTCAAAAACAACACATGAAGCAACAGAAGAGTAACACATGGAAAAGAGAAAGATGCAGGACGTCCATACGCACCTTGCCACTCTCAGCCTCCTTTTCAACCTCTAAACTTTTAATCTGCTTCTCGGCCGCCTCAAGCTGCCGGCTAAGCGTCTCGACTTCTGATTTACCTTCCGAATGGGCTTTCCGAAGCGCATCAAGGTCCAAGAGCTTTTCCTCAGCAGCCTTGAGCCGTGATGTAAAATTATCAATGACCTGGGTTTGTTCACTGCATTTGGCTTGCAGGGCCTCTAGCTCCTTTACCTTTACTTCCGCTTCCTGCAATTTGTTCAGCGTGTCTTCCATCTCCACCAGATGCTGCTCCTCGGCTCTGTCCAGCTTCGACCTGACGGCCTCCAGACTCTTCTCCTTCTCTTTAATGACCTCCGTCAGCTTGGCCCTGACGGCCTCCATCTCTTTGGCGTGAGCGGACCGTTCGGAGTCCTGTTTGTTCTGCAAGTTTTCTATCTCGTGCTGGTACTCTAGTCTCGCCTTCTCGATCTGCGTTTTTAACTCGGCAAGGGCGGCGGTCTCTGCCCCGGCCCCCTTGCCGAAGGACGCCTTCAGCTCCTCCATCGCCTGCTGGTGGGACGCGATGGCCGTCTCCAGCTTGGACTTCCACAGCGCGATCACGTCCGCGCTCTCCTTGTTGGCGAGCTCCAGCTTGCTCTTCAGCGACTCGTTCTCTTTGGAGAGCTTCTCCGCAGCGGCCTGGAGAGACTTCACCTCCTTCTGGTGGGTTTCTTCCCGGGCTCCAAACTGCTCCTTCAGGGAAGTGACTTCTCTTTGGTGGTCGGTGTGGGTGGCTGCTAACTTTTCTTGCAAAGAGCTTATCTCTTGCAAGAGGGACAGTGACGTGTCCACGTCCCCGGCGGGTTTACTGGACTCTAGCCTTCTCCGCAGCTCGGCTGCCTCCTGCGCTCTCAACGCTAGGTCTCTCTCTAGCTCCATGATGCGCGACTTCTCTGACACTGTGGCCACCTATTGACAGCAGTCCAAAGAAAGACAGATCAGTTAAGTGACGGATCACTGAGGGTTTTCTTTACCTTTGAAGACCTTAAATCTCTACCCCACCTTAAGGCAGCAGCCAAACGACCCCGAACACCTGTGTGTTCACCTGCCCCTCACTCCTAAGTCTTGGCTTAGGCCCAATCCTAGCTCCCACTCAGAGCTAAAATCTCTGGCGAACTTCTGCCTTTGAGAGACTAAGGGAATCTAAAACCGATGTTGAGTTTAATTCCCCAAATATCTCTTTTTCCTCCAAAGAAGCTGCAGTTGGGGAAATAGCCATTAACTGGTAGGTATCTAACGGAAGCGGTAACTTTCAAAGTTCTCAAGGGTGTCTGCCTGCCGGAAGGCAGACTTCCTTGCTTTGCCTGTGTTTCCTACCCCGCTTACACAGTCCACATTACAGGGTGTGTAAGGCTTCTCGCCCCGACGGGGAGGGTCTGCGGGCCGCCAGGAGCCACACCCGGCCGCCGAGCACTCGGCGCGGGGCTCGTGTGGGGTGACAGGGGCCGCCAGTGCGAAACACACGTCCGATTCCGAAGACGGGAGAGAGACGAACACCGACTGTCTAGTGAAGGGCTCTGTGCTGATCACGCGAGGGAAGGACGGTGGTCGTGATCGTGTTCTGGACATATTTGTTTACATAAAACGTATTGTTAATCTCACCCGTTTCTTTTTATCTTACAATAGTATGTTCACGTGAGCAGCAGAACTCGTCTGATCATATATGTATACACGTGGCTCATATTATACGTGTACGGAATAGCACTGGTACCAAAGGTGTAAGATCCCCTATTGAGCGTTTCAAGGGCTATGGCATTGACTGTAGAATAAAAGCCTCAACTGGACGCCGAGTTAATTCACTAACCTTTAAAGACAGTGACAGTGGAAGGACGACCACTTACCTGCAATGATACATAAGCATCCTATACCGCACCCCCCTTTGGGCTCTCTAATTCTGTCAGCACCCCGATGTGCTTCTCTGGCTCCCCCAACCCAGTGGTTCTCAGGCCGCAGGTGCACACGAGTCACCGGGGAGGCAGGTCTGCAATGCAGGTCCCTGTCACAGCCTCGTACTTTGATTCTATTTCAGCTCTGGGATAGGACCCAGGGCTGCTTCTTTTAAACAAGCGTCCCAGGGCTAAGAAAAACACTTTCATAACCTGTGCCCCTTTTCCCCTCAGGAAATTCTCTCCCTCTGCCGCCGGCAGGCAGTCAGACCGCCGCACAAAACGTGCGGGGAACAGCAGCCTCGGGAACCAAGTTTCCTCACGTGGCCTGGGAAACAGAAGGGGACGGAGGGACCTGCTCACGCCAGGGAGTCCCGGGCTTCAACCATCCAATCTACTGGGCAGGGCGACTCCCTCCTGCACCGTCGGGAGGGACAGAAAGCCCTCTGTCCACCCTGAGGCCGTGACGGCGATAAGGACTAAGGTGCCCACAAAAGGGTGGGAGAAGCGCGCTCTGCTCTCCAGCACCACAGGATGGAGTCCGGGGACATTTCGGAGGGGACTGCAACTGCGGCGTTTCAGTGCCATCGCTGCCTCAGGTCAAAGGCGTTATTAACTCACAGACACGCCTCTTCCGCGGTGCGGAGCGGTGCGGAGCGGTGCGGAGCAGTGCGGAGCGGGACGGGGCAGTTTGGGAGCCTGTCGTCCCACAGTAAGGCAGGAACCATTAGTTAAAGCCCCGTCGCTACAAGGTCCGTAACGTCCACAAGTCCAACAGGGCGGCGGCTCAGAATCAGAACGGAGCAGGCCAACTGGGGAATGCCGAGTCAAAAATGACAGGTGGCGGCGAGAAATGGTGTGTTTCCACCCATTTTTTACTTTATTCCCCACAGTCCGCCCTCGGGCGAAGCGAGCGGATCTGCGTCCACCTCCCCAGCTGCTCTGAGGCCCGGAGAGTCAGCCCCGTGTCTTACCCGGGCTGACGTCATCGCGACGGCCCTGAGCTCGCCACTCACAAACTGGACTCGGGGGCCGAGAGGGGTCCAAGTGCCTCCAGAAAGGAATCTGGTGGGGGGGGGGGACCTGCATGGGTCCCGGGTTAGTCTCCCACCTGACAGACCCGGAGTGAGGATGGACAGGAGACAAGACTACTCACAGGAAAATGACGGCTCAGATCTGAAATATGTGACCGGCCATGCCGTGAACAGACGCCTTAATAATAGTAACAATAGTAATAAAAAGTATCAAAGCCGCTGGCTGACAAAGCAGTCTGGGAGAGGCGTTCAGAAGTAAGGAAATACCCCCTTCAACACTCTGACCCTCAGACCCTTCTGTTTCCCAGGCCGCGTCCGGCTCTCGGGCGACGGAGGAGGAGCACGGAGCCACGAGGACACTTCTCTCCCCAAACACACAGGAGAGAGCTTTAGTTCTGAGGCTGACTGAGGCCATTTCCTTTTTTCTTAAAAAAATAAAAGCATGATTTGGAGAAGGAAAAAATCACGCAATGATCTAGATTTTTTAGATCAATGATTTCCCAAGAGGAGAAATTTCTAAAAATGCTAATAATTCAAAAGAAAAAAAAATCAGAGTGCCAGTGTTTGGTCAGAGAGAGTAATCTTTGGTATTTTCAATTTAAGGATGAAGGCAACTCAGCCATCGACAGTCGAGTGCGTGATTTGAGAGGTGTCTACACACACACGTCTTCTTCCATGCAAACGACTCGGATTATTCCTTCAGTGGTTCTGCACAAACTGCTCCTGGAACAGACAGACTGCCTGTGGTGAAGGGCACAGACTCCAGGCCAGACGGCCGAGACACAAACCTTGCCTCCACCTTACTGTCAGCTGTGTGACCTCAGGCAAATTACCTAACCTCTTTGTGCTTCAATGTCCTCACCTGCAAAACGGGAAGATACCACCAGCTCCCGCCTGGGGTCGTGGTGGGGCTACGCACACGCTCACTCGGCACTGGGAACAGTGCCTGGCGCGTAGCAAGCGCTGTGTGGGCGCTCCGATTGGTGCGCAGGCAGAAACGGGGAGGGCCGTGGCCCCAAGCGGGTGGGGGCGGTAAGAAGCCGTTCTGTTCCCAACTCCCCTTTCCTTCCTGACAACTGGGACTTGAACCTCCGGGGCCGCAGAAAGGAGAGAAACTCAAAGACAGACCTGGCATCAAGGGGGGCGCCCCCAACACCCGTGAGTGGGGGTTCAGTGTTTCCACGCCCTTCCCCCGGGGCCAGGGAAGAAGGCAGAAGACAGCTCAAGTGGAACAATGACAAAAATGAGCTAGAGAGCCCAGTAACCGGGACATGGGACTGTGAGGACAATCGTCTGCTTGCGGCCAGCTGGAGACAGGTGCTCCAAGGCACCCACCCGAAGAGCCTCCATGGCATCTGGGGGCGCCCGCAGTGTGTATGGCTGTGGGGCTCCCCATCTCGATTTGGGCTGAGTTAAGCAAAGGAACGAGTCTTTACCTTCGACAAAAGGTTTGACATGGACCTCCTGTGCCTACCCATCCGTCTAAGCTCATGAGGGGCACCGAGACCAAACTCGGGTCGAACCACTGGGTCAGGGCTCGGGCCCACGCCGGGGCGCCACCCGGGGCGCCCACCACTCGCACGCGCGGCTCGGCTTCGTCAAACAGTGGAAACCATTACCCTAGTGTCTTCTAACTCCCTCTGGAGTTTTTCAGCTTTGGTCTTTTCAAAGAGCAGGCTCTGTTCAAGCTCCTTAATGCGGGCATGCTCCAGTTTGGTCTGCGTCTGTTAGTAAAAAGGAAGAGGGAGAGAACACAGCGGTGCCACTGTGACGTGCCAGCACGAGAGGGGGGACAGCGGCATGCAGGCTGGGCCCCCGGCGCCACCCGCCCACGGGTGAGCGGACAGGACGGGCAGCGGGGAGGGAGGGGCCGAGGGCAGGAGTGAGATGGGAGGTCGGGCGAGGACGGACGCCAACGCCACTCGGAGGAGGTGGGCGGGGGCATGAGCTAGTCTACTGGAAAGGAAAAGTGGAAAACACACGAGGCAGGATGAAAAGGAGTCAGAGGCATGCAGCAAATACAAGTTACATTGATAAGTGAAGTTTATCAGCACACATTAGAACCGTTAATATTCCTCTAAGCTTCCACTTCCCCTCCGCCCCCAACAGTCCTTTGACACTGATGCGTACGCAACTGACTTGGTAAAAAGGAGGCTGATCCTCAGGATATGCACTAGCATCTAAACGGGGAGGGAACGGGCTACATCTTGTCGGGGTTCAGTAAAGCCCCGAGCAGGAACTTCCACTTCAGCATAAGCTTGACATGACCAAGGGTCACGCGTGACACCTCATGGAGGGCACCCAGAAACCCGAGCTGAGGTCACCCCAGCGGCCTCTGCTGAGACGAGTGAGAAGGACCCGAGGAGCTGGGCAACCTCTCACAGCTGACAGGCGAGAGCCATTAAAGCTCTGACTTCTTTCCAACAGTGGCTTTTCTAAAGGCTGTTTGTCACCGGTGGGGGGGGGGATCAGATTTAAAAAAAAAAAAAAGCAAATTCAATACTAATTATGTTCCACGGCCTCCGTCCCTGAGGCTCAGAGCTGGAGAAAAGTCTGGCCAGAACTGGACTCTAGGTCTTGCTCTCAGGATGCAGTGATTATCAGCTCCGAGGTGAGTGAGGAGTGGGGACTGACTGACCCAAAGGCGTGAGTCGCAACTCCGCATCTGAGACCCTCGGAGACTCCCCCCCACCACGCCACCAGACGGTCTGTGTGTAACAGGTTTAAGTGCAGCGGAACCTTAATCAAAGGAACCTTAATCAAAGGAACTCAGTATCAGTGTGAAGGCACCTCTTTCCCCCTCACCTTTCCCATGTGAGGGGTTTAGCATCATCGACTGGTAAAAACCAGAGAGCGCTGTTCCTGGAAGCTTCTAGTCACTTGTGTATTAACCCCAACATTCTGTGGTTCTAACTGCTCAGACCTATCGGTCTGGGCCGTCGTGGGCAACGAGGAAACAGCAAACTCTAAATAAAGTGACAGAAGGCCGTGCAGAGGCTCAGTGGCAGGAGGACGCGTCAGGTTCGAGCGCCTTTGCTCTGGGGACGCGGCACGTCGCAGGGCTCACTCTGCCTGTGAGGCAGGTGGAGGCCGTCATGAACATTGACACGGAGCCTCCCCCGCTCCACCTCTCACACGCCACGGAAGTGACAACACTGAGAACCGGGTTGTCTGGCTATGTGTGCGTGTCCCTTGTCCCTGGGTGCCTTGGACAGAAGCTGTTCCGTCTACCTGCTGTCACAAGGAGACTCTAATCCAGACCTATGTCACTGGGGTCCCAGCCTCGGACACTGAAATTCAAAGAGCAAATGGCACAAAGCCTTCCCCGTCCTTGGGACACTGAGCTCGATGGCCCGTGGGGGAAAGGTCACCGCGTCAGGACAAAAAGCCAGCATCCACCGAATGGGATCCTGTCCCCCTGACGAGCCCATTCGGGCGATGCGGCAAGATCCCACCGAGGCGGGACGACAACCATCCCCGCACAGCCAGCAGCACGGGAACGCGGCGTGCGCCTCCATGCCGTGTGCGCAGGAGACACGCCACACCGAGCAGGGCAGCCCCCCTGGCTCAGCGGGTCCCTCCTCGGAATCAGACACAGCCCCGCCAGGGCAGCCCCGGGACAGGACTGAGGGAAAGCGAGGCTCTGCAGGAAGCGCACAGCGAGGCGGGCGGGGCCCATGCAAACGCAGCAGAGGCAGCGGGAGCCCATGGGGGGGGGGGGCAGCGAGACCCAGATCACTGAAGTAGCTGCACAGAAAGGAGCCCTGCGAACGGAGGCCGTGCCAGGGTTCGGTGGCAGGCGGGGGGCAGAAACGCTCTGTTTTAGTTGTGTTCTCTTGGGGTGACAAGTCCAAGTACAAAGTCTTTGGGTTTCTGGCAAGGGGCACCAAGGAGCCAGGATTTGGAGCTGACTTTGGTTAAGATCTGAACTGGGCGCCTGGTCTTAAGCAGAGGGCAGGTGGGAAAGGAAAACACCTACACACCTAGTAGCACTGATCCCGAAACACCTCACTTCGAGATAATAAACTTAAAACAGTCTTTTCACTGAAGAAGGCTTGCCTTCTCGTTTCAAACATTAGGGAAAATACCTCAACAAAAGCCTAGTTTCAGTGTCTAGTCGGCTGCAAGGACAGGCACAGGCCAGCAGGGGGCACTCACACCAAAGGCAATCGGTCTGGGACTCCCAGGGCCCTCTAAGTCTCCTGGGAGTGAAATGACACAGCTTGGGAAAACTTCCCCCGGAATTTCTGTAACTCCTTCATGTAATATGCTTTATGTCTCCGTTGGCAATCATCTCTTTTAGAAGACAGCACGAATTAGGTGAAGGCCAGGCCCCCAGACAAAATTCTCTTCTTCCCCCCTTTTCGGCAAAACTCTTTGTAACGTCACATATGCCTGAGAACCAAACGAATGGGTGTACAGAGCTCGGCCGTCACATAGTTTCCTTGGGACACAAATGTAACCGCTCTGAAAGCCACATGCACGGGGACATTAGGGCCAATGCCTCGCGGTCAGTTAGTATTCGAGTGTATCAATAAGCATTTTAATCTGTAATCAATCTGTGTTAACGAGGGGATGCCCACACGGGGAGGTGCCCGCTTACATTCTCAGGATCTTCAGAAATCTGGCTCTTTGGCTATCAGTGAAAAAATAAAAAATTAAACAACGACAAGAGAGATTCAACTGAAGTACCAGTATGTTCGGGTTTCAAAAATACTGACTGATTTTAAGTAAGTTTACAGACTACTTAACTAGCCCAGGGCTGAGGTGAACATTTTTTTATCTGTGCCTCCCCCAAACACCCTCGGCTGTATCTCAAAGGAATCGGATGAAGACATGAGGCTTCTCATGAGACTCTGGGGATGTTTCTAAACGGATGAGAATAACACACAAAAAAGTACATTAAAAATGTCTAACTGTATAGGAAATCAGTGAAGAAGTTTTCTTATTAATAATCCATTAGACCCTGGGCCTTATAAAACTAAAACTCAGAAAATGGCTTTCTTACTTTCTACTAACTACAAAGACACATCTACTTCCAAAGAAACCAGAGTTCCCACTTGGAAGGGCCCTTGGAATGCAAGCAAGGCGTGGGCGGTCGACAGGCTCTAGAACCGCGTTAGCAAAAGTGTGTGATGTTTTGAGAACTGCACAGAGAAGTGCAATTTTTACTAAGATATTACAGATTAAAGTACCAAAAATCTGCAAAATTTGAAAATTTTTAATAATTTATATTCGTCATATATCTAGCAGTGGTTTGAAAAGCATCAACACCATCGAGATGAGATGAGATGAGATGAGAACTTGATGGTAAAGAAAAATCTCTGTTAATTTAAAAGATGCCAGGGAAGTAAAGGAAGCTAAAATATGAACCGCTCCTTTTTTGAGGTAATTTACTTTTCCGAAAACCAACTACTAGAGCACACGGTGACCCCTCGTCCAGGGCTAGAAATGGCTCGTGCTGCTCCCCTGAAAAGCGGGGCCGAGCTTCGCTTTGGGCCGCAAGGACGAAGCGCAAGGGCGCTCCTTCCACGGCATGCCGTTTGCGGTCATGGGAGGGACGTCCAACGCCCCCCCGGGGACACACTGCCAGATGTAGGACTAGACCGACTCCAGTTCCAGGCTCTGAATTTCAAAGCACAAGCAGAGAGGAGGGGCAATCTTCTGGGGCCAAGGCCGGGGGCGGGAGCCCTGCTGGCCCACAGCCCTGCTCTGGCCACAGCAGCGGGCACAGTGACTTCACCCACGTGTCTGAGCACGGGGACCCTTGAACACTTCGCAGAGCTGGAGGGGCGTTACCTCAAGATCGCCTTTAGTGATGGATTCCTCCTCGACCCGGAACTGAAGGTCCTCAACCTTCCTGTGGGACAAAACGGGAACAAAGCACTTCAGAAAGGAACTGGGGAGCAGGCGCCGGCGCCGCAAAGTGTGTGTGTGTGTGTGTGTGTGTGTGTGTGTCGACTGTCACCACCCTGCAGAGGCCACTCCGCCAGCGCCAGAGCCGCACCCAGGGGCGCATCCCAAAGGGCAGGAGGTGAGAGTGCACTTCCTGCCTCTGGTCACAACCAGCAGAAGGGACCTCATTGGGACGAGCTCTGCCGGAGGGAAGAGAAGTCTGACCTCCCTGGAAGGAGGTTTGGGGACGCAGGCCCGTCGCTTCTACTTTTCAGAAGCAGAACGTCGGGGAAAGAGGCACAGAACACACGTCTCTCTTCACACCACCCAGGTCAGCTGTTCGAGGGCGAGGTGGGCGGGCAGCCCATGCCCAGCCCGGGATGGGACAGCGCTGGTGCCGGCCCCAAGGCTGAGAGAACGAGGCTGTGACCTCTCCGGGGGAAGCGGTCAAGGATTCTATCTGCGCCCTGGCTGGTGTGGCTCAGTGGACTGAGCGCTGGCCTGTGGACCGCAGGGTCACCAGTTTGATTCCCAGTCAGGGCACGTGCCTGGGTTGCAGGCCAGGTCCCCAGAAGGGAGCGTGGGAGAGGTAAACACCACACATTGGTACTTCCCTCTCTCCTTCCCTTCTTCTCTAAACATAAATAAAGAAATAAGCTTTTAAAATTTCTATTTGCATCTAAAATGCACATCTTTTCGCGTTTTAAAATCTGACAGACTACGTGTGGGTTTCGGTCAATGCTGTCCGAAGTCAGTGAAATATGGCACTGAGGGTAGAAAATCTGGGTAACTCACATGCCACGAGTCTTTACCAAACTGGGTGCTGAGAGAAGGAAAGGGGGACAGAGTTCGTAACCTACGTGCAAAACAAACCTTTCGAACTCACTACACTTCTCACTGTTCTACGTGGCCCGACTGGAAGCAAGCGAAGCCCTCCAGCTATGGCAGAGCCGGCCGGGCCTCAGCAGACAAGCACCGGTCGCCCTCCCCGGCCCCGGGGCCGCAGTCGGACGCGGGCAGAGGTTCCGACACGGCCATCTCCTGGGGAGACACTGCAGCCCACCTCCGAGGTGCGGCCCCCTTCCCATGGCAGTGCACGTGACCGCCCTGCGCTCCGTCACCCTTGACTACTCGGGCATTAAGGTGCTGCCATCGGAAATGACAGGAGCCAGCTTTAAGAGCAACAACAGAAGACAAATATCCCACAACCAGAGATGTTCGTGTGGTTTCCGTGAAGACGCTGTTTTTAGAGACACGGCTTGTTAACCGTCGTCTCTGATGACTTTCCGTAAGAACCAAACTTGCTTTCTCTCTCAGTTTAGCACTTGACCTCACGCCGACCTGGGTAATTCTCTAACTGCTTCCCACAAGAGCCTTGTTTTCCCATAAGGCACTGCGTTTCTCAAGGACAGGGACCTTGTCACCTGTCAGACATAAGACACGGTCATCAGCCGCGTAGGAGGGGCTCCCTAAACCCCGGGGAACTCGGACCCAGCACACCCTCCACCAGCAAAGTCTCCGGCGGGAAGCTGGGTTTGGATGAACTCCACCACGCTGACGGAGGTGATCCTCAAGAGGACGCTTGGCACACAGTAGGTGCTCAGTAAATATTCGTTCAGTTAATTAGGCCATGTCTAGATGACGCCAAAGGACTCAAAAGAGGTCAAATCAAAGCAAACCCTCCTCACACAGAATGGAGACTTCAATTTCCACTGGGCGCGGTCGTCCCTTTGGCCCTGAGGGGGGACCCCAACGTGGCTGCCAGTGGGAAGGGAGGTGCAGAAGGAAGAGGCCGCGCGCAGCAGGGAACAGGTCGGGGTCACCTTTTCTCCTCCTCGAGCTGGTTGAGCAGCTCCACCTTCTCCCTGTCCGCAGCTTCCACCATGGCTCGCAGCTGGTCCATCTTGGCCTCCAGCTCCAGGACGTGCTGGGGGGGCAAGGGTGTCGGTGAGCGGCCCCGCCGCGCCCCACGCAGGCCCAGAGACGCCTGCAAAGGGCTACAGCTAAGTGGCACCACTGTGGGCTGGCGTTAGTGACTGTGACTCCTTTTACCCACGAAAACGCGTTCTACGGCCTTTAACGGGTCGCTCCCGGCAGCACTGCCGGGAGGTGATGACGGCAACCCCACCAGGACAGTGATGGAGACAACGCTGCAATGGCTCCCACCTTTCTGGACGCTGACACCCACACAAAGGTCAATCTACAAGCCAGAAGTTGTCACACAGGTCGAGTGCTGGTACACGAGCTCACCTAACGCAGACAGGCCAGAAGGCCCGGACATAAAGACCGCAGGCTAAGGGGGACTTGGGGAGGACAGAACTCCATCTGCACGATGACGCACACTCACACCCCTGGTCACAGCTCTCAGACAAGCCCAGAAAGACCTGGCGAGGGCTCCTAAGACGAGCTCCCCGCTCCAAGCACCGAGTAGGCAGCCCGGCCTCCTCCCTCCATCTAGAACCTGTGCCATCTCTGCCGCGAGATCCGCCTGGAACCCATCACCATCTCCACGGCAAGGCCAGCGCCAGACTTCACCTGGTCGTGTCCATCCCGGGCCAGTGCTAGCTCCTGCTCTATCTCCCCCACGTGGCTCGTGGCCTTGGCCACCTCCGCCCTCTCCAGATCCCGTTCCGCCAGCAGCTGCTCAATGTGCTGCTGCTTCTCCTTCAGGGCCTCCTGGAGGGCGGTGGTGCCGGAGATCTTCCTGGCGTAACGGGAGGAGGTCTCAGTCAACTGCAAAGAAAGGTACAGACGTGAAGGGCAATGACGCTGCGAGGGGCACAAGGTGGAGCAAGGCAAGCAGGTGGTGGCCCCTCCGCGAAGCCCAAGCGCAGCCCGGCTCAGAGACCAGGGGGGCGGGGGTGGGGTGGGGTGGGGTGCGGGGATGAGGCAGCAAGGGAGCCGGAGGACCTTCCGTCCTCAGGCTTTGCAGAGAGCACATCAATGGAAAGAGGTCATGGAACCTTTGGGAGCACGTCTGCAACAACACTGGCTCAAACCCATCAGAGGGGCCCTGCGGCCAGCTGACAGGGGCCTTGTGGGAATCGAGGGATCTTCCAGAGATCCCGGTTAATGCATTTCTCCCAATCCCTCTTCCACCTAAGCCTCACTCACAGCTTTCCTTCTCACGACCGTTTGGGTGACCTTTTGATCTTTAGATTTGAGGTTGAGACTTTCTCCAACTTAAGCTTCTAAATACCATTAAGGAACCACCAGGTCACCCCTGGCATCACGAACCTTCCTTCAATTGACTGAACAGCTGGAGAGTCGGACCCTTGTCGGGACCTCCTTCACCTCGGTTCACAGGGAAAGGCAGAGGTGGCCTCACCAGGCAGGCCAGAGAGACTCACACGCGAGACAGAGGGAAACCACCCGCCTTCAGGTGTGTGGGAGCGGGTGCATGTGCGTGCATGCGTCTGGGCACGCACATACATAAGAAAGGGAAGAAAGAATATCAGAGAGAAGAAAGAAAAAGAAATTCATGAACAAAGAGCAGCAGGAAGGGAAGGACAGAAGAAACGACAGAAATGGAGAAGGAAGGGGAAGGGAGGGGGTAGGAGCTCGTTTGGGCTCTGTCGTCCATCTTGAGGCCAGTAGTCACGCAAACACACAGAGAAAAGCGGGTGACGGGCACGGCGGGCGCTGTCCCCCCGAGCTGGGCTTCGGGGGCTGGGCGTCAGGGAGAGGCCTCTGCCCCGGTGAGCCTTGTCCAGGGCCATTTCCTCGGCACTTGCGGCCTGAACGCTCTTCCCGTCCTCTGTCCGTCTGCGCTCTTGTCCGGGACACGGACTAAGGACGAGGGTCCATTGTCGATCCACAGGGAGGCCACTGGATCACGACGGCAGTGAAGGAATCCAACCAAACCCGAGTCGTCCTTGCCAAGGTCGTCTCTGTTTCTCGGAGTTTTGTGAGCGTTTGAACGTGTTGGGGGCGGGGAGTTCCTGGTTTTCCACCCCCTGGCCTTGACTCCCCAACTTCGTTCCGCATCTGGTCAAATCATACTCTCCCAACTACCGTTTGTCCTCGCGTGCACTGAATCGGGGGTCCCCAACCCCACGCAGAGCTCTCCCAGGGCCCTGCCCCAAACTCCCCTGCCATGTTTTTAAATTTCAAGGGAACTGCAGCGGCACCTGCTGGACACCACACACACAACCAGTTTGATGTGATTCCATTTCAACAGGCTTTAGCCAGAAAGGAACACTTAAGGGCCCCTTTTTCAAGGGTCTTAGGGTTTACAGGCCGGAGACACAATTAGGAAATATCCAAAGTTCTTCCGAAGAAGAAATAAGATCTAAGAGTCCTTATAGTAAAAAGAACCTTTTGAGAAGACTCAGTCCTGCATTCTTAGCCTCTGGATTGGTCCCAGAAGATAATATTCTGGATGTCCAGTGGTCTGGAACATTCTTCCCCAAGTCCTTCAGGGGGTTGTCAGAGGATTATCTACAGGAGATATCTGTACCTATAGATCTATACATTCTCCAGGCATAATGGAAACTTCAAAAGTTTAAGTTCCCAGGCTAATTAATTATTTCTTCATGCCTCAGCCTATATGATTTTATTTTTAAATATTTTATTTACTTATTTTTAGAGAGAGGGGAAGGGAGGGAGGGAGGAACAGAGGGTGAGAGACGTCGATGTGAGAAAGAGAACATCCATCGCTCGCCTCTCGTGTGCACCCCAGTGGGGGGCCAAACCCGCAACCCAGGCCTGCGCCCTGGTCGGGACTCAGACCAGGAGGGAGCCCCGGCTTCAGGAGGCCCAGCCCGCTGGGCCAGCCCGGTCTGGGCCGCCTGTGAGATTTTAGTGATTTGGCAGCTTGACCACAGTGACTCCATTTTCTTTTTTCACTCCTCAGATGCTCATCAATCCTCTGGAGAACGTCACGTCTCTCCAAAGCCCAGTGAGGGCTACTGCCACAGCGAAAAGCGAGCCCCTCGTGGAACCAGTGCGGCCGTAACGGAGGGTGATGGGCTCAGGAAGATTCCAAGGCTTGACAGGCAGTGTCACCAGCTACGGTTATTTAAGAATGAATTTAAAATACCTACTCTTGTCATGGATAGGTACCATTTTTTATGCAGCTACTGAATGGTTGGGACATGGACATTACGTTGTTTGAGCGTAATTACTTAATAAACAGAACTGCTGGCCACTGCTTTTGGGCTGGGGCACCAGGGAAAACGACGCTACGTGTGCCGCGGACCCAGGACGTCTGGGCTCCTCTGTGCTCTGCGGTTTCACAAGATCGTTCTGCATGAAAGAACCTTTAGACTGTCTACACGTGTGAACAGGACTGTACCGCGGAGACACAGTTCTAGCAAATCACTGCAATTTTCCTATATCCGCGGCATATTCCTTTACGGTGATTTCTGATTCAGAAACAACAGCTACCTTGGATAGAAATGTTTTTAAAAGCAGCTGTTTTTTACAAGGCAAGAAGACTCCTTTCTCCTTCGCCAGTGTCCCCTGCTGAGGTGACCGAAGAGGACCCAGAACTGGTCTGACAGGGAGGGAGAAGGGGGGGGAAACGCAGGGGGCTTGGTTATCTCCCAAAGAAATGCACGAATAACTACAACGCGATAAAATTATGCAAGAGAGAACCCCGAGGCCAGACCCGACCCTTCTGTGGCACGGCCCGGGACGGGCCGATGGAATGAGGCTGCGTCCAGACCGAGGAGCTCTTCTCCTCCAGTCCGCTGCTCTCGTCAAGCTTCCGTAAAGTCCACGTTCGTTCTTCTGTCGAAGGTGCAGGCTTTCTTTTCAAATGCAAAGTGAAATAGTCCAAGCGGGACTTCAGTTTGCCCTGGACACAAGAGGAAGAAGCTGCCTGGCGGGAGCGCAAGCCCGGCTGTAAGGACCAAACCCTCCGCCTTTCCTCTCCCTGCCGGGCGTCAACCCGGAGAAGGCAAAGCGACACCCACCTCCTGACATCCCGACCCCCGCCTGCGCCTCGCCGTCAGCACGCAGAGATCCCGGACTCAGCCTGGAGGACCACCTCACGCTGCCAATTCAAAGTTCACTGCCTCCCTTCGGGTAAACAAACTTAAAGGAGGGGGATGAAACCTGAAAGTCATTGCTCTGATCCTAATAAAACACCCAGGAGTGAGAGGCTGCCCGCTTTAACTCCATTTTTAGTGACCTAAGTGGGCGGGTAGTGGAAGATGGGTGGGGGCAGGAGACGGAGAGAGGAGCAGAACAAAACACAGCTCTTCCGAGCACCCTTTCAGGTTTGGGAAGTTCCCCTCTGCGTCCTCTGGCCCAAGTCCGGCCACCCCAACTATTCACTGCTTTCAGTGGGTGAGACCGCATTACAATCCTAGGGACATGGCTTTTCAAGCTACTTTGGATCCTAAAGTTGAAATAAAAGAGAAAGAAATCTACAACCTTGACAAAAAGGATCCCCCTAATTTCCCTGCCATTCTAGCGTCCGAAGCAATTTTAGAGAAGTCATTTCATCAGTAGTTACAACAGATCCACCCAGAACTGTGACCTCTTAAGCCTCAAGGATCTGGAAGAGGTGATTAAGAACTTTATTTTAAAACGTGTGTTCTTGCTGGAGTTTCATTTTGTGAAACCTGCTGGGCCTTTCACGAGCTGCACTCAGCACAGGGGAGGGACGACCGAGCCAGCCGAGAGCAGAGCAGGCGGAGCAGAGACATGCAGGGAGGAGGGAGAGGGAGGCTTACTAATCCCGTGCGACTGGGCTTGCTGCTCACGGAGGAGGCCACCGAGCTCATGGAGCTGAGCGAGGACGCTGATGGGCTGCGCTTCAGGCTGGCGGGGGTGGTCGCCATCACCCGCCTCACGGCGGCGGCCTTGGCTTTGGCCGGTGTGGTGGAAGGGAAGCCAATCTTGGTCACTTTGTGGACGGGAGCGAACAGGCCATACTTAGGTTGACACTGAAAATACCTTTAGAAAACAATAATGAGAGAAATGACAAAGTTAATTACGAGAAATAACAACTATCACGAAAAGGCTCTCCTGACTCGTCTGCCATGACTGGTGGGCAGGCACGTCCACCGGTGGCCTGGCCTGGCGCGCAGCACGCAGCCCTCCCACAGGAGACTGGTAAAGAAGCCCACGAACAACATGGTTCGTGGACACGGAATTACTCGCCAGCTACCGGGGGTAACAGCGGGAATATACATTTCTACCACCGGATAAGCGGACGGCAGAGGAGTTCGGCAACACAGGGACCCCACCGAACAGCAGCCCGCCAAACGGGGGGGAAAGGACCGGCACAGCCTCCGGGGCTCTGCCCGAGCACCTGCGTGTGCGGGGGGGCGGCCGACACACCTTGTTCCCGCCACGGCCCCGTCGTTCTTGCCCAGAGGTTCGTCCAGCTCCACTCCACACCACTCCCCCTTGGCGAAGTCCGTCTCCCCGAGAAACCGGACGACACCGGCCTTAGTGCCGCCAACCTGGAAGAAGAGAGCGTCAGGATGAAGGGGTGAGCGGATTCCAACCAGTAATCAAGCAGGTACCACCGTCGCAGTCGGCAGGCTCCGCCTCCCTCCCCTGCCCCTCGGGACAGCGTCCTCTCCAGAGGTGGCCCTGCAGACCTGGGTGACATATTACACCCAAGTGACTCCGCCCCTGACACAGCCCAGTAATGAAACCGCCTGGGTCCCATGCAGCTGCTGAGGCTGCCCACGAAATTACTCCCTTCTTTAGGAAAACATTTCATTAATCCAGGGCGATTTCCCTGTTTCAAAGTAAATACTTGCTGCAAAAAGAAAACCCCTACCTCATTAAGAAAAACAACATTCATCCACCCTCCACCGTAACGAAGGCTTCGCTGGTTCTCTCTAACTTCCTCTCCGCCTTTTATGCATGGAAACCAACAACGCACACGTGTCCGGGACACTCACATGTGCACACGCCCTTGTCTTCGGCCAAACTGCACGTTGCGTGTAAATGTGAACTCTATTTTCCACCCTGAAGGCCTTCGTTTCTTCACACGCTATTTTACATGAACTGTTGGATGTGATCTGTTTAAACGTCTGACTCTTGGTCCCAGCCATCGTTTGGGAAAACACAGGAGCACTGTGCCCCAATCACCCACCAGCGTCTCTACTCACGGCCCTTCCTCTGCCGCTACATTCTCCGCCACATGGTCCCTCGTCACCTTCTCTCCCCTGCACACACGAGCACACGGATGTGTCAGAGCCGCTCTCCGGGCTCAGCACCTGTGCGGCCGCCCCGGCCCTCCGTTTACCACGGCTTTACAGGCCGGGTCACGTTTGCCGGTGTGTGTTTCCCTGACTGCTCCCGAATATGTTCACGTTTCCTTCTTCTGAGCTTCTTTTTTCTTAATTTCCTTTCTAACTCCAAGTTTATTTTATTTTTTAAATTAATAGATGTAAAGAGCTGAGAACAGTACTGTACGTATAATTTTTTTGTTTGTTTTTTAAGAGAGAGGAGGAGGGAGAAAATGTATGGGTTGCCTGACCGGGAATCAAACTGGCGACTTTTCGGTTCACAGGCCAGCGCTCAGTGCACTGAGCCACGCCAACCAGAGCCAATTCCACTGGTTCTAAAAGAGGTGGATCACTGAAGGAAATTAAGGACATTACCAGCCAGAACTAAACGTGATGCCTGTGTTGTCACCCCCAGAGACAGTCGCTGCTGGCCCTGGGCTGCCCTCCCCGCCCTGTGACGGCCGTCCCGTGTCCCGCACACGGGGAGGGACCACCACAGGCACCCGGCTCGTTTTTCGTTTGGGATGTCCACCTTTTTCTTACCGATCTAAAAACTATACATACCAAATTTAAATGAACTCTTCAACAGCCAATACGGCCTAATCCTTCCAAAGTGTTAAACGGGAACACAGGTGGAGGGAAGAGCACCCCTGCTCAGCTCTGGTCCCCTCTGCGCCACCTGCCCACCACCACGGACAACCGCGACGGCACCGGCTCCCAACACAGACCCGTCCCAGCAGCCCTTCCTCACGTGGGCACACGGAAGCAGATGCTAACATCCGTGTTATTTTCACACGAGTCAGGGTACGACGTACACGGCCCTGCACCCGGCCGGAGTGCCGCCCTTTCTGCGGTGGCTCGGGGCCTCTCTGCAGCCTGACGCTTTCCCGCTCACGACATCAGCCGCCACGGACAGGCGTCAACTCTGTGCGCGACACCCCCCTCACACAGGTCTGCTCGTTTAGTAAATTTAAAGATCACTTTGGCTAATTCTCTTAAAAAGTCCACTGAGATTGTGTTAAACGCAGATTACCTTGGGAAGGTGATTTGCTGTTGATCTTTACAAGGAAGCAGCTTTTGAGTTTTCCCCTTTCATTTTTCATGCTGTTTATTTTATTTAATTCACTTTGCATCTTTACTATTTCCTTTTCCCTACTTGCTTTTGGTTTATTGTTCTTTACTTCCTAATTTCTTCAGACCAGTGTTAAGTTATTTTTTGTCTTGCTTTTGACACTGAAGGCACTTATTTGAACTTTTTCCCTGAGCACAGCTCTTCGTGAGTTTGGGACAACACGCGAATTCCCCGCTCTGTATAATCCTTTGTTGCAGACAGAAGATGTTAGGGCCTCGAAGCTTGCTCTCTGGAAGAGACACTTCCTGCGCCACCAATGGAAGGATCACAGGGGTTGTGGTCTGAGGTGCTCCAGGCGAGAAGGGAGACGACGGGCCTGTCCCGGGGTCAGGGAGGTGTCGCAGGACCTCTGGTGCGCCCGGCGGAGCGGGGCAGGCATTCGACCAAGATGTCCTGGATGAACAGAAGGCAACCCCTCGGTGGTGACCCACATAGAAAAGGCCGCTGTTCCACGTCAACCAACGGAAAGGACAAGACAGCCTATGGCAGCAGGCGAGGAAGAGCTACGCTCCCGTGAACGCGAAAGCGGGCCAGATGCAAATGCCAGCTCTGTCTACTAACCAGTCAAATTGCTTAATTTGTTTCCTCACAAGTAAAATAGGGGCAATTATAGACTGTTTAATTACAGGACAATTAACTGAAATAACCCACATAACTCTGAGTGGTGTCTGACGGGCCGCAGCTCCAGACCCGCCCCGTCCGACCCCTCACGGGTCTCCCTGGTGTGCGCGGCGTCGGCGGAGCCACCCACATAAAGCTGGCCTCTGTCTCTGCCTCTCCTGCACCACGGCGCTCGGAGAAGCTGTCTGGCCCACGCCACGCGGGCAGAGCATTAGTTCAGGGTGACTTGACCTCCTTAGAGAGTCTGTTGAAGGCTTTGTGCGTGATCTAAGTCACCATCACGATGACTGTTTTTCCGAGAGGCGTCCATCCAATGGGCGGGCCGTGGGCAGTCAAATCCCCGAGCAAACCACAGGCCTCATCCAGATTAGGTTGATGAAGAATGACCACATGACCGATTAGCAACTACTCCTCTAAATGCAGGCCTTGTAACATATACATTTACCCGGGGGTGGGGGAATGCCAGGCCACCAAGTTTGTTTAGTTCCCAGAACAGGCAGCTTACTCTTCCTCCGGCCAAACCTGAAATTCTAGGCTCATAAAGCAGACAAGACGCTTTCCTTTTCCCTGTGAAAGATCATCGGTAACCACTCAAAGCATCTCCAACAGACACAGAGAGGCACACAAAGTCCTAAAAATCACTCATGTGCTTTCCTACTTAAACACTCGACGGTCGAAACCTTTTTCTGGGCATTTACACACGACTTTTATTTTACAGTCGGGCTTTACTTCTCACGAGTTCCAGTGAGTCCCAGTATGTGCGTTTACGTGAAGTATAAGCCGCAATGACCCAGTCTATGTGCTAGGGGCAGATATCAAGACTGGCCAAGCGGAAAGCATCGCCACCAGAAGAAGAAACAGATTCCCGTGGCACACGGGAACCCGTGTCTGTTAGACTAATCGTAATAGAAAAAGTCAACTCTGAAAATCCCCTTCCTGCCCACTAGCTTGGCTATAATTTAAAAAAAAAAAAAAAAAGGCCCTGGCTGGAGTGGTTTGGTGGACTGAGTGCCAGCCTGTGAAGCAAAGGGTCGCTGGTTGGATTCCCAGTCAGGGCACGTGCCTGGGTTGCAGGCCAGGTCCCCTGTAGGAGACACATGAGAGGCAACCACACACTGATGTTTCTTTCTCCTTCCCTTCTCCTCTCTCTAAAAAATAAACAAATAAATATATATTTTTAAAAGAGTTTTTGACTAATGCAAACACCTGGAATCTTCTCGACCTTGGGGCACACATGACAGCGCCTTGTATTAACAACCGCCGTCCCCTCCATCCAGCTCCAGAGCGGCCACGGCAGAGAGCAGCTTCCTCAGCGCAGGACTCCCCCACCCTCCCCTGGCCCCAGCAGATGACGAACAAATGCCCAACGTAAGGGCAATGTCACAGCCACACACGGAGGTTTGGGCTTCCCAGTCACTGGCAGGAGGACTGAGAAAAAGAAGAACTCAAATTAGAAAGGGCACACTTGTACTCTTTGTGAGAACATAAACTAGTAAAAGCTTTTTAGACTGTAACTGGGCAATATCTATTGCCGTTTTAAATGTGCATGTATCCTATGGCTCAGGAGTGTCATTTCTAGGTCCCCAAACCGTGAACAATCTAAATGTCTGTGATTAAATGAGGCAGTCGCACGACTTCCAAACAGTGTGACACTGAGCAGCAGCCTGTTGTGTTAGGTCAACACTGGTATTTAGGGGCACAAATGCCCCAGACCTGCCAAGGTACATTGTAAAATGCTGTGTACACGGGACCACCCCACCACAGGGGTGTTTTAGATTTATGTTATGGAGAAATCTCACACACGAGTGTTGAACAGATGAAGAAAAACACAAAGAAGGACAAACCAGACAAGCTGCAAGTTATTTAAGGTTCAAACACAAGCAAAATAAACCTTATAAATAAAGATACTTTTTATTTCTTGGGAAGATTTTTTCCCCCCTTTCACAGCTTCTGAAAGGTTTATAGGCGTACACGGTAAGATTCTCAGTGTAACAGCCCTGGGTGGCTCATAGCAAAGTAAAGCTTGTCACTTAAAAAAAAAAAGGCTGCAATCTCCTCTCCTTCTCATGTATAAGCCACGAGCTAAGAATCCAGCGTAGAACAGAGTCCCAGACACTGGGACGTCCACGTTGAAACAGAACAGCTGGGAGGGAGTCATGTTTCTCAGGAACCTGATGTCACAGCCTCGAAATACCGTGCACAGCCCAGACACGCAGCAAGGCCATCTCAGAAACACACAAGGTAATTCGCGGCCCCAGGGATCCCCAGTGCAGAAGGAGGGACGTCTCTGAGTCACGTGAACGGTCGCAACGGCCCAGGGCAGCCCGTCACAAGGGGCAGAGCGTGGCAGCTCCGGCCAACGAGCCCCACGGAGCATTCGCGGCAGCGTTTGTTAGAAGCGGCTCTGACCAGCCCCGCTGGGGTCTCCAGAAGCTGCCGAAGCCTGCGGGACTCGTGCACGCCGTCACTTCACTGAGGACTCTGAGCCCAGGGGGGCGGAGTGACAAGGGGGAACTTCTCACCTGCCTGACTGACGTGGCTCAGTGGGCGGGCGTCGTCCTGCGAAGTGTCTCGGGCCTTGTCCCAGTCAGCGCACCTGCCTGGGTTATGGGCCAGGTCGCCGGCTGGGGGCGTGGGAGAGGCAACCCATGGATGTTTTTCTCCCTCCCTTTCCCAGTCTCTAAAAATAAATATATATTTTTTAAAAAACACAGAGGGGCACCTGCTACATCACACTTCAGGAGCTCTGTCACCAGATCTCGCAGAAGCCACTAGGCTGAACATCGCCCCTAATGCAGAAGTCCCTGCCTGCTCTGCCTGCGAAGTCTGGGCGAGGGGTGTGTGGGGGGGGGCAGGCCAGCCTCCTGTCCCCTCAGCACAGGTGCGGTCCATGTGGCAGGGGCCCTGTGGCCTTGGATGTGGGGCTGGGAAATTCTACACCAATTATCTCATAACAGTGATCTAATAATTAACCTGAGTTCCATTAGGAGTTTGGGAATCAACAGAACTTTTCTTTAATAGGTATATTTCCAATCAAACATTTTAGATTTCTAAATCTAATTTCCTCAATGAATTAATTTTAAAGTACAACTGTTTTATATTTCTAAATGAAAGATTTCTATTAAACAGAGCAGCATAAAGTGGAAAAAACACTGGGACTGGGGAGAAAAAGAGTAGTGACGTATGAGGACACAGGTCACACGGCCTCACGACCTGGAGGTAAGTCCTCACCTTTCTCCTCTGGGCTTCAGTCTAACAGGTGAAAAGAGGCATTTGGTGACCCCAGAAGGTCCTCACCAGCTCTGAGATATTGTGATTCTGAGAAACCCCTGTAACTTCCCCTAGAAAGACCACCCAAAGGCGGGAAAGAATTTATCTCCAATAACACACTCATACGACTTCAGACTCTCACGGATTCGTATAGTTCTGCATGCTAGTTTTGAACAGGTAATTAAGATAATTAAAATGTTCCTAGGGACATGCCACGCAAACCTCCCCAAACACCTGCACCTGCAGAGCGGCCTCCCCCCCCCCCCAGGCCTCCAGAGTGAGTCCCCCTCTCCATCAAGGGCGCCGCCCCCTCCCACCTCCCCAGATCGAGCCCCGTGGCTGCTCTCACTACCGTGTCTCTGAGCTGTTCCTCTTTGCCACTCGGTCATGAGAGTTCACACTCGGACTCGGCCATCTTTAGAAAGGTAAACCAATAAACTCAACCTCCCCTAGGCCCGCCACTCTTCCAGCATCAGCCTGAAACCCCTATTCTCCCCAACACCCAACTTCTTCAAGGAAGGGTCACCCCAAACCCAGTCTCGTCTGCCTCTCTAACTATACAACCGGCCGGAGTGACCTTTCCAAACTGCGACCTTGCAGCATCCCTCATCCCGCTCCCACTCTGAAGGACGGAACCAAAATCCCTCACACGGCCCAGCCCCACAGGCCCCGCGTCACCCTGGGCATCCGCCCCTGCGGACCCCGGCTAGGTGACCAGTGTCACCTCCTACCAGGTGCTCGCTGCACCTGGGGAAGGACACTGGCCTCTTCCTCTACACACCAGCCCCTTCTCATCTCGGGATTCTGCCCTTTCCTGTGATAGAACGTTCTCTCTCGCCACCACTTCCCTCTGCCTGGTCGATTCCCAGTCCACCTGAATCATGACGTCCCCACGGATGCCTGCAGTTATGAGTTACACCAGCCTGACCTCGTCACGCTTTCTGTTTCAGCAGCCAAACAGCGCCCTACGTGACTAGTACTTCAATTAATGCTTTCTCACTTTAGTTGGTGGGAAGGAAGAGCTTCTTGTGCATTCTTAAGGCAACAACAAAAAAAGCCGTTTTAAAAAACTTTTATAGACATCTAAGGCCTCTCCTGAACCTGTTTTGCTGAGTAAAGTCACCTTAATGGTTATAAGGTATGAATTCACTGTGCTTTTGGCCACACTGGTAGAGAAAACAAGAACCGAATGGTGCAAACTCACGCGCATTCTAGGCTCAAACTCCACGGCCAGGTTCCGATTTGTATCATGTTTGCGTATAGATGGAACGACCAGCAAAGCCGATTCACTTCTCCACAGATGGGGGGCCGCCCCTCCAGAACAGACCCTGAGCCTGCATTCCAACCCCCCCCTGTGATTCCGCCCCCCTGGCCCCGGACTCACCAGCACCCGGTCCCCGATTTTGAGCTCGCGTTCTCCTTTCTTGATCGAGCCGGCCTCCGAGAGGTTGGAGGTAGATTCGCTGGCAGTCTTCGTGAGGTTGCTCATGGGCGGTGTGGCCGCAGCTTCCTTCGCTGCTGGCTGGGACGCTTTGGGAGCAACACTTGAGGGGGGGGCCGGGGAGGGGGCCGTGGAGCTGGCTGCAGACGTGGACAGAGGCGAAGCCGCTCGGCAGGCCTGAGTCGCCTGCAGGCCGTTGGCTTCATCTTCGGCCTGCAGCTTCCTCGCCAGCTTCGAAGGCCGCGTGAATATGCCCTTCAAAGGTCCGCACTGGAAATACCGCACTCCCGCCACCGAGCCGTCATTCTTGCCGATGGGTTCGTCCAGCACGATCCCGGCCCACTGGCCTGGGGCAAACTGGGTTTCTCCCAGAAACTGGATGAACCCGGGCTTGTTTCCGTTCACCCAGACCCGCTCCCCGACACGGAAGTCGTCCACGAACTCCTCCTGTGCCTCGGAGGAAGGGGCACCGGGTGCTTTCTCACTGGGCACAGGTTTTTCCACGGGAACGGCGACTGAAAACAGAAGAAAGGATCAGAACTAGGACTCGATCTCACTTTCGAGCAGACGGCTCCTAAATTAAAGGAAAACCAACCAGGGAAAGCCAAGAGCAACAGGAATAGTTGCAGCTCTTGGAGAGGGGTTCCGCTTTTCTCCTTTCTTTTTTAGTAGGGAGGCAGAAATTGCTCAACCCATCACTACCATTTTCAATGCTGCTGAAGCTTAAACTGGTGAGATTTAATCCTTATTTGCAATTAAGGTTGGAAGCAGTCAGAACAAATAAACCAACAAAAATGAGTGCTTTCCTCAGCGGTCACAACACAGTTCTGACTTCACTTTTCACTCCACCTCCACCCTGAACGTCACGAGCAAACACCCACGCGGCCACCTCTGGTTGCATTTTTGAGCGGCCAATGAGAGCCGACAAGAGCTGACTCGGACCGTGTACCAGAGCCCCGCAGTGAGGTCTGATGGAGGAAGGAGGGGTTCCGTGCTGTGGCCCCTGTCGCCATCATTCCAGGACAACCACGCAAGCCCCCCTTTGCTAGGAGAGCTGGCGATGCAGAGGGGGGAGAGAGCACCTGGCCCGTGAAGGGGAGACAACCATGCAGTCGCTACTCTGTGGCAAAGACGGACGTTAGGTGTTGCCAGAAACGTGATGTTTTCCCTGGAAACGCATCCAAGCATTCATCCTGCAAGCGTGTAACGAACATTCCGCAGGAACTGGCAAAGAAGGCCCACACCTTAGTCCCTCTGCCCTGACTGGGCGTCCTGTGATCCTAGGATGCCACAGGGCCTCTCCGAGTTTCAGTGTCTCCTCTGCAGGGGAAAGTGGTGTCTGCCTGGAGGGTCTGTAGGTGTACAGTCAATGAGAAACCGTATTTATTCACGCCCCATGTGTCTGGGACAAGCCCCAGGCAGTGTTTTCGCTGGGGGACAGAGCTGGACAAAGCGCCCTCACGAGGCTCAGTCTAGAGATGCGGAGATGGGCAGTAGGTTCAGGCAGCCAAAGTGCTATGGAGGAGGACACAGCGCCCTTGGGGGGAGCAGTCAGGGAAGGCCTCCTGGAGAAGGCGGTGCGTGGCCTGAGACCTGATGGGAGTGGAGCGGGCCGGGGCTGCATCTCTTCACACTACCCTACAGGAGACTGCGGAGCTTCAGTCTGTGCAGGATTTTCTTTTTTTTTTAAGAAGCAAGTCAATGCCCTCAGGTAGAACAGATAATAATCCATCAAAGGCAGGGGCCAGCCTACTCAGCTTTTCAGAGTTGGTTCTCGCTTTATACATCAGCAACCCCTCTTCCCAGGGGGCTACAAGCATGGATTTCTGAAAAACGACCCATAAAAGTGCCTTGAGTTCCTTGGCAATTCTTTCCTTTTAAGCACGTAAGTTTCAGTGTTAATAAGCTGCTGTACTCTTTTAAAAAACCCAGGTGTGCCAAGCACTGCTGGGGACGCGAAGTCGAACTGCTCCCAACCCCTGGACTCCAGGCCTTTACATGCGAAGGGGCGTGCAGGACAAGTGCCACCAGTGAGACAGAGGGCTCTGATGTAGGACCGATCGTCACAGTGGGACGCCCCGTGGAACGTGCCGGGGTCTTAAATGGAGGAAGGGCTCTGAGGGAAGGAGAACGGAGGTCAATTTTGACTGCTTTCCTCAAAGCTAAATAGCCCCGAACCAAACCTATTTCTTTATGATTCTTTGCTTTATTAGCAAAGGTTTCCTGTCACCTAAAATGTTTTATGTCCTTTCTGATAAAAATCAGGCTGTTCCTGACACAGAACTTGGGATCGCCATTCAATCGACAAATATTTACAGAGCTCCTGTTATGTGCCAGGCAAAGTTCCAGGTGTGTGGGCAGAATACAGCAGTGGAAAAACAAACAAATGAACAAACACCCACACCAAGACCCCCGCCGCCTGGAAGGCGAATGAGCATCTTCACAGAAGACCTTACACAGCGCTGGGCCTGATGCGTTACGGGGGGCGCCTGTCCGGAAGGGCTGGCCACACAGTGTGTCTCACCGTAGGTAAGTCACATAAAAAGACCATAAAAGCAAGCATCAGAAGCCCTCTGCCCCCCGCCTCTCTCGCCAAGGACTTAAACTGATCGTTATGGTCCAGAGACGGAGACCCTGGAGAAGCAGGTGCAGGGCAGACGAGGGAGGGGCTGCTGGAGGTCATCGAGGGCAGGGGCCCATCTGCAAAGCGGGGAAGGTCCCCTCGGCAGCTGGACGGCAGTCCCCGCCCTGCCTGCACCCGCGATGCCAACGCCACCTTCCTTCCAGCAGCATGGCCTCGTCTTTCAATCCAGACTGGTCTCTGTTTGCCCTACACACCCCTAAACCCACGGTCCTGAGGGGTGCAGGAGACCCGGGGTTGGGGGGGGGGGAACCAGGATCTTTCATGGTGAGATCCTTCCCTTGTGCGGATCAGACACGGAAGGTACCTGACACGTTTTATCACCTGACACTGAGTCGACCCCATGAAACGAGGACAGCCTACAACAAAGTAAACTCCTCGCTGATTAAGACTTTCAGACATAAAAGGCTGTTCTGTTCATTAAAACTCTTTCAGGTATTTTCATGAACACGAAGTTTTATAAGGCTGTCCTCTAAAAACCTTCAAATCGAAGTCTCCGTAGAGGGTTGTAATCCCTTCGCCGTTCAGGGAGACAGAAGGCCTTACCGGCGGCAGGTGTCTTCACGGCCGCGCTGCCGGGCTTGAGGATCTTGGTGGGGACCTTGAGCCCGCTGGGTCGCAGCGCACTCATCGTCCTCCTTCGCCCGGTGCCACTATCTCCCCCTAACCATCGGTATAGCTGTGAGCGGGTCTACAGTGAAGTGGGTCTCGGGGTCAAGTCTGCAAAGAGGAAAACACAAGAAGAGTTCACGATCGCCAGGAGCAAGGAGGCAGGAACAACAGTTACTGTTAGAGTAGCTTTCACAGCCTGAGCCTCTTCTTATGATAACAAACCACCTCTGCACTGAACCCAGGCAGCTAGAAAACTGGATATTAAAGACATGAAATGCGCCCTGGCTGGTGTGGCTCAGTGGATTGAGCGCAGGCCTGCGAGCTAAGGGATCACGGTTTGATTCCCAGTCAGGGCACATGCCTGGGTTGCAGGCCAGTTCCCAGCAGGGGACGCACGAGAGGCAACCATACACTGATATTTCTCTTCCTCTCTCCTTCCCTCCCCCTCTGAAGAGAAATAAATAAAATCCTTAAAAAAAAAAAAAAAAAGACATGAAATGCCACGGAAATGGATGTAAGGGCGATGCACTACCCTGAAGACAAGTAGCTGACAGCAGCCACACTCTCCCTTTTTCTCTGTGGCGTCCAGCGGCGCCAGCTCCGTACGGCGCCTCCCCGCCCGCGGCCCATGGAAGAGGGTTCAGAGACACCTGCGCCAGGCTGACGGGGGCAGCGACCGGGTGGGCCCAGAAGCACAGGGAAGAACGGCTGAGCACTAAAATCATCTGTCTCACACTGTCACTAAGTAGTATACTAAAAAAAGTGATTTATGAGGAAAGCAACCTCAACACAATGGACCTGAAATCTAACAAAAAAAATCATGCTGTTTTATAGTAATTGGTTATAAGAACAACACCGAATGCCAACATACATAATGTTCAATTTCTTAGGCTGGCGGGGGAGGGGGGCGGCGTGCATGGTACTCCTGTCATTGTCCACTAGGGCACACGCGTCTCCAGGGTCTCGTGAAACTGCAGGTTCCTACACACGCGTGTGCCCACACCCACACCGATGTGTAGAACTCAACATTTTTAAACATAAAAATACACCAAAATGAAGGGAGACGATCACATTTCACCAAACTAAGGAGGAGGAGGACCCGAGAGGTGTCGACAGGGGAGTTAAAAGGAAAGTGCCCGTCTCACTGGCGCTGGAAGGGGGCTGAGGGTCGCACGCGTGGGGTCTGAAAGCCAGCACCGCCGCCGGGGGACAGGCAGGTCGGGACTGCAGAGCCGGGGGGACGCGGCATTGAGGGGACGGTGTCCCGCGGCATTTTTCTCATTACAAATACACACAGTTGTATTTTATACACTACAATTTTCTAAACCTGTCAGTACGATGCAGGAGTCGACTCTTTGAGCGAACGGGTGAAGACGTTGAGTTCTGGGCTTCCCCAGCCGAGGGTCAGATCGTGGGCGTGGCATGGGGCTACGCTGTGCCACCAACCCTGACCTTCGCAACTACAAAGCGGGGCTTCTCTAGGTGCAGCCCACGTGCTCCTGAGGCAGCCGAGACCCGCTCAGGGGCCGAAACTCTGTCGCAGTGCGACTGCGGTGCTGCCTGCCCCTCCCACTACTCCACACGCGCACTTCAATGGTGGGTACAGACCACAGGTGCCACGCCAAGGCCACAGGACGCTCTTTCCTGCGTCTCTGCCACCAGCGCCTGCCGGGGAAAAGAGCCATTCTCACATGGGAATGCGGTGAGGCAGAAGAATGAGTAATTTTATTAAAGTTAACCCTTGAGTAACACATGCCTCTTCATTCCTCCCTGTAACAGGACAGGAAGGACACGGGGCACTCCCGCTGGACACCACTGGACAGCGGGGCCCCGGAAATGCAGGCACGCACCCACAGCGCCCGCTCGGCCAGCCGCCTGGCTCAAGGACACCACCTGCACTTGAATGGATGTCTACGGCCACTCAGGCTGCGGCTCTGGCAGGTATTTCCTTGAACGTGAACTACGCCAGCCTGTCAGTTCAAGGAAAACAACTACGTGTTAACAATGATAAAAATTTAAGCTTCTGCTGCGAGCGGAATAAATTTTATTGACAGCTTCCCCATACTAACGCCTTTTCTGATGAGATCGATGGTATTAAGTGTAATTTTTTTTATATCATATAATGAAATGTGCCAATATTTCGCCTAACTCAGTGAATCAATATTTTCCGGCCAACAATGTAAGATGTTACAAAATCATTCATGGGTAAAGCATTCCTTGAAAGAACAAATTAGACCAATAGATTTTTATGTAACCACAAAAGTTTGTCCATAGTTTCAGATTCCACCTTTAAGAAACTACCACCTGTCAAGTTTTGGGATCAAAGAAGAAAACGCCCTTTTCCCGGCCTCCTTCCTGCACCTGGGCCCACACGGCGTATCGCTACAGGTCACACGGAGAACCGCTGTCCTCTGTTAAGCCAGACACGAAAGCAATCGACAAGAATGTGAAGCAATGCCATCTTCTCATTCAGTATTTTTATTTTAGAAAACAGTCATTCTTCATTTAAAATTTATATCATACATGATGGGTTCATTACTATTGCTGAGAATTCACGTACTTTAAACGTTCTGTTTTAAGCTCTAATATATCAGTAGATGCGATCACACACATGGAGCCTCCCTGGGGACCTCGCAGGGACGAAGCGTGTGACCGGCCTGTTGCTGCGCTCGCCGCCGCCGCCGCCGCCGCCACGCACTCCGCGGCTCCAAGGGTTAACACCCTCGTTTCAGAGGGGCTCCCAGAAGGCTGAGCTTCTGGTTCACGTGCTGACTGATCTGGACAGCAAGTCAGCGGTGACAGCACTGACCACTGTCACTGTTACAGCACCACGCTCGGCATTCACGATACACGGAGCCTGAACTTCCACCCGCGGAAAGACAGGTGTGCGAGGCAGCAGGAACATAGTGGCACACGGACACTGGGCCCTTCTCCACGTAAAACGGGTACTCTGCCATCGGTGGTCCCAAATGTGCCCCGTCCTCAGTGTCACCTAGGAAGCCTCGGGCCCCTCCACAAACCCGCTGGGAACAGCTCTGGCACTGAGCCCGCAACCTATCTTTCAAGCCCTTCCGGGACGCTGGTACTGCAGCCTTCGCATCACTGCCAAAGGACAGATTTAGAAAAGTGACCTGACGGTCATTTTCTCCATCACACGCTCACAGATCGTCCACGTGACCCGCATCCAGAACAGCCCTGCAGAATCCTGGGCACTTTCTCAGCTGCCCGCTGCTGTTTCAGGCCGTGCCTGCGACCCCCAACGCCCTTTCCAAGTCTAGCTGTCTTCGTCTGCTGAGACCTGCCCGGGGCAAATCTGGGCACTCACCCGCCCCGCCATGCTTTCCCCAACCCCCACCGAGGAAAAGGTGCCAGCCCTCACGTCTCCCACGGGGCTGAGACCACGCCTCTTCCCTAACACCTGGCCCTGTGTGTGTCATCTACTGATGCCACCAGCCTACGAACGCCTGGAGGAGAGGAACCATGTCTTAGTCAGCGACGGCTTTCCCACGGTACTTTAGAAACAATGCTCATTAAATAAAACGAATGCGGAAAAAGGTCTCTATTGTTTAAATGACTCTACAAACCAGCTGCGGGGAGGACCAGTATTTTTAGAAGTCATCCTTGCTACAGGTGACAGAAAAGATACACAACACAGACTTACACTTGAGAAATTTACAATTTGGCTGGAGAGGGAAGATGCACATATGTGGAAAAAAAATAAGAATACGGTGCAACTTATGAGAAATAGCAAACCACGTGATGATCCTGGAGCGGGTTTAGAAGGTGAGAGGTGACAAGGGTGAGAGAGAGAAGGCTTCCCGGCCAAGGCATGGCCTGAGTGGGGCCCAAGGAATGTCCCATATTCTAGAGGTGTTGGGAGCCAGGATTGCTAAAGAGGAAGAGAGGAAAAAAAAACCCGGAGTAGGAGACAAAGGAAGAAGGGAGACGTGTATGAAGCGGGTGAGCAATACAGTGAAAAGCTCTGTTCGGCTAACATCGAAAGACCCTGGTAAGAAATCGAGCGAGAAGAGTGACTTGAAAGGAGACTCTAGAGGGCCTTGAAGAGCAGATCAAGACCCGCTCTGCCCACGTTTTACGTGCCTTACACTCGAATGAAAGGCCACCTCTATAACTTCGAGATTCTACTGGCACAAAGTGAAAGACGTCTCTCGCGTTTCCCCTCGAGCCCCTATGCTTGTTTCCTGAGTCTGTTTCAATCATGTGACCCTAACCACCAGCTCCAAGCAAGGACTTAAGCCAAGGGCTCGCAGCCCTTCTCCAGCGGCATCCAAGTCTTCCTCCTCCACTCCGGCCACGGGCACCGGGAACAGACGGGGGCTGCCAGGGCAGGTCTTCGATTTCAGGGGAGAAGAGCCGCGAGCATCCCAAGTTGATGAGTAAACTGACTACAAAGGCAGGTTCTCACCTAAAACCTTCAGGTACCACCTTAGCAAGGATACACTTCGAGAGGCTAAAAAGATTGGATGCCTCTGGACACAAGGACAGACCCCAGACTTTTCCAGGGCTCTGGGCCCCGGCGGAGGAGGGCTACTCTGCCTGACGACTGGGGTGGTCTTACTGTGAACTGCGTGCCCCAGTCTGCACGTCAGATCCGCCCCCTCCAACAGGGTAGCCAGCAGCCACTCGCGCTCACCATGTGACTTCCAGAACAACTGCCACCATCAAAGAACGCTTCACAGGACAGCATTGTTCTGGAACCTCCTCTGGCCAGGGACGGTCTGCTTGCCAATGAAGTGCCCTTCTGAGTGGTCACCTCAGGGCATGGTAAGTTTATTTGAATAATACTGCTTCGGTCAAAACACTTTCAACCCCTCTTTTACAAATAAACTCAGAGACACTTTGCAAGCTGCAATTTATCGGCAACCCAAGGTGGCGAGGACCATGTCAGCCCCCCAGTGCTTCACTAATTTGGCTCTAAAATGCCACGAGCCGCTTCCAGATTTTGAATCAAAAGCCCTCAAAATTAGAATAACATACGAAAATGGACCCGAGCCCACTGGGTAGCTCTGAGAGCTCAGAAGTCAGCACAGACCAAGCTAAGTGAGCAACCCCCCCCCTCCCGCCCCCGTGAGAGAACTGGAGGTCTG